CCAGGGCCTGACCGAGGAGTCCTTGCCGCTCTGCTGGGAGGTCGGGGAAGAGTGTGCTAGGCAAAGGGAACGGCCCACACAACGGCCCTGAGGCGGAATAAAGCCCAGTGAGTCCCTCCAGGAGGGGAAGGGGGCTGGTGCGGCCTCAATCCAGGGAGTCTGGGCAGAGAGAAGGAACCGAGGCCTGAAAGGCGGGCAGAAACCAGAGGGTACAGGGCCCTGTCGGCCAAGGTGAGGGCCAGGGAAGATTTAGGTGGGGGATGGGAGACAAGGACCTACCTCAGGCTTCTTCAAGGGTGCCCGGGCTGCTGAGCGCCCAGCAGGTTGGGGTGGCCGTAGGGGCAGCCCCCGGACCAGCAGCAAGGGCGCCAGCGGGGAGGCTGCTCGGCGTTCAGGCAAGGGGCGTGCCCAGCTTATGTCCCCTGAGTTGGCTAGTGTCTGTCTTCTCCCAGGAAGCCTCCGAGGGGTGCTTTTACCCCTCATTTTGCAGGAGAGGGAACCAAGGCTCAGAAAGGCGAGTTCACCTGTTCCGTGTTCCAGCTAGAAAGAAGCAGAGGTGGGGTTTGAACTCGGGTCTTGAAATACCCAACTGGGCCCCTTCTCTGCCCACCTGTCTCAGGGGAAAGGGCTTAGATCCTGTAACCTCAGGCGAGCCTCAGTTTCCCTCATCTGTAAGACGGGATGAATTGCAGCTCTGGAGTCCAGGAGTCAATGAAACTAAATACGCCCAACACAGGCTGAGCGCACTGAAATTTTACCTTAAAAGAAAGAAAAAAAAGGACCCTTGTCCACCCACTTCTCCTTCTGCTGGTTCTCCCCTAAAAAGAGAAACTTTGGTATTTGTTCTGCAAACATTTATTTTATTCTTTAGGGGTTTTGTTTTGTTTTGTTTTTGTTTTTGTTTTGGAAGGGGGAGGATTGGTGAAGGTAATCAGTTTTCAGCCTTAAGATAAAAAATCGCAGCAAAGGGTCGACCTGACTCTTTATAATTAATGGGGCGGCTTGTAATAGGATTCTCCTGCCCCCGGTGCTCTCGGGGAACACCTCTTTACATAAGATATTGCCCACGCCGGAGTGGCAGCGGGGTGATTTATGGGGCTCCTTGCTCCAGAAAACCTCTCCTGGGGTTGCCCAGCCAGCGGAATTTATCAGGGAGTTTGGAAGCAGGGCGAGAAACCCGCCCGTGACATTTTTGGTGGAGTTTAAAAAGGACAAACACTGGGGAAGGGAGAGGCCAATGGGAAGGGGAGATGGGGAGAGGGTCCACATGGGCCGGGCTTTCCACTCGCAGAGCCTGAGACAGGGAATCTTGGCCGGTGATTTCCTAAGACAGGATGCAGAGTCGAGGGGGAGGGGAGAATGGGATGGGGGGGGAGGGAGGGAGAAGTCTAGCCCAGCCTGGTCCCAGGGCGAGCTCTGGACTGTGGACGGCACCACAGAGCTGCACTGCCTCGAGGGTGCAAGGGGATCCGACTTTTATACCCCGCATCGTCAGTCACTGGCTGTGGGCCTCGTGAGGGGGTCAGGGCTGAGGGAGGCGGGCTGGGGGCATGCGGTCTGGTGCTCCACTCTCCCAGCGACCTGCCTCCAGCCCAGAACAAAAACGGAAGCCTAGACTGCAGGAATTCACAAGCCCCGCCTGGGCCGGTGCCCCCTCCCCGAACCCCACACTCTTTACCTCCCTGTTCGTCTTCTACCACCTTCTACCGTTCCCTCCCTCCCTGGCTCCCCTGCAGCCACAGGGGCCTCCGGCCTCCCCACCTCAGGCCCTTTGCATGTGCTGCCCCTGCTGCTCCTCCCCCACGAGCCCCACTCAGCTTGCTCCTTCCCTTCCTTCAGACCCAGCTCAAATTTCCCCTTTCCAAAAAGGCCTTCTTTGCCCATCCTTCCTCAACCAACCAATAGGTTAAGAGACTTAAGAATTAGACCAACCACAAGCCACATGAACACCTGGGCTCCTAAGTCCCTCAAACCAGATCTAACAAGACGTTGCTAAGACCACCTGGGAAAAGTTGGATACGGACTGGGTCCTAGATTACTATTAAGGAATTATTTCATTGTGATAGGTGGAAATGGTATTGTGCTTACATTAAAAATGTTGTTCCTTATCTGTTAGAAACCCATGCTGACGCGCTTCACAAGTAAAACAACAGGACACCCAGGATGCTTTAACAACAGGCTGCAACAAGTGCACGGGCCCCCCCCCCCCCCCACGCAGACGACTGGGGCGCCAGGCCGGCCTGAGCCGTCGCGTTCGGCAGCAGGAGAGTGAAGCCCCTCTGTGCAGGCGCTGGGGCCTATGCCCGTCCTGTGGGCTCTTGCCCACGCAGGGAGGGTGGAGCAGCGGAGGCATGACCCTGTCCCCTCCTCACACCCCACCTTGCCTGGGGGCAGCGCCGGGGTAGGAACGCTGCCTTTGCCAGCCAGGGGCTGGATTCCAAGCCTCTGCGTCACCCTGGCTTATGCGCGAGTACGGGCCTCGGGGGAAGTGAGGCGCTGGAGGCAGGGGTGTCAGAGTCAGCCCGGTGAGGGGACAGAGGAAGCTCAGCCCCTGGAACCCACAGGAAACCAACGGCGCTCGCGGCCCCAGGACAGGGGCCCCAGCCGGGGCGGAGCAGCTGCGGGCATCCCAGGCGGGTACACACGCCTGGCGGCCCAGGTTCGCTGCTCTGCACGCAGCCCCGACCCACACGAAAAAGTCCTGCTGCCAGCACCCTGCTCGGGGCCCCCCGTTTCCCCACGAGCAGCGGTCAGAGAGGGCAGGGGCGGAATGGTGTGTCTGCGCCCCGCGCCCCGCGCCCCCCGCCCCGTGCATCAAGGCCCGCCCCCACGGCCAGGCTTCAGTCATCTTTGCTCTCTCCCTGTGCCTCCCCCGCCCTTCGCTCTCACTCCTTGCGTGGCAACCAGGAAGGGCTGAACGGGCGGGCGGCCATCAATGTGTGTTATCTGGACAGAGTCAACAGGCCCCTCGGCTCCTTACCTCCTGCTTGCCCAGGTCAGGAGGGGAGCAAACAGCAGCTGACGAGTCTCCCAGGAGTGCAGCCAAGGGCAGAGGCCTGCCTGGGAGGCTGAGCACCTGGAGGGTGGTGAGCTCCGCCCCTCACCTGGAGGAGCGTGGGGCTGGGGAGACCACTGCTGGCTGAAGCAATCCCGGAAGGCTCCAGGGAGGAGGCTGCCCTGCACCGGGCTTTGAAGGATGTGTAGGAGTTAGGATCAGCTAGGGCATGGCAGGCAGGGGACGCAGCTTAAGCAAAGGAAAGGCGGGGTGAGGGCAGTAGCAGGTAGATGCTTGAGCCTCAGATGTAGACATAATAGGGCTTCCAGTCCAGCTGGGTAACTTGGATTAAGAAGCTCAGCAGTCTGTGCTTTAGTTTCTTCATTTGCAAAAAGGAAGATAATAGTAGTATCTATCCTGTGGGCAATCGTGGGATTAAATGAAACGACTGCTAAGGCCCAAAGCACACAGTAAGTGTCAACGTATAAATAAATGCTAGTCCCCCCTCCTCACCCCTCGTGGCTGGGGAAGAACACTCACGGGGTGGAAAGAAGTAACACTCATCGGAAGACGACTTACATTGGGTCCATAGTGACAACCCCCTTTATGGATTCGAACACCGAGGCACTGAAAGGGACGCTATCTGCTCAAAGCCACCACTAGCAAGTAGAAATAGAGTCCAGGTTCGAGTCTGGCTGAGTCCACCTCTGGGGCTCTCAGTGTCCCTTCTATGGTGAGGAGCTCACTCAGCGAGTCTCCAAGGGAACAGGGCTGGGTCCCGGTGGCCTTGGGGGCCGGGGCGGGGGTAGGGGCAGGGCACACCCCTGGCACAGTGTCTGCAGTCAAAGAGAGGACGAGACAGAGGCGGTCCGAGAAGCAGTGGGGTCCCTACCACTCTCACCGCCCCCCCTGGAGAGAAAGGAAGGGGCAGGGCGCGGGGGAGGGGCGTGGGCGAAGGAAAGGGGTTGGGAAGTGGCAGGTGGGCTCCCCCCAGTGCAGAGGTGCAGGATGGAGCCCAGAGAGGGGAGGGCGCTTGCCTGAGGTCACAAAGCCTTCACGAAGCAAGGGGGACCCAGAGGTGGATTCCGCCAGGGGCGGTGGTGCTGGGTGGACCCCACGTTCTCTGAGCCTTGTTTCCTGCAGGGCTGTGACGGGTTGAGTAGAGGTCCCCCTGCCAGATCCTCTGGGACCTCAGCAGCCTCCAGCTGGAGGGAAGGGCCCCAGGAGGATCAGAGCCAAGGAAGACCTGAGGGGCAGGGAGGCCATCCCTGCCCACACCCCACCCACTCTGGCCAGGAGTCCCCATTGGAGGCGCTTTGCTGCCCCCTGGTGGCTCCAAGGGATTCTAAGTTCCCCTCCCGTTTCCTAAGAGACCTTTCTCAAGAACCGAGGAGCCCAATTCCAGGACCACCAGCTACCCTTCTGTGACCCACAGGTGCGTCTGGAGGCCCTCCCTCCCTCCCCGATGTCTCACCAACCCCCACACAAAGAAGGCCAAGGTCCAAGAAATATAAAGTCTTACTGAAAACCACAGGTCTGAACCTGATTGGGCCGCATTCCAGCTGTGTGTCCTTGGGTGGGTTAGGTCACCTGCCTATGCCTCAGTTTCCCCACATGTAGAACAGGGAGAGTAATATTGTTTTTGTTTCATAGTACCGTTGTGAACATCAGAGAAGACAATGAGTAGAAAGTTCTTAGAGGAGTTCCTGGCACATCGCCAGCACCTAACAAAAACTGGATACTGTCCTCACCTGCCTGCCCAGAGAAGTGACAGAGCAGCCCCTCCCCTTCCTGTCCCCCAGGTGAGGGAAGCCCTGTTAGGAGCTCAGCATGGCCCAGATTCCCTTAAAGACTTGAGTTTTGAATCCTTGGCTTTGTTTCTCAAGCTGGAAGGAGCGGCTTCACCACGGAGCCAGGCTCGAGGCTGCTGCGAGCCTTCTAGGAGCTCAGGGGGGTAGAAAGATGGGACCCACCAGAGTTACTAGCTCAACTCAGAGAAGCTTTATTGGCCAGGGTTGCAGAGGAGCGTCAGGGAGCAGTTCAGGAGGGCTTCCTGCAGGAGGCGGCCAGCACAGAAGCACAGGGCAGCTCCCTCGGCCATCCATGAGCCCCCGGGGGATCGGTGGGACACGGCCGGCCCTCCCAGGCCGGGGGCCTCAGCTCTGGCCCACCTGGGCTTTCAGGGCCTGCAGCTCTCGGCTGTCGATGTTGTTGCCTCCACACACGATGACCACGACGGAGTCCAGGGAGGGGCTCAGGCGGCCCTCCGCCTGCAGCCTCCCCAGGAGGCCTGAGTAGATGGCAGCTAAGGCTGCCCCGCAGGCAGGCTCCACCAGCATGCGCTCGTCATCTGCCCGGAGCAGGGGGACAAAGGGGGGCGGGGGAGAGACGAGAAGGGGGAGACCAGTTAGCGCTCAGCAGGCTCGGGGCACTGCACACCCACGGAGCCGGCCAGCCCGTCTCGCAGCCGAGGTGTCTGACCCCTTGCCATCCATCAGTCTGACTGTCTCTCTCTCCGCCCACCCGCCTTTCATCTGCCTCTCCATCCATCCATTCCTCTATCCGTCACCAGGCTGTCTGTCCATCTATTAGTGTAGTCATCAGTCAACATATCCATCCACGCATCCATCCATCCATTCGCCCTTTCATCCCTTATCCATCATTTGACTGTCTGTCCATTCATCAATGTGTCCATCCATCTATTCATTTCTCTGTCATTCATCAGTCCATTGCACCATCAATCCATTCACCCATTCATCTGTCCATTATCTACCTTTTCACTTAGACATTCATTCATTCGACACACCTTTACGGAGGACCCACTCCCTGCCAGGCCTGTTCTAGCAAGACCCTGGGGACCCAACAGAGAGCAAGACACACCAGCCACTGCCCTCACTGAGTTCACAGTCTAGTGATGTAGACAGATAAGAATCAGGCAGAGATGAGATTAGGGGGATTGATGCGCAGGAAGTCTCCAACCCAGGCAGGATGGGGGCGAGAGATCAGAGGCGGCTTCCTGGAGGAGGAGTCATGATGGCTGAGTAGCCTTTAATCACTTGAAACTGATAGGGAGCAGGCCAAGGGTGGGCAGCCAGGCAGAAGGAGAGCATGAACAAAAGTCTGGAGGCTGGAGAGAGCACAACACACCCCTTCTTTACCCCCACCCCTTCCACCTACTCAGCACACGCCTACCACACAGTTACTGCCTACCCAGCCCTGTGATAGGCGCTGGAGATGTAGACGACACAATATGCTCTCGCTAGGGGACGCAGGGACCTTGCAGGTTTCTGAGCCCGGGTAGGGGGCAGGGCTTCCTCACCCAGGAACCGCTGCACAGCATCCACAGCCTCACGGTCCTCCACCAACTCCGAGAAGATCTCCACCTCCTGCGTGCACGCCAGGGCCCGTGCGGCCACTGTCTTGGCACCCAGGCACTTGGCCACACTGCAGGAGGGGACGGGGTGGGTGCAGGGGAGAGCTGATGAATCACGTGTCCCCCTCACACAGACCCAGGCCTCGCCCGCCCGAGCCCCCTCCCCTCCAGCAATAGGCCAGGACTCCGCGTTGCAAGCGTTTGCAGCAGTGCCCAGCAGAGGAGGGCCTCACTCTGTGTGTCCCGTGAGTGGCCAGTGAGGGCACAGCACACCTACTCGCTTACAGCCATGACTGTGCCGCTCCCTGCCCAGGCACCAGAAAGCCAAACATAGGAAAAGAGGTTTTTTAATTTTACTCATTATAGCCATTCATCACGTCTATGTTATAGCCAATATTTACGGAATGATTACAGGGTGCTGGATGCAGGGGTTTTCGGTTTTAATCTCCACAGACGCCCTTTGCGTAAGCTTACGAGCTCTGCACCTTGTTGTCACACACGTTGTATCCTAAGTCCCAGCACCCAATGGGCGATCAGTACATTGCAGGCAGTAATGGTATTGGTAGAGGGCTGAATGATAGCCCCTCCCCAAATCCACGCCCACCTAGAACCTCAGAATGCGACCTTATTTGGAAAAAGGCCGGGTTGGGGGAGGAGACAGAGGCAGGTGACGTGGCTGCAAACTGGGGAATGACAAGGGTTGCCAGCCATCACCAGAAGCTGGAAGAGGCAGGGAAGGGTCCTCGGGGCCTTTAGAGAGTCTACTGTGTTACGCCACCTGATTTGTGGTCATTTCTGTGGAAGGCCCTGGGGACTTACACCGCCCCTACGATGACAGGCGGTGGTAGCAGTGACGATGAAGAATATAAGATGAGATAGGGCCAGGGGGCTGGACCGCTCTCTGTTCATTAGTGAGTTTATAAGGACTTTCCCTCAGCTGAATTAAGATCAGTTACGAAGTGTGATGGGGACAAAGCTCTCTAATGATGTTGCCAAAAAACCAAACAAACAAAAAAACCATGTTTATGTCGTATAGTACGAATAGAAAAATAGAGGTTACAAAACTGCCTGAAGGCTATATATAATCTCAACTGTTATAAATATATAATTTATTTCACAAACTTTTGATGTGCACTTACTATGTGCTGGGCATATTTCACTTGTATGTAATGACACATGGACAGTGGGGGGCGGGGACAAAAATTGGGAAAAATGCAACCCAACCTGAGCAACGTCCATCTTTGGTTGGTAGAAATGAGGGTGACATTTGGTTTTCTGTTGCTTGTTGCTCGCCTACATTTTCAAACTGCAACACACTTAAACTGCTTTGGTAATGATGCAGACCAGTGAAGGCTTATTTTATTGACTGATGAGACTTAGATGAACCCGATCCTTCACCGGCTTTTCCAGCACTTCCTTCTAAGTTAGAGCTGCATTGCTGTGGTCAGAGCCCACGGCCACAGCGTCCCCCGCTCCCCGCACTGCGGCTGGGGGCCCCGGGGCAGCCACGTCCTCACCTCCCGGCCCCGCCAGGCACCCAGACACCCCGACGCCCCGCCCGGACCTACCTGGTGATGTTCGGCAGCGTGACGAGCCTGCCAGCCTTGATGGCTGCGTTGAAACAGTGTGCACCTCGGGTCTCCACAGCGACAATGGGCACGTGCTGCCAGCCTACCTCCACCAGGCCTGCCGACACCCCGACCAGGAGCCCCCCGCCCCCCACCGCCAGCACCAGGGCCCCCGGGGGCGTCCCAAGGGCTTCCTTCAGCTCCTTCACCAGGCTGATGTGGCCTTCCCTGGAGGAGGGGGGACGGGGGGAGGCAGGAGCCGGGTGAGGGAGGCCCCCAGCCTCAGAGGCTCCCATCTACAGACCCCCCCATCACACCCCCTCCCCATCCACTGCTGAGGGAGAGAGAGGAGACCCTCTAACACTTAGTTCACTCAGCTTTCATCATGAAATTCATTCACTCACTCATTCTCCTCCTTGCCCCCCGCCAACCAGCTCAACTCAGGTTCTGGGCCTGCCACCCAGTGTCTCTGCCGCTTACTAGCTGTGTGACCTCAGGCAAGTTGCTTGACCCCTGAGTGCCTCAGTTTCCTCAGCTGTAAAACGGGCAAAAAACACCTACCTCTAGGGCTCCAAGGAGAATTCAGTCGATTAAGTGTGTCCCAAAGCACACATTCAATAAAGAGGATTTATTATTATCACTTCTGTTTTACACATGTAGAAACTGAGGCACAAGGTAGTGAGATGTTTTATAGTCACATAACTTTCAGGTGGCAGAAGCGGGGTCTGAACCCCAGGGTGCCCAGATTCTATGCCTCTTCTACTCTCTGGACCTCAGTTTCCCCTTTTGTCCAATGGGAGGACCCCGACTCAGTGAGAGTTTCTCCTCTCTGAGCTGCGTGGGGGAGGGGCACCAGCCTTACCATACCAGGGGGTGGTCAAACGGCGGGACATTCACCCAGCCGTCCCTCTTGGCCAGCTCTTGTGCCCGCAGGTTGGCGTCGTCCCAGACCTGAAGAGACACGGAGCTCAGGGGCCCAGGACTCAGGCTGCTGTGGAGGTTGTCTCGGGAGCCGCTCCCAGGAGCCCAAACTAAGGCAGCATTTCAGAGGGACATTCCCCCGCCCAGCCAGTCTCCTCGCCGAAGGGGGAGAGGGTGACACAGGGGCCAGAAAGAACCCCTGCCCATCCTTCCGGCCGCGCGCAGTGCGTGCTCTGGGCCTAGCCTTGAGAGGACAGGGCAATGGTCTCTGTTGCGTGGAATCCCCCACCTAGCCGAAGAGACGGGCCTCGTTCTCTTGAATTGTTGAAACAAAAACAAGATTCGAAACTGTGCAGCCCTTGACGCCTCTCACCGGACGCCCACGGCAGCCCCCACCCCGGCCCCCCACCTCCGGGCCGTGCCCCGCCCGCGCCGCCGGAGGGGACTTCCAGCCACAGCCCTCCCTCGCCCCTCATCCCTTCCTGGCCCCCGTGGCCCCCAGGTTGAACTCTTGCCGGCCTCGCCCGCCCGCCACCCTGCCTGGTCCGCGCCGTGCCCCTCTGTGTCCTCAGCTCTCACCGCCGCCCCCCAGGAGGCCAGGCTGCAGGGGAATGCACCAGGCTCATGCCGTTTCCATGCCTGTGCCCTCCCTTTCCTCTGCCCGCCCTCCCGCTCTCCTGTTTCTCCCATGGGAGGACTCATAGTTCTCCTTCAAGGCCCAAGTCAGGGGACCCTCCTCCAGGAGCCTTTCTTGGGTCCCCAGCCCAAGTCCGAGCACAGCCCCATGGTAGTTCGGACCGTCACCCAGTTCTTCACCACCCCCCTCCCAGTATTAGAATCACACATCCACACCCTTGGCCACGTGACTTTGCTGCTTTTTGCACTAGAGTGAGTGGAGGGCCTTTCCTCACCCCACGCTGATGTTGGTCCCAGACATGTGACTTGCTTCGGCTTGTGGCGTGTGGCAGAAAGGACAGCATCACAGTTGTGAGCCAAAGCCTTAAGAGGCACTGTATGTTTCCTCTCACTCCTCTTGCCACTCACCTTGAGAAGGTGGCCCTTCTAGAAGGTCTAGAAGATGAGGGGTGCATGTGCAGACCATAATCCCGCCTACAGCCTGAAGCAGAATCGCCCGGCCCACTCACAAACCCAGGAGCAAGAGAGATCATGTTTCTCATAAGCCACTGACATTGGGGGCTGTTTGTTACACAGTGTTATCAAGCAGCAGTGCTGACTGAGACGGTATGCCTTCTCTGATCCTCCTCCGTGTCCTCTGCTTCCCGCATCACAGCACACATGACGTTCTGATCCCGTCACCTGGTCACCTGTGTGCCTCCTCAACAACACTTCGAGCTTCATAAGAGTTGGGGCCATGGCTTATTCTCTGTTTCCCTTACTCTGTCTAACATAATGCAGGCACATTGCATGTGCTGAACAAAAAGAGGGAGGGAGGAAGGGAAGGAAAAAGGGAAGAAAGAAGGAAAGAAACTGTATATACTAAATATTTGGAAACTAGTTGTGAGGTAGTATAATATGTCTTTTAATTGAAATTTTGATGTTTTTTAACAATTTGTTTAAGAGATGCATTTTTTTTTCATTCCCAGAGGGTAGAAAAATTACATGTTTGTTTTCTGGTTTTTTGTTTTGTTTTGTTTTGTTTTTGTTTTGGTAACCAGGTGACCCAGTGGTACCCTCATCAGCAGGCCTCTTTCTTCTCAGTGTGGTCTCAGAATGGGAAGGGAAGCCCTCATCTTTCTTTATACTTTTTGTCTCATGAAATGGCTATATATATATATAGTGGGTAAAATATATACATATATATGTATGTATGTATGTATGTATATAGTGGGAAATACCAAGTGTTAGTGAGGCAGTGGGGAGACGGGCTAATTCCTGTTGCTCACAGTTCCTGCAGGGAAAGTCTTCCCAGGGTGGGGCCATGCGAGGGGAGCGGTTCCTCAATACACATCACCCCTCATTTCCACCCCTCATCTCAGCCGCCCCAAGGGGAGACTGGGTCCCAGGTACAGGTCCCCAAAGGGGAAAGGAGACAATCCCTTGCGGGGGCGGGGGGGAACGAAGAGGGAACAGCACACTCCTGCCTCCCCTTCCGGGGCCCCTTACCTTTCCAGCCAGCTGTACCTCGGCCCCCTCCCCCTGCAACCTCCTCACCACCTGCGGGGAGGCGCCCTCCGGGAGCACAATGGTCGCAGGGATGCCCAGCTTCCGGGCGCAGTAGGCCGCCGAGATGCCCGCGTTGCCCCCTGTGGAGGCAGCAGAAGGGTGTGCAGTGCGCAATGGTGCATCCCCTCCCGCTCCATTTCCCTGTGGGAATCACCCCTTCCCCACATTCATAGGCCCTGAGACTGAGCCCTCTCCCCGGCCCCAGAGGTGGACACATGACCCAGGCTGAGCCAATCAGAGACCTCCATCCCCTGGCCCTTGATCGGCCCAGGGGTGAGCCCGTGACACCAAGCGCGTGGATGGAGGAGAGTGTAGAGAGGGGCGCTCCCTCTTTGCAGCGGTTGGGAGGGTGTGGGGTGCGAGCCCGGAACTGCTGAGGGCCAGCTTGCTCACCTGAGGCCTGCGCGAGAGTAAAGCTAGGACAGAGGAGAGCAAAGCCAAGAGCAAGGGGAGGTACAGATACAAGCTCCTAGACCCAGCTGTGCCTGAAAGCCATTGATTCCAAGAATTTTCAGTTCTTGGATCCTGTAGCTTACACCTGTATGACCTGGGACTCTGTCACTTCCTCTGCGGGTCCTGAATCATGGAAACAGGGCCGAGGGAGGACATAGAAAATGGCCATCTGACCCTGACCTTGACGAGGCTGGACCTTTAAGAGGAGGCGGAGCCCTGGACATTTGCTGCTGCTCCAGCCAATTCCTCCTCCCCCGCACCCAGCCCTGAGGACCCTCATGAAGCAGAAAGGGGTGGGGTCACCTGAGGAGCACACCAGGTGTCTGCAGCCCTTCTTGACCACCTGGGAAGAGAAGGATTGGGGTTGGGGGCTGACCCAGGCGGGCGCTGTGGAGCCCTGCGCGGGATGGAGTTCGAACCTTGCCATCCCTAGGACCCTCCTTGCCCCGTGCTGCCCACAGCTCTCTCTTCCCCTCTGTGCAACCTCACTTCTCCCCGCCTGCACTCGGCCCCTGCTGGCCGGCACCACCCCCACCCCCCGCCTCCTGCCAGTACCCCTCACCTCCTGGCAGAAGTGCCCGATGCCCCGGATCTTGAAGGAGCCCGTTGGCTGCACATTCTCACACTTGAGGAAGACAGTTGTGCCCGCCACCTGGGACAGCGCCCAGCTCTCCAGCAGAGGGGTAACCACGTGGAAGTGCTCACCCTTAGCACGCTCGGCCAGGGAGCTCTCCATTCCAGCAACCACCGAGCGGGCCTGCGCGAAGAGCGAACGTCAGGGCCCGGCAGCTCCAGGCCGGAGTCCCCCTGCCCGGGACGGGAGAAGGGGCAGTGGAGGAGCCCCTCAGCTTGGCTCCCTTAGCCGCCCCGCCCCCCGCCCCCACCGCCATCTGGCTGCCAATCTACGAGACTCCAGGCAAGTGTGTGCTCCTCTCTGGGCCTCGGTTTCCCCATCTGGACAAGGAGGCTTGAACTAGGGGTCCTTTCACTCTGGAACTGTGGCTGCCTACAGCGCCAGGGATGTCAGGCGCGGCCCACAGGAGGTGATGAGTGAATGGAAATGGGAGAATTCATTCGTTATTTTTTTAAAAAGCTTATCGAGCACCCACTACGTGCCAGGCGTGTCCATGTTCTGGGACCTGGGACTGGACAAGTCAGAGGGGACCCCTGCTTTGCCCGCTTACATCCTAGTGGGAGAAACAGTCACAGAGTTTCGAAAAGGAGCCGCAGAGGAAGGCGTTTGTAGCAAGAGTGGAGGGGAAAGATCTCTCTCAGGAGAAAAACCTTTGGAAACTTTTGTAACGGAAGCTTCAGACGCAGCTAATGTGTCAGAACTGTGTAAAGCGCCCCCCGTGCGGCCGCCTCTAAGAGCCCTCGGCCAGCAAACGGCCTCATCCTTACCTGCCCTGCTCCCCCTTTACTACTATTGTTATATTTTTTCCTCTGTGGTTTCCCATCTATAAACATTTCAACATGTACTCCTAAAGGTAAAGAGTTCTTTTTCTTCTGGCAAGATTTCCTTTATTGATCTTTCTAAATCTTTATTGAGTTATAATCGGCATGCAACGTTATATTAGTTTCAGGTGTACCACACAATGAGTCGCTATCTGTATATATTGCAACATAATCGCCACAATAAGTCTAGTTCACACCTGGCACCACGCATGGTCACAGAATGTTCTCGCGTGATGAGAACTCTTGAAACCTACTCTCTCAGCCACTTGCCGGCCCGTGGTACGGCATTATTACCTGCAGTCACCGCACTGTGCATCCCGTCCCCGGGACTTATTTATCTTATAACTGAACGTTTATATCTTTTGACCATAAAGCACTCTTTCGAAAAAAAATTTAAAACGAAGCCACATGATTTTCCACAACAGTGTATATTTTTCCCAAACTCCTTGAATTTTAGCTGAAAGTGGGCTCATTTTATTTTCTGTCAATTATACTTCAGTGATGCTACTTTTTAAAATGTAATCACACTTCAAATATTAATAGTTTCTTAATATCAAATACCTGTTCCAATTGCCACGTGTCTCATTAAATGCACTCAGTGGTGGGTTTTGTGGTGGGTGGTGGTGTGGGCTTTAGAATGGTTTGATTGGGTGCATTTTGGACCTGAGCATCGCGGCTGGCTGAGAGGTCCTTTCACTCATTTCTGATGTGCGGGTTCGCACAGAGGGAATTTTGCGAGGAATGAGAGGAAGACAGCGGAGGGAAGGGCGTTCCTGCTGCGTGGGGCTCGCGGTCCAGCCCAGAGGGCCAACTTGGGGCGTTGCTCTAATTCTCCTTGCAGTGGGAAGCAGCAGGGAGTGTTAAGCCAAGGCACGGGTGAATAAGCAGTGAATGAACCTGTGCGTGAGGGCGAGGTTGACGAGAGGGAGGAAAAACAAGATTTTTTTTTTTTTTTAAGGAACAAACTCAGCCCCATTTTTCCCTCTGAGGCAGAAAAGCAGTGGGCTGCCCCCTGCAGTTCCACTATTGGCCACTAGGAGGAGCACTGCAACCTCCCCCCGCCCACCCCAAGCCCAAACTCCTCGTCCCCCATAGCAAGTTCCAGGTCTACCGGTCCTGGAGTTGACTCAGGGGCCTCGGTTGGGATGGTCCGGGGATTCCCCAGGTGGGGCGAAGCCCAAGCCATCTCCACCCACTGCCACCCAGGGCACTGCTCGAGCTGCGCGTGTCAGCGGGGGAGAGCAGCCATGAGCCACCCAAACCCAGCATCCCCCTGCCGAGGCCTCACCTCAGCCCCAGAGCCCCAGAATGAGGCCAGTCAGAGAACAAAGTTAGAGACCAGCTATGACTTCCTGGCTGTGCAACCCAGACAAGTGTCTTAAACTCTCTGTGCCTTTTTTCCCCTTCTGTAAAATATGAATAACAACAGATCGCTAACTCACAGGTTATGGCGCATATTAATATAATTACAGCGACCTTTTGTTGAGTCCCTCTTCTGTGCCAGACTAGGAACTGGGGATGATAACGTGAGGAACCAAGCTGACATCTACTCTTGGAGCTGAGTGACTTATATTCTGGTGGGGAGACCAGCATTCAACAAATAACCATATAGACAAACTGCTAAGAGGGAAACATGCATATAGGGAGTCTTGAAGAGAAGAACAAGGGGACCCACTTTGGGTAGGGAGGTCAGGAAAGACTTCTTGGGGGAGGTGACCTTTACACCTGAAACTGAAAAGTGAGAATGAACTAACCGCAGGGCAAACGGGGAGGAGAGCTTGTGCACGCATGTTACAACAGCTAATAATTGTGTGGGGCTTCCTGTGAGCCAGGCGTCAGTCAAATGCACAAGCCCCAAGAATGCCAATGGCCTTGTCAAGCCCAGGCGTCCATGAAATCTGGGGCCAGCCCCAGGCCTTGGCCGAGGCGCACGTTGCTCCCACTGCGACTGCCGGGGGCGGGGTGGGGGGGTGGCGGAGGTGGGCACCCTGGGCCCTGTTTGCGGCGGAGCAATGCGGTGTGAAGCCCAGGGCTTGGGTTCCGGTCCCAGCAAGCATGACCTTGGCCACGTCACTTTCCTGCCCTGGGCCTCACCTGTTGTGTCCACAACTTGGGTAAAGACCAGCGACCTTTTCCACCTCCCTGTCCCTTCGGTTTCTCCCCAGAGACCTCAGCCAGATCCCTAGTGCCAGAGCTCAGGAACCTCAACCGGCCCCTGGCTGGCAGAATGCCCAGCCCTGCCCCTCTGGCAAGCAAAACATGTTCCCTTCCTTTCCGCAAGGCAGGCTGGGCCCATGGAACCCTGAGTTGAATCAATATTTCTGGGAAGGCTTGGGCCACGGTCACCCTCTCTCCCTTTCCATCCACTCAGCTGGGACTTGGCCCCAGGGGCCCGATCTGGGCCCCAGTCCCCCTTACCTTCCTGCCCAAGAGTCCCCAGGCCAACTTGACCACAGCCGGCTGCCCACCAGTCTAACTGGGCACCAGCTCTGCCCGGCTTCTGGCAGCCTCCTGTGGCCTTGGCCCCTCCTCCCGTGTTAAAGAGGCAGCACCAGCTGGAGAGCGAAAGAGGATGTGATCAATCCTCACTGCCCCGCTGGGGACTGTCCACAACACATGCATTACCTGGCCCCATTTGACAGATGAAAAAACTGAGGCTTGGAGAGGGAAATTCACTCGCCCAAGGCCACGCAGCCAGTGAGGAGCAGCCTTTACCTCTCACCCTGGACCACCTCTTTCATGACACAGACGTCTCCAAGCAGCTGCTTGGCCTGAGAGAACAAGAACAAAGAAACAATCGGTATCTGTCATGTGAGAAAGTCACATTTTTCTGAAGTACTTCACCATCTCTGCTATTTCCTACCCAACACAGGAGCACCACAGTTATTTACCTTTCAAATGAATGACTGGCAATCGATTCATTCATTCTACAAATATTTACTGGACACCTACTAGGTGTCACGTCCCGGGATCTTTAGCCTCAAACAAAACAACATGTTCCCTGCCCTCTTGGAGGCCCCAGGGGCCAGTGAAGAGCAGTTACAACCCATGCCACCAGGCATTGGCCGGGCTGCGGGTGCCCCGGCACCTCACTTGGCTCCAGAGGGCTGGGAGGGCTTCCTGGAGGAGGAGAAGGCTGAGCTCAGCTAGGAATCAGGAGCATGGAGTGCAAAGGTCTGGAACTGAAAAACATGGTGTGTTCCAGGAACAGAGAAGTGTCCAGGGGGCCTGGAACAGAGCAGGTGGGGGTGGGGCAGCAGCGGGCTTGGGGCTGCAGAGGTGGGCGGGGGCAGAGTCCGAGGGCTGGCCGTGCCAATCCCGAGTCGGGGCCTCCCCAGAGGCGCTGGGGAGCCATGGAAGGCAGCGAGCAGGGGAGCAGAACCAGATTCACCTCTGGTCTCTTCCCCATCTCACCAGGTGAACCTCGGCTAGGCGCATCCACCGGGGGCATCAGTTGCCCTCTACGTCAAATGGGAGGTGAGGTCCAGCAAGGACCTTGCATTTCAGGTGTTTCGTACCCTTCTTGGACCTTGGGTGACCTCCTCAGGTTTGATGATTAACCCCAAGCCACTTGTGGTCAAGTCGAGCTGCTGCGCCGTGATCCCCAACGAGGATGCTGACAGCTCCGTTCCCATGCACACATTACACATGCCCCATCGCCGGGTGTTCTGTCCTGACCTGGGCGCTACTAACAGGTGGTAAAGCCCAGTTCACGCCTTCAGGTGCGTCCTGGCCTGGAGGGGAGAGGACGACAGCCAATTCAGTGACAATTCTAACACCCCCTAGGAGGACAGAGAGCAGAAGGCCCCCACAGGACAGCTGCGGGGACAGCTGAGGGCAGGGTGGAATCAGGGAGGGCTTCCTAGAGGAGCAGGCCTTAGAGAAGCACAACTACTGCATTTATTGCATGCCTACTGCGTGCACGCCCTTTTGTGCTGACCAGCATATCCTAAAGGCTCTTTAATAGTTGAGTATTTATTTATGCATGCAGAAGGAAGTATGCCATAGGAGATAACACACCCATAATTTCACGGATATTATTGCTTAGGAAGAAGCTGGGCAGGTATTAGAGCTTAAAAATAGTCTGTTTTAAAAAGAAAACAAAAAAAACCTTGTGTAGTAGCAATAGGAGTTACTGGCATGAAGAGGCAGTATAGCTAGAACAGGCTCCAGAACAGACCGATTCCAGGTCTGCCCCTCCCCGGCTGCGTGCCCTGGGTAAGTCAGCCTCCCATCCTGTTTCCTCAACTGGAAAACAGGGATAACATACTTCCTGAGCGGAACTGATGGGGAGAGCAAATGAGTTACTGTATGTGAAACATTCAGAACAGTACTAAGGGCTTCCTGCTGTTGTTGTTATTGCTGTTGCTGTTACTATTACAGGAGAGCTGAGATTAACACTGTGACAAAGATGGCAGTGTCCGAAGTTTGGGAACGTGCTGTCATGATATCACAGAATGTTGACCATACCCTGGGGAGGTACGTACTGTAATGCACTCCACATCGTGGTATCAGACTTGGCTCAGACAGATGGAGCCACTTTCCTGACGTCACGCAGCAGCGGCCGGTCCGGGCTCACACGCAGAGCAGCCAAGCCCCAGAGCTCCTGGCTGGAAAGAGGACAGGGTGAGGAAAGCCATGGTGGCTGCGTCAGCTCAGGCCGGAGAGATGGGCAGGGTCGCTGACCTGTCCCCTCCCAGGGCCATCTTCGTCAGCCAGCCCCTGTCGCTGACACCTCAGGCTACCACGCACCCACCCTGGCCAGCCGCTGGGGTTATTTATTAAGCTTCATTTCATCATGCTTCCTCCCCCACGCCAGGTGGCCCTCTTGTTTGCTGGGCAACAAAACTACAGGGAGAGGAGTGATAGCGCTCGGACGCGGGCGATTGGCCCTCCGGGCTCGCAGGGTTAGCTCTGGTCTCAGGCCATGTATTTTCCAAGCCACGAGGCTCAGCTCCGTGAAGCAGGTGAGAGAACTGGGGTTCAGGCAGTCATGCCAGCAGCCCAGCTAGTGGGTAACCCGGATGAGATCTGGACCCGGGCCTCCCAACGCCCAGCGCACGCTAGGGAACTTCTCAGACCTTTGCCAAAATGAGAAACCGCTCTAGAGCAGAGAGGGTTTCAAAGTAAGGGGCCACACTTCTTTCTTGTTTGTTGGTTTTTTTAAAGACTTTATTTATTTATTTTTAGAGAGAGGGGAAGGGAGGGAGAAAAACATCGATGCGAGAGAGAACGTCCATCAGTTGTGTCTCATACACGCACCCAGCTGGGGACCGAACTCGAAACCCAGGCATGCACCCTGACCAGGAGCTGAACCAGCAACCTTTTGTTTTGCAGGATGATGCCCAACCCACTGAGCCACACCGGTCAGGACTAGGGGAACACGTTTCTGCTGGCTGGAGCTGATTCACTCTGTCCTCTGCAGAGGGACATGGCTCTCCACTTGCCACTGTCCCTCCCTCTTCCTATTGCAGTTCCAATGACGAACAGACCCCTGCCTGGCCCTGCAAATATTTGAGTGTGAGACCCTTGAACAGAGGAACCCTCCCTCTCTCCTCTTGCCCCCCAAAAGGAAAGGAGTCAGGTGTCAAGGGAGAAGCTGAGGCACAGAAATGTTAAGTAACTTGCCCCAGGTTGCCCAGCAAATAGGCCATGGAGCCAGTCATTGTGGGAACCTGCATGCAACTTGGAAGCTCCTGTCCCCGGAGACTTACACACCCAGTCACGGTGTCTGAGCTGAAAGAGCCATCAAGGGCTGTATAATGCACCCTTTTCATGGGTGGGGAAACTGAGGCCCAAAGGAATAAAGGAGACGTTTTAACGTCTATCCTCAAGGCCAAGGAAAAATCTGGCCCATGTGAACCAGGCTTTCAGAATTAAGCCATTCATTTATTCATTCAACAAACACTACCCCAAACTACCCAAATTGAGGCCCTGTGGAAGGGGAGGGGGCGACAAATAAGATACATTCCTGGCCCTCAAGGGGCTTACGGCCCACATGGCAGGCAGTGGATGCAATAAAGCATTACAGGTGCAGCAACAGAAAAATGCAAATTGGGGCAACCGTAAAATGCCATTTTTTAGGTTGGCCAAAAAATTTTAAAAAGCATAAAAGCACTAACAGCCAGGGCTGGTAAATATGGAGAGAAATAGGCATCTTGTTATGTTGCTGGTGCAACCAGGAATTGCAATATTCTTTTGGGAAACAAATCAGTCAATATCTATTACAATTTGATAAATATGCATTCCTTTAACCTAGAAACCTTAGTTTGGGGAATTTATTCTCCAAAAAAAAAAAAAAGTACCAGAGGGTAAGAATAGGGGTATGAGAGTGCCTATTAAACTACTGTTTAGAATAGCAGAAATGAATGGACCAACAAACAAAACCACCGAAGCTGGGACGCTCCTGAAGTGGAAAATGGCTGAGTAATCATAACCTCACTATGAATTTATGCAGCATCACCAAGAATCAATTAGATCTAAACCTATTATCCAAAGCAATGTTCACAATGCATTTTAAGTGAGAAAAGGGGGAAGAAATATGTATAGTGTGTAATGACTTTTATTTACAAAGAACAGTGAGCAGAAGTGGCTGACACACCAGACTTTGACGGTGCACACGCCTCCACAGGGCGTGATAACCTGGGTTACCCCGGGGTGAGGACCGGGGAAGGTGGGGTGACAGGGGAGGGGGCCGGGGGGCGGGGCGCTATGATGAGAATGCTTCCCAGTCTGGGGGCTTCAGTGTGGCCGCCCCTCCCCCAAACCCCCCCCAGCTCCCGAGCCCTGAGACTGAGGGACTGAACTGTACATTTTATTTAATTTTTATCAATTTAAATAGCCACAGGTGGCCAGTGGCTACGTATGAGGCTGATCAAGAGGATCTGTCTGGGAGACCGTGTGGGTCACGTGAGACCCACCGGAAGAGGGAAAGCGTAAGTGAATCTTTGGCTTTGTGTAACGCTTTCCCCGTTCCATGCAGATAGATCCGAACGACACGTAGACAGGAAGGCAATTACCAAACAGGGACAGTAAATACCCGGAGTAAATAGTGGGTCCACGCGGTGCACAGAGGGATGCAACCTTAAAACAGTCCACGCCCAGAAATAAAGAGGGACTCAGCAGTGGGGCCCCCCTGACAGACCCCCCCGGGCCAGGCGAGCAAGGCCCGCACCGACGGCCGTGAGCCATGCTGGCGGCTGACAGGGACTTGACCTGCCGTGATGACAGCGGCCTTTCACTTCCAGGGTCTTCTCCTCCCCAAGCCCTGTGACCTCCGTGCACTCATGGGAGAAACATAAAATCCGTGACCAGTGCCGTTCAAGACGGTCAAGGTCACTGAAAACGAGGAGAGTCTGAGACACTGTCGCAGCCGGGAGGAGCCCAAGGAGACGTGTCCGCTAAATGACACGCAGTGTCCTGGGTGGGATCCTGGGACAGAAAAAGGACATGTAGTAAAAACTAAAGAAATCCGAATAAAGAGTGAACTTCGGGGAAATAATGATGTATTAACATTGGTTCAATAATTGTGACCAGGGTGCCATATTAATGAACCTGTTAATAACAAGGGAACGGGGCTGGGGGTGCACGGTGACATTCCGTACTGTCTATGCAAGTTTCAGGTTTCCATTGCTGTAAATCTGTAACTATTCTAAAATTAAAAGTGTTTTGCATCCCTACACCCAAGCATGTAAAAGTAACGGGAAATAAAAATACTTCTTATAATTCTTTGCTCTGCAGAAAAGTTCTCCTCGGAGAGTGCTTAGATAATGAAGTTTTTGTCATGCTCATTAAAATAGAACTAAGTTGACCAAAGTCCTATTTTTTTAAATGGAGAGAGAAACAGGCCCGCTTCTTGGACATAGATGTTGAGAAGCTAGCAGACGACAGAAAAAGCTGGAAAAGAAATAGTCTGCAGCCATTAGATAAAGAAGGAACAATGTGCGAGGCCCATCCTGGGATCGCTGGATACAGTTTTTCCCCTTCGCCACCGTTGGTTGCCAGCATAGTCGGAGGGAGAATGCCCAGGTGAGGCATGCGATGGGGCAAGAGTACTCTGAGAATTAATTTATCACTCCCTCCCCCCTTACTTCCCTTCTGAGAAAGAGAGAGACAGAGAGGAGAGAGGGAGGGGCGGAAGGAGGGAGGACGAGTTTTAGCACTTGCTGATCTTCCTGATGTCTGCATTCCCACGGTGGACAGTTTCAAACTGCCAAAGGCTTAACAACTAGCTCCCAAACCTCCTGCAAATGTACCAGCTGATAGGAGTCCACGGCAGGCCTCCCCTGCTGGGGACCTGGGGGGTTTCCTACAAGTGGGGAGTGCTCTTTGCTTCAGGGAAGGGAGGAGACAGCAGAATAAGAGAATTTATGGAAGTGGCCAAAGCTTTGGAATGGCTGCCGTGTGCCCAGACTAGAGGACAAGGACCCACGTGGCTGGGAATGCAGAAAGCCTCCCGGGCAAGCTGGCGCGGGGGCCGGGCACCAACCACGGAGGGCCAGACAACACCCCCTCCAACCCCATCCGTGGTGACCGGGCCCTTGACTGTCCCTGCCACCCCTGGAGGGAAGAGGAAAACCTCATTGCCTCCAATAATTATCTGCTTGAAATAAAAATTAAACCGAGTTAGGGGAAAGCAAAGAAGTCTTCATGCGCTGCACAGTGAGTCTGTGGTCTGAGATTCAATCCTGTGGCAAAAAGCTTGATGTTTCCAATGAACTTGGGACAAAAATCTCTCATAGGCCGTTCGGGCCTCATCGAATGTGGACCGATGGGTGATGGTAACCCGCAGGGGGAGACCCAGAGTGGCCTGGGGTCCTGACCTTGACCATGACCAGCTTCAGGCATAAAGGCCCACCGGGAAGTTGGAGGCATCACTACAAACAGCACCATCAGATCATCCGAGGGGCTTCCACGAGGTCCCAGCCCGAAGGGGCGATGGCCGAAGCCAGGGGAGTGAACACGCGGAGGTCTAGCCACCAAGTTCCAGGGTGAGAGCCACAAAAGCCAGCGACATTAAGTCCAAGACCGTGGAGGCCTGATTCATTTGCATTAATTTCACCAGCAAGAAATTCTATTCACTTCTCTGGGGAGTGATCGAATAGCAGTTGGACACAGAGCGGCAGATTATTAGACAGAGCACCTTTTGTCCACAACGGGTTAAGTTCTGGCCGGTCTCGGCGCTCCTGACATTTGGGGCCGGATAATTCTTTGTGGCGAGGGGCTGTCCTGTGCGTGGTAGGACATAGAATGGATGGAGGAAAGAGAGGGGGGCCCTGCGGCGACACGGTCTGTGCAGATCTGCCTGAGGCCGCTCACGGCCCCCCGGGGGAGGCTCCTGGGGCTGCCAGGCTGCAGAACCCCAAAGAGGCTGGGACCCAGACTTGCTGGGGAGGACACATGAATGAGGAACTGGGTCCGGAGGGGAGGACTCAGGAAGAAGGAACCGGACGAGGTGGGGAAATCATGGATGGTAGTGATAATAAGACCAAAGATAGTCAGGAAGGCAGGTCCTAGTCCCTGAGCCCTTACCCAGCACAGGTCTGCCAGCCTCCCTAGGCCTGCAGTCCCCAGGAGCTACCAATGTCCCCACTTCTCAGGGTGGGAAACTGAAGCTAAGGGAGGTCAGGCGGCGACCCTGAGGCTACACAGCTGGGTGTCAGTTGCAGCCTGGGAGGGAGGTGCAGGGGGCGGCTGCGGACCGTCGAACTCAGGAGCTGGAGACCGTAACTAACCAGGAATTCTGGGCTGGCTTCTCCAGCCAGCAGGGCAAACAGAGGTGAGAGCAGTCCGTTCTTCACCAGGCTGTGAAAACAACCGTCAGAATCCCCACCTCCCGCAGCCAAGGACACTCTGACCAGGCCATCCTCGGGGACACCTCCCGCGAGGGTGTGATGTAACAGCACTATCTACACTTGTCATCTGGAGACAGACAAACCTCAGGTGCCAGTCCCAGGCATGAAAGGAACCCCCCCCCCCCCCCGCCGGCGGTTTGCACAGTGACGGCGGCCAGTCTCCCCCTGAGACCCTGGAGCAGGTGACCAGTCAGAACGTGCCCGACACATCGAGATTCCACCTGGTTTTGCTCCATTTCCTCCCCAGGGTGACCTTGGGCGAGGCCCCTGCCCTGTTAGGGTCTCAGGCTCCTACCCACGGGATGGGACGCAGGACCGCATGTGCACCCACATGCGTACATATTTTTTTATGTATCTGAAAATGAAGCTACACCTAGAAGACAAACATTTATCAGTGGATGAATAGAGCAACAAAATACAGCCTGTCCATACAATGGGATACTATGTAGCCATAAAGGAGGACGAGGTGCCAACATGTTACAAAGTGGATGAATCTTAAAAATAGGAAACCAAGTGAGAGAAGCCAGACACAAAATGTCACATGTAGTTTGATTCCATTTATATAAAATGTCCAGAATAAGTAAATTCATAGACCCAGAAAGCGGATAAGTGACTGCCAGGGGCTGGGAGGGGGTGGGATGGGGTGACTGGTAATGGGTATAGAGTTTCTTTTCAGGGTGAGGAAAATGTTCTAAAAGTGACCCTTGGTAAACAGGTGAGTTGTATGCTAGGCAAACTACATCTCGGTAAAGTCATTACTTTACAAAGGAAATGCTCAGCCCCGGCCGGTGTGGCTCAGAGGGGAGGACCACATCCCGCAAACCCAAAGGTCACCGGTTCCATTCCCCGTCAGCCTGTGCCTGGGTTGCGGGCCAGGCCCCCGATTAGGGGCGCGTGGGAGGCACCCAAGCCATGTTTTTCTCTCTTTCTCCCTCCCTTCCCCTCTCTCTAAAAAAAAATAAAATAAAATCTTTAAAATTAAAAATAAAAAATGTAAAGATTTTTTTTTAACCAGCGAGCGGTTATGTCCCAACAGGACTTCAACAACAGCGATAGAAATTTTGTCTTTTCTGCTCTTTTTGGATCTTTTATGATTGATTTTAATTTGGTGTTTTTTCAAATCACGGCAGCAACACACCCTTATTGGAACAGAGGGAACAACAGAGAGAGGTCTGCGGAAGCAGCGATTTCTGGGGCTTGCAGCCCTCACAGCCGCCGCCGCCGCCGCCTGACGGGGCGGGGGGGCAGAGCACAGACCCTTCAGCAGTGTCCTTCATGCCCACCTCGCTGACTGCGCGGGTAACCTCAAGTCCCATGCCTACGCCGGAGACCTCTAGGGCGACTCCTCGCAGCCCTCTCGGTCAGGGGCTTTCCGCCCCTGCCATCTGGGTGACGCGATTTTACTCTACCTCTGAGCCTGTTCCTACACCTGGGAGGTGGGACTCAAAATGCCCACTCACCTCATTGTTTGAGGATTATCGACACCCCACGGGGGAATCACGTGGCATCAGAGCAGGCCCCAGCAGGCCTAGGGCCGCGTGAGAGCCGGCCGTCTACTCCCCAGGCACACAGGGAGGCTGTGCCCAACGGTGAGCGAGCAGCCCCGCTTGGCTCCAGCCCCGCCCCCTGTAGGCCCAGCGCTCTTCCCACCGGGGCGGGGGCTTGGGCCTGCGCCTGCGGAAGGCCGGTGCTCGGCAAGAGGGGACAGCTTGCCCCGCGGAGAGGGACGGCTGTGCAGGCCGTTTGAGCCCTCGTTGCCCTCTGTCTCATCGATATTCTCGTCCCAGCCGACAAGACAAGAGAGCTTTGTTGAGGGGCCAGGGAGAGAGCAGGCCAGGGCTGGGCCAGGGCTGCGTGTGTGCAAGTGTGCGTGCGTGTGTGCCACCTGTGCACAGCCAGACCCCTGCCTCAGACAGGGAGAGGCAGGAGGCTTGGCGTGGGGAGGGGAGGGAGCTCGGTGCAAGGCCCTGCGGTTCTGTGATGACAACGACGAAGGTGCAATGGCTGCCGACACTGAACACTGAGTCCCGGGCCCCTTGCACACACACTTGTGCATTATCATGTCACCTGCTCCTCGGAGAGCAGTACTATTACCGTTCCCATTTTACAGATGAGCAAAGGGGGGCTCCAGGAGGCAGAGTGACTGCCGAGGGCCCCACAGCTGGCGCATGGCGGTCAGGATGTGAACCCCGCTCTGTCTGGTCTTACCCATAATGCCTTCTGCCCCTTTATAACAAAGGAGCCCTAAAAGAATGGCAGCGAAGAAGGCGATCAAGACCGTGTTCGGGTTGCACGGGTGGGAGTCAGACTCTGCGTTCACATGCCCGGAGACTGTCCGTGCCTCAGGTTCCCTTTCTGTAAGTCGGGATAACTATAGTGCCCGTTCCTTTTGGGGTTTGTCTCTTGGGTGCCTGCGAGGTACCAAGCACATGCTAGTGACTTTATGAGCATTTTCTCACACCATCCTCCTCCAGCCTCCCAGTCTTCTGTAGGAAGTGGGAATGGTCCTCGTTGCAAATGAAGACGCTGAGGATGGGGAAGGGGAGGGGGCAGGAGGGGAGCCGAGAAGGGTGGGGAGAGGCAGGAGGAAGCTGCCGCGGGGAGGAGCTGCGGGCCTCCCCTTCCCCTCGAGGCCGCAGGCCGCAGGCCAGGGGGCGTGTCCTGGCGGGGGTGTGGCCGGCCCTGCGGCCCTATTGGCTGCCCAGAGATGCCCAGGGAATAAAGCCGGGGACCTGGTAGCCCTGGGACAATTCAGAAGACCGGCTCCCTGTCATCTACCCTCTATCTGTCCGTGGACTGTCCACCCATCCATCCAGCTAGACCATCTCCAGCCTGCCCCTCGCTCTCCTGGTCCAGCCAGACTCCCGGCTCCCTCACCTCCGCCCTTCCTCCTTCCCACCAATGGCGGCCCGAGAGCCTCTGCACGTGAAGACCCCCGTCCGAGACAGCATGGCCCTGTCCAAAGTGGCCGGCACCAGCGTCTATCTCAAGATGGACAGTGCCCAGCCCTCAGGCTCCTTCAAGATCCGGGGCATCGGACACCTCTGCCAGACGGTACAGGACGGCTCTAGGCGAGGGTGGCAGGTCCTCTTTCCTCGAGGGGCAGGGCCAGTGCCATGTGAAACCCGAGGCGCTCCAGGCCAGGCCCTGCGGACGCCCCACAGGGGCAGGGCGCCCACCATTAGCGCTTCCTCTGGATAAGGGGTGCCCGTCATGAGGGTCCCCTGTGGGCTGACCCCAGAGCCATCCGCTGCCAGCCTCTCTGTCGCCCTTCTCTGAAGCAGGCTCTTTGGGGAGGAAAGATGGCATTTGACAGGCTAGGGCCGTACAAGCACCACGTGAAGGAAGGGGAGTTCAGTGAGAATCCCCGGGAGGGAAGAGCCCAGAAGGGCCTGACCCCTCCCCGCTTGTCTCCACAGTGGGCTGAGCAAGGCTGTAAACACTTCGTCTGCTCCTCAGGTAAGTGGTCTGCAGGCCTTCCCCGGCCCGCCCCCACCCCCCGCCCCCGTGTGGCCCCGGGCCAGGCGCTCCGCCTCTCTGGGCCCGGCTTCCCCAGCCCTGAGCTGCTGCAAACATTCGCAGCAGGCCCAATTCGGAACTCCAGCGCGGGAGGCCTCAGGTCCCCCGGGGGGTTCAGGGACCGGAAGCTGGCCCCCGGGCCCTGCCGCCCTGACACACTCTCCACCCCTCGCCCGGCAGCGGGCAACGCGGGCATGGCGGCCGCCTATGCTGCCAGGAAGCTGGGCATCCCTGCCACCATCGTCGTGCCCAGCACCACCCCCGCCCTCACCATCGAGCGGCTCAAGGCCGAGGGCTCCACGGTAAAGGTGGTGGGTGAGGTGAGTACCCACCTGGGGCCATGGGGGGCGCTGGCGGCAGAGGAGGGTCTCCCGGGCCCTCACCCACTCCCGCCTCCCCTGTGGCCTTGCAGATGCTGGATGAGGCTGTTGAGCTGGCCAAGGCCCTGGCGAAGAACAACCCAGGCTGGGTCTATATCCCGCCCTTTGACGACCCCCTCATCTGGTACGTGGGGCCCCGGGTTGCCTGGTGTGGGCAGCACCCCCGCCCCCGCACACACACTACCGGGTGGGCGCCTGCACAGCAGCTGCACACAGGTGCGCACACAGCATCACACGCAGGGGCCCAGCTCCCTGCTCCCATGCCCGTTCTCCACGGCCACAAGCGAACAGGCAAGCTCCCACGCATGGGTGTCGGCATTGCAGGCGCCCAGAGGCAGATCCCAAGACTAGGATTTCAGGGGAAGCATTTGCTTGGGAGGTGGTTCATTAGAGGAGTGGGGACGAGAGATAAGGGAGGAAAGGAGCCACTACGTGGGCCGCTCACAGGCAGGCTATTGCTGCGGGCAGCCAGCGCTTCATTTTGGGGGGCCCCTGGGAGCCAGCGAGGAACACAAACCAGGAGCACCCACGGGCAGGAGTGTTTAGACACCAACACCCCTAATTCTTAATTCCCACGGCCACTGGGTGAGGGGTGTGCTCAGCGGTGTCGCGGGCTGGCTCTGTCGGCCGCCGCCTTCCCAGGCAGCCGCAGGGCCAGCGGGAGCCTTCAGGCAGGGACAAGGTGCCGGCAGCTGGAGTCAGGGGGGGTCGGGGAGGAGGAGACGGGTGAGAGGGCCCCTGCCCCGTGTCTCCAGCAAGTCTGACCCTGACCTGCCCCCCACCCCGCAGGGAAGGCCACACGTCCATCGTGAAGGAGCTGAAGGAGACGCTGAGAGCCAAGCCGGGCGCCATCGCGCTGTCCGTTGGTGGCGGTGGCCTGCTGTGCGGCGTGGTCCAGGGGCTGCAGGAGGTGGGCTGGGGGGATGTGCCCGTCATCGCCCTGGAGACCCTGGGAGCCCACAGTTTCCACACCGCCACCTCCGCCGGCAAGCTCGTCTCTCTGCCCCAGCTCACAAGGTGAGCAGTGGGGGCGCCTCCATCCAGGACTCGGCCAGCCTGGGGGACTCCCCCTCAGTGCCGGCGGCCGGGTGGGTCCTGGTGTGCCATTGTACGGGTGGGGAAACTGAGGCTTTCTTCACGCACCCAGAATTGCAGAGCCCGTGAGGGGTACTGCAGGGATGGAGCCCAAGTCTGTGTGAGTCTGCACCAGGAACGTCACAATTCCTCATGCAAAAAGTCTAACATTGATCACCTATTGAGTTCTCTGTGGCAAGGTTTTGTGCTCTTCATTAACTTGCCAGCCATTCAACTGAGCCCCTCATATGGGGTAGCAACTGGCTGATCCTGGGGACAGAGGGGCAGGTGAACACACCTCCTGCTGTTAAGGAGCTCATATCCCCGCCCCAACCCTTTGGCACATGGTGTTTAATTAGAATTAGGTTTGGCTGCTTGATACAGGAATCCAAAAAAGCAGTGACTTAAACAAAATTGAATTTTATTTCCTTATTTAAAAAAAAAAAAAAAAAGCCTAGAGGTACACAATCAAGGGCAGCTCCATGAAGCCAGGAGCCCAGATTCCCTGAGTTTGCTCTCCATCATCCTTATTTCGTACTTTCATGGGCCAAAACAGCTGCACAAGTGCCAACTATCACACCCACATTCCATCTGGCAGGGAGGAGGAAGCAGGGCCAAAGTGATGTCCCTTCCCTTTAAAGAAGATGCAATACTTCCACTTACCTCTCATTAGCCAGAACTTAGTCACATGGCCACACCTGCTGCAAGGCCCTGGGACTTTTCTGTGCTTTACACAGGGCACTCTGGTCCCCATGCCCACGGACCCCAGCTCCTCCTCCCACTCATATCCGACTTTCTCTTTCTCTCCCTCTCCACCCTGGTCTCCGTCTCCTTCCTCTCTTCTGCCTCTGTCTCCCCCATTCCTATTGTCCATGCCCTGCCCCAGTGTTGCCAAGGCCCTGTGTGTGAAGACTGTGGGGGCTCAGGCCCTGAAGCTGTTTCGGGAACACCCCATTTTCTCAGAAGTTATCTCAGACCAGGAGGCTGTGGCTGCCATTGAGAAGTTTGTGGGTATGTGCCAAGTCCTTGCAAAACCTTACTTGTTGGTTCAGGAGCTAAGGGGTTGTCCTAGCCTCTTGCTATGCCAACAGATCCCACTGCTGCAAGTTTAAGTTCTGTCCCCCGTCCATTTCTAGTAATTTCCTATTGAAGATGATACAGTGCAGCAGTAAAAATAGAAAGGCAAAGGCACAAATTAAGAAGTAAGCCTGATAGATAGCCATGACAACATAAAACAATTACTGAGTATTTAAAAATAAATATTAATTCTGAGCTTCCTGGCAGCCAAGGTGAAAAAGGAAAGTCTAGGCCTCAGTGATGGATTCAGAAGTGGGTCTGTAACTAGGTTGGACATTTTTTGGGCTCAGCCAAGGACAAGAATGGCACACACATTCACACACATGCATGCACACACACACACACACTAGCATTTAGGCTTAATTCTCCTGTACCATCAGTCCGGCTAATCGACCATGGCACTTTTGTTTGGATATTGTCTCAGAATCCTTCTCAATACACTGCTCAGACCATTACAATCATTTTATCAGTGGTAGCACCAGTGATGGGACCTAGCCCTGGCTCAGGGCTTGGAAGGTCAATCTAGGATAATGATGGAAGGACCCGAGTCTGTGGCCAGGGCTGACCGCAGATTGGCTTTTAACCCCCAAGCTTCACCCGCAGCCCCACAGTTCCCTCGCAGCCGGCGGAACTCGGGCCCTTCCTCACCACCCTCTCCTCTGGCAGACGATGAGAAGATCCTGGTGGAGCCCGCCTGCGGGGCAGCCCTGGCCGCTGTGTACAGCCACGTGGTTCAGAAGCTGCAAGGGGAGGGGAAGCTCCGCATGCCCCTGTCCTCCCTCGTGGTCATTGTCTGCGGCGGCAGCAACATCAGTCTGGCCCAGCTGCAGGCCCTCAAGAAACAGCTGGGCATGAAGGACGAGCTGCCCAACTGAGAACGGCCTCCACTTGCATCCCTCCCCGACCTGGGAGTCCCTTGGAGGTGCTGGAGTTTTATCCAGTGCCTCGCTGTACATACTATTCTGGTGTCTGGTTGGGAGCCTGCAGCCGGGCCAACCATGCCTTCCTGTGCCCACGAACCCACTGTGCAGAGGGGCCAACGCTCCGAGACGGAGGCAGGACGTCAGCTGCCAGCAAGGCTGCGGATTGGACCCCTGCTATCCGTGTGACTGCTCTGTGACCATCCTTAGCCACGCTGGCCAGGGCGACCACTGCCCACATGTAACATATCAGATCCCCAGAGCAAGGTGGGTGGGAGGGACCGAGACCTCAGTAGAATGCTCCTCCTCAGAGCAAGGTGTCCCCACCCCAGGCTTTCAACCTGGGCAGGGGACAAGGTCACTGTCCAGGGTTGAGGAACCATCTTGTTTTTCCTCCCAGGAAGCCCAACCCCGCCCTTACTCATTTTTCTAATGTGCAAACATTTTCATTGAAAAAGAAAAATAGCTATTTATGAAGCAAAGATCCTTTGCGTTTTTCCATCATCGCTGTCTTCCTCCCTCCCCTCCACCCACCCGGTCAGGCCTGCTCCCAGCCCCGCTCTCAGCAGTGAGCACGCCCACCTTCAACCCCCATCCCCAGGCACCCTGGGGCCCCACATGGAACTCAAGACCCCCACCCCTGCTGAGCGTGCATGCCAGGAGGCGGGACGCTGGTGAGGGAAGTGGTACTGAGCAAGAGGGGCTCGGGGACAAGGGCTGCCTCCAGTTAAGGCAGATTTTATCACAGAACCGCTAGGAGTGGAGTAGTGAGCCCCCCGTCCCTGGGGGTAATGTGACACCAAACAATCATCTCAGGAACAGGGAAAGAGTGGACATGAAGTCAGTGTCAGACAGACCCTCTAATAACAGGAAACCCTTTCCCAAAGTGTGCTGAAGGCAGCACGTAGAACAGAGGAGCTTCAAGGTCTGGGAGGGGACCGCCCACCCCCACAGGAACGGCCCCATCCCACCGACAGCAGCCACTGGGCATCCTATTGGATCTCCAAGTCCAAAGCAAAGTTTGCGACCACTCCTGCCTCTCAGGGCACCACAAAACGAGCCCGGGTGGCAGAGGCCCCACCCACCCCAACAAAGGGCAGAGGCTGTGAGATTTCAGCAGGGGAGTAACACACATGCCACAAGCCCATGTGGGCCACCAGCCTGCCTACTGATTGCCACATGCAAACTCCCCAGGGACGGGCACCAAGGCAGGGCTGGCAGGGACAGGAAATCATCAGCTCCACGGCTCCAGAACTGTGCTTGGAGACAGAGTGGAACTGAAACGGCACCTGCTCAGAATAGGATTGCTTCCAGCTCCCACCGTCCCACCTGGATTGGGCAGGAAACCCCTCAGGAGGCAAGGCAGACACCACTGCCGCCAGCAGAGGGGCCAAGGCACTGTGGGCCGGGCCGACCAGCTGGCAGGGCCCTTGTCCATCAGAGAAGGCCAGAGCCACCAGTGAGCCAGCCGGTGTTATTCTGAAGATGAGGATTATGGGAAATTCCTGGTGCCCAGGCCCTGAAGGATGCTGCCTTTCTGGCAGCCTCTGCAAAGGTGGGTCCTGCTCAGCGGGGTCAGCTGGAGCCCCACTGGGCGACCACCTGCATGACGCCCATGCTCTTCAGAATCATCCTGGCTACATGGCTTCCCCACCTCCCAGAAAGCAGAAGGGGCCAGAATCGTCCTGGGGAACAGGCCGGCGTCGCCCCTTCCTGCAGAGTGGCCCTGGAGGAGTTCCATCACCGCCTGGGGCCTCCCACCCTTGATTTCCTCCAGGCCATTTCTCAGCATCTTACGTACCTAGTTCCCTTACTCTGTTGGCTACCTCGCCAATGTAACCTTCCTAAGAGCAAGGACATTTTTTTGCACCTTTGGTCATAAGGTAGCCACAGGGCCTCATCCCAGTGCCTGGTCTGTGCTGAGTGTTCAGTAACACTCGCTACTCAAGGAAGGTTGAGTGTGTGAGGCCTTACAGAGGCTGCATCACAGCCGCCGTCCCCCGCCCCCTGCCCCAGGGGAAGTGTTGCTCACACCATCATCCCATTTTACAGATGTGGCAACCAAGGGTCAGGCAGGTCAGCGTCCATTGCCAGTAGTGACACTGACCTGCCTGAGCCTTGTCAGCGTACCTGACAAGTACCTGAGTAGTGTCAGGTAGTGATGGGACTCGAACCCAGGTCTCTGACCCCAGGGCTTTGTGCTGTCCTCCCCGCAAGCACCTAGCATTGGGCGAGTCTTATCTCCGATGCAGGTTTTTGGGTATGAACAGACAGGGCGAGACTCTGTTTTGTGTTGCTCTGTACCCTGCGGTAGGACTTGGGAAGGTCCTGCGGTGAACAGGGTGCCAGAACAGCACCCAGAACAAAGTAGGAGTTCAGTAAACATACAGACGGCTAGACAAATGAATGGACAGAAGGACGGACAGGAAGGTGCATGGGAGGGCAGGGCAGATCCCAATCTTGAGAGGAGGAGGCCCCAGGCTTCCCCGCTGCCCCAAGGAGCACAGAACAGCAGCCCGGCCTCTCCCATTTAATGATGTCACAGCCTGCGATTTGGTGCCTGCAGCAGGGGAGCTGAGAGCACCGCCCGGAGGCCAGGGGCGCGCCCAGGTTGGGCGGGGACGTGAGGCTGGTGCCTGGGGCTGGCACGCCTGCCCCCGCAGCGAGGACACTCAGGTCCCTCCAGCCGCAAGTCGCCGGAAACTTTGGTTTTTGTTTTCCAGTTTCTGTCCTTGAAAAAGCTGTCCAGAGGGTCAACAGGGGCGGCTTCCTAAAGGGGCAGAGGAGCTGGGCCTGGAGGAGCAACACCAACCAGAGGCAACGCCCAGGTCTCGGGGCTGAAACCCCACCAGCTGCAGAGCCCCGCAGCAGGCCCCGAACAGGCCCCTCCAGCACCACCGGCCGGGGGCTCAGACCCTGAGGCCTCAGGGGGGCAGCCTGAAGGTGGGGTCCCAGGGTGGGGGAGAGAGAGAAGCAGAGAGAACAGAGAGAAAGAGAAGAAGAAAGAGATGCAGAGGCAGAGGGAGACAGAAAGGGCACTCACCCGCTTCAGAGGGGAGGAGTCAGCTCGGGCCTACCTGGTCCCACGACCCACCCAGGAGGAAACGCCCAGGTGAGGGTGAACCTGGCAGACCCAGGTCCCAGCTCTGCACACAGCAGGGGGCAAAGGCCACAGAGAGGATGAGCAGGAGGTCAAGGCGGCGCCTGCAGAGGTCAGCAGGGGCAGAAGGCAGCGGGCAGAGCCAGCGCCTCAGTCCCACCAGACCTCGGTGGGCGAGAACTTCCAGAGGTCAGGCTGGCCCATGTGCAGCAGGTTGTTGAAGGGCGAGGTGCTCCACTGGAATGGGGGCACCTGGTCCCACGTGGGGCCGCTGGCTGCCACAAGGCGCAGGGCCTTGGCCAGGGCCATGCTGGTCACCTGGGGGCAGAGCAGGTCGCTGAGTGTCAGCCCGGGCTGGGCTCCGACCTGGGCTCCGAGTTGACCCCTTGGGGGCCCTGGCGCCCACCCTACCTTGCACCCCAACCACAGCCCGATTCTGCCCTGACTCCTGCCCGGCCCCTGCCCGGCCCCTAGCCTCCTCCCCGTGCTCTCCCAGCGCGGCCGGCCGCACCTTGACGTCGATGCCGCCATGGGAGCGCTGCTGCAGAGCCCGGAACGGGTAGGAGCCGTTGACCGGGTTGAGGTCGGAGCGGGCGGAGATGGCGTTCTCCCCGTTGGGCTGGGGGCTGCAGGCTTTGCACAGTGACAGGGGGTCGTGCAGGAAGTCGTTGTACCTGTATGTGCGGAGGGGAGGGACCATCAGTCGTGCTGGGAAGGAGAGGCCAAGCAGGGGACCACACTCCGCCTAGAGCAGCCCCATAACGCGCCCGCTGCCTCGCCCGCTGCCTCGTGAGCCCGTGTCCCTCCCACCGCCGGGTCCCTCGCTCCCTCCCCCTCGTCATCCCATGGTCATTCTGACCTCAGCTCAGGCCCCCGTCCTCTGGGGATGCCTCTGGGCTCTATCCCAAGTCAGGCTAGGGACCCCACGTTGGCCCTCTGTAGCGCTTCTGGGGACTCGGACAGTCCTGGTTACACCCCCGCGTCCCTGTGAGTGCCTCATGCGTGCGTTTCTCCACCTCCACGGGGCGGGGGCCCGAGGATGGGGGGCGGGGGGCAGGGGGACATGCCCTGCACCTGTGCCTCCAGCACCAAGCACGGTGCCCGGCACAGGGTGGTCACTCAGCAGCACTTCGGTGTCCCCACCTGTACCAGGACTCACACTGGGCAGGGCCACAGCGCTGCTGGATTGGCTATGACACACTGTCACCCTGCCAGTCCCCGGGCTAGTTTCAAGGTTTAAATAAGCGACGAAGATCACAGAGCACTCACTGTCCGCCACGCACCTCATCAGCTGGATCATGGAGGCCACGTCGTGCACCAGCGACTGGTTCCGCTGGAAGATCTGGGCCCGGGGGTTCTTGTCATAGGAGAACCAGTCCCCATACTGAGCCACCAGGGCCTGCAGCCCACTGGCGTTGAACACAGTCTCGAAGTACCTGCCGGGGGGTAAGGACGGTCACTCCTGGCTCCCACTGACCTCGCTGGCCGTGGCCGCGGAGGTGGAGGGGCAGTCATGCTAGAAGATTAGTTCTGACAACCGCGACTGTCAGGAGAGCAATAAAAGTAGCTTTTGTTTGTGCTGGGAGGTGGCTTGGTAGGGCGGCCAAGCTTGGGCTCTGGGGATCCAAGAGTCATGGCTTCAAACCCTGGCTTCCTCACTGACCAGCTATGGAGCCTTGGAAAGTTAGGCACTCTCTCAGGGCCTCAGTTTCACCGCCTGTGAAATGGGAACAGGAGCAGTGGTGGGCATGTTGCAAGGATCAAGCCACATAACCCAGGGAAAGCACAGTAAGCGTCGGGAGGGGACGGTGGAGCAGCCCGGTTAGAGCAGATCCAGCCGGCGGCCACGGCCAGGCCAGCACCCCGCGGACTGGGAAGTCACATGTGCTGACCTAAGCCCCACGGCTGTGCCCCGAAACGGCCAGGGCCTTCCTGGCCGAGGAGCGGGCTGGGTGGGTTTCCTGGCTCCTTGGATTTGAAGAATCACTTGGGAAGGGCCCCTCACCAGCACAGGGAGCTGGGGCGGGGCGGGGCAGGGCAGGCAGGAACACCTACGGGATGTTGTAGCTGGCCCAGTAGGTCCTCTGGTAGAGCTCCGAGGTCTTGTCGGCCACCACCACCATGCCGCTGGAACCAAGAGGAGCAGGGCAGGAGTGGCGAGGAAAGGGGCTCCTGCAGGCTGGCCTGCTCAAGGACCCCCCGCCCTGCTCAAGGATCCCCCGCCCTGCTCAGGGACCCCCGGTGGCTCCCCGCTGCCAGGAGGTAGATTACGCCCTGAATCTTCAGCTCCAGTTGGGGCTGCCCTCCCTTCCGACCCTGACCTTGCCTTCCTTAGATTTCACTTCCCACGCCTATGGGCCTTGGCCTGAGCAGCAACCCTCTGCCTGGGGTGCCCTGCCCATCCCCCAGGGGACTCACGGGATCTGCTCCAGGACGGTGAGCACCCGGCTCCCAGGGCTGGGCCCACCGGGAACGAATGCCTTGTAGTCCACGATCATCCACTGGTTGTTGTACCTGCCGAGCCCATGGAGGGAGGACTGAACGGCCCCGGGGGGGTCACGGCCCCAGCCTTCCCCGCCCCCAGCACTCCACGCAGCCAGGCATCATAGGGCCCGGGTGGTCTGGGGGTGTCTGGCCGTCTGACCATGACTCTCTATCTGCTGCTGGACTGGGCGTGTGCAAACTCTTCTCTCCGCACGCTCCTTGCCTGCTCCAGAGGAGCCTGCGGCTCCCCCGGGCTTGCTGGGACAAAGGTCAGTTCTGCCCCACACTCTAAGACCTCAACCATCCAGGTCCAGTGCCTCTGGTTCACAGGGCCTCCTCCACCTCCACCCATGTCCACCTCCTCGGACGGCCCTCCCCACTGTCCCCAGGCTCTCGAGTTCCAGATTCTCTTCCTGTCCTTCCACTGGGGGCCCTTCCCTGGGGAGAGAAGCCTGCAAGCGATGGGCAAACGCCTTCCCTCTGTGAGCCTGTTTCCTCGGGTATCGAACAGGGGAGGCGGCCCTGATGAGAATCCGTGAAAGGGCTCTGCAGAGGGTGAGGGGATGGGGCTCCGGTGCCCCAGTAGGTCCCCTAGGGTCTGCGTGTTAGGGGGGAGGCCGGTCCATTGCTCGGGCGGGGAGGCCACAGTGCCAGAAGCCCACTCACGTGCCACTGTTGAACCTCTTGAAGACATCCGCCCAGCTGTCGCCATCCAGGGCCAAGCGGTTGGCCACGACGTTGCGCACCCACTCCATCACACAGTCCTTGGGATGCACGTATTTCCACAGGGCCGGGTTCCTGTTGCCAATGGTGGTCTCCATTGCCACCTGTGGGAGAGCCGAGGGGGCGCTGCCTGAGGGACCACTGGACTTACAACTGGGGCACGCTGCCACCAAGGGGCGGTGCTACGTCTAGTTCACATATTGACTAACAGCTTTACAGCCTCACGACCTGGCTCAGGCGCACGGTGCTCACTGGTTCCCTGGATGAGCACTGAGGGGGCTCACACTCCCGGAGCCGGCCCTGCCCTGGGGAAGGCCCCTGAAGAGCCCAGGCGCTGCTCCTGTGCACTCACCCGACGAAGTCGGTCCACTCCTTCCCCAGAGAGACAGCAGCCCTTTCCTACCCCTTCCCTGCAGTTTTGCAGGGAAAGCTGGGTGGCTTGAGCCCGTCCACCCAGCAGACTACCACGATCTCCATGGACTCCCGGCCACCTGGGAAAAACATAGCGCAGGTATTGATGCGCCTTCTAGCCACAGGATAAACTGAGGGCCATGGAAGCTAGAAGACTTGCCAAAGGTCATGGCTGGTAAGGGGCTGGGCCAAGATTTGATCCCCAAACTTCCAGCTCCTAAATCAGTGCTTGTTCCCCGCTATGGCAGCAGGAGATTAGCAAGCGTCTCCCTTTTTCACACAAAGCTGGAAAGCAGCTAAAACAGCCGTGGCTGCAAAAGGAGCGTTTTAAAGGAGGGATCTGCAAAGCAAGCCTGCGCAGCCCTGCCCAGGCAGGGGCGGCTCCTCCCCCTCCCTCCACCCTGCTGCACTAAAGATCCAAAGCCACGGACGGACGGACGGACCAGACAGGCTGGCCCCCAAGCCCCGGGGGGCGGGGACAGTCCCTTCCTCTACAGCAGGGGTGTTCTTCCTGGGGCAGGGGAGTCGTAATACTCAGGGACTCTGCAGACTTGGGTAGGAAAACATTACATTTTAACTTCCGCTAACGTCAAACTGCAATTCAGCATCTCCTCCACTGTTAACAAGGGTGACATACCACAGAGGTATCAGTGGCACCTGAGACTGTCACCGACAGAAATCACAGTTTCCCACCATGTGATGGGGTGCACATATCTCAAAATATCATTGACGTTCCTCCTTACTTCTAAACAACGGTAGGGAGCACCTGCTACGCCATCTTGTTATTTTACGCACTAACAAAGCAGCACATATATTTCAAGCCAACTTAGACACTATTTTGATAACACGATTTAATATAATGGGTCTTCTTTCTAATCCTACACATTTTGGTTTACGCACTTAAAAACATTATTTTGGGATGGGGTTCATAGCTCCCCAGCCAGCCACAGGGGTCTGCGGCATAAAACCAGGTAAGAACCCAGGTGGCAGGTGAATACCGCACTGGACAATTTCCAGGTGTCTGGAGTCAACTAGTTTGATTGTTCTTCCCCAGTCCCTTCCTGGGACGGCAGCAAGGGGGTCCCCTCACCCGCTGCCTGACTTTCTCATGCCTCTTTCAACTTAAGGGGACTAAATCCCACGCTTCCCTCAAAAACTGACAGAAAAGAGCTCCCCCCCATCAGGGAACTGGCATCTTCTGTGCGAGCGTTTTTAAAGCCGTGTTTTTCCTCCTCCGCAGCGTTGCCCTGGCGACTACAGGGCTCGCTGCTGGGGCGAGGGGAGCCAGGGACAGACTTCTAAATGAGTTTGGACCCCAGCCAGGAAAACCGATAAAAACAACACACTGTAAACAACATTTCTTCAGAAAACCTGGCCAGGTTAGAGAGGTTTTGTGGAGGGCAAGAGAGAAGGCGGTATTTCACAGCAAGGCCGCGGGGGGAGGGACGGCTCCTCCTAAACACTTAAGAACAGAACGAGGTCCTTGAGGACAAGGATATTGCATAAGGGCCCTAAGACTGGCGGTTTCTGAGGAGCTGTGTTAAGTGCAGAGTCCCAGGCCGGCCGCAGGCCCTGGAGGTCCAGGAGGGGCCCAGGAATCTGCATTTAAAACGCCCACCCCATGTAGGGTACTGGATAGATACTAGGTTTATCGGGTGATCCCTCTGTGAGTCATATAAATATCTAATCACTCTGTTGTACACCTGCAACTAATATAATAGTGTATGTCACATGTAAACACTTTTTTAAAAAATAAGCCCCACCCAGCAGCCCAAGTACTGGGAGAGGAGGACGCGCCTCAGCCCAGGCCTGGCTGCTGGGTGAGGAGCAGCCCGGGGCGAACGGGGACGTGGTGGGGACTCACCAGCCCGCTGCCCAGGATGTAGAAGTCGTCACAGGAGAAGATGGTGCCGGGGTAGGACGAGAACACCAGCTTGTTGCCAGGCGCCAGGGGAGAGTTCTCTGCAAGGGGACAGCGTGCCAGGGGCTGGAGGGGTGCTGGGCAGACAAGCCCGTGGGGGCGCCCTGCACCCCCGCCCGACACTTGGGGGTCCCCAGGTGGGGAGCAGCAGGCCTGGGAGGAAGCCCCCAAGCCTTCTTCTCTTCGTTTAGCAAACCAGGCATTTGATGTGTATGTGTGTGTGAAAGCTAGTAGCAAAATATATATATTTTTGTTTGTTTACTAGTACTTTTTTTGGCTTTCCTTTTTTCTTTCTTTTTTTTAAACTACAAAGACCTATTGTACAAAATACAATTCAGAGGGCAATACCCAGAAATCTGAGAGCACGGGCTTTGTTTGGGGGGGGAATTCTTTTATGGAGATAATTGACAAAAATTGTCGCTATTTAAGATATTCAATGTGATGATTTGATACATTGTGAAATGACTATAACCCGGCTAATTAACACGTCAGTCACTTCACACAGCTCCCTCTTTATATGTGTGGTGAGAGCAGCTAAGATCTACTCTCCTAGCAGATTTCCAGGATACTACACAGCACTGTGAAATACAGTCACCACGCGGGACCTGGGGTCCCCAGAACTTACTCATGTTCTCGCTGGCAGCTTGTCCTCCCTGGCCAGCATCTCCCCCTCCCCCACCCCAGCCCCTGGCAACCACCACGGCTGAGACTTGTTTAGATTCTACATATAAATGGCATCGTGCAGTATTTGTCTTTTCGTGCATGTGTGAGATAGTTTCTTTATCCATTTATTTCCCCACTGATGGACGTTCAGGCTGCTTCCACATCGGAGCTGCCGTGAATAGCGCTGCAATGAACAGGGGAGCGAGCGCAGGTACCAACTTGAGATCCTGATTTCATTCCTTTTGAATAAGTACCTGGAAGTGGGATTTCTGGGTCATAGAAGAGCATGTGCTTTGGAGGAAGGAGACCTGCCAGCTCGGTCTCTCGTTAACTGTCAGGCCCAGAGCAAGCTCCTGGCCCTTCCGAGCCTCAGTGTCCTTATCTGGGGCAGAGGGCACTTTCTCAGGTGAGGGAAAAGCTCTCTATCTTTATTGAATGGCAGTTACAAGACTGCCTATGTCTGTCCAAACCCACCACACTATCCACTCTAAAGTGTGTAAGTTATCCATCAATAAAATTAATTAAAAAAAAAAAACCCAAACCCAAACTTGGTCTCAAATGTCATTTATCAACCATTAAAATGGCCAAAAAAAAAAAGACCCTGGCTGGTGTGGCTCAGTAGATTGAGTGCTGGACTGTGAAGCAAAGGGTCACGAGTTCAATACCCAGTTGGGGCACATGCCTGGGTTGCAGGCCAGGTCCCCAGTAGGGGGTGAACGAGGGGCAACCACACATTGATGTTTCTCTCTCTCTCTCTTTCTTCCTCCTTTCCCCTCTCTCTAAAAATAAAAATAAAATCTTTTAAAAAAAAATGTTTAAAAAAATGGCAAAAATTGAAATGAACCATCACACCCAGTGCTGGCAAACTTGTGGTGAAAGTCAACACCCTCAGAGACTGGTGGCGGAAGCGTAAACTGGCCCACCCAATTCTGGAGGCAACTTGGCTGTATTTATCTGGACACTAAAATTTTCATTGTGCCCATCTTCTAACCTAGCGTTTCCACTAGGAGGCATCTCTGGGGGCTCAGGGGGCTGCAGCGTTGTTTCCAACAGCAAAGCCCTGGAAACGGCCCAAATCCTCAACCAGGGACAGATCAGGGTTAGCGTGCAGCTGTTAAAATGTAGGCCGAAGGGTATCAAGGGAGATGTATCTCTTCACCTGTGTGGCTGGAATGTGTGGCAGCAAGTATGGATTCACATATCACTAGCATAATCAAAATAAATGAAAACAAATGGAAAATCGAGGTACATTTTTTAAAAGCCTAACAAAAAACATAACCAAATGCTCAGAGAAATGATCTCTTGCGGGTTGCAGGGCATTCGAGTGATTTTTATCACATGTGTATGTTTTGCTGTAACTTCCTATCACATACCTGTATGCCTTATGTGGCGTTTTTTTTTAAGATATTGAAATGTTAATGGGCATAAAACAATGCGAATGATCAATCTATGGCTACATGTGGATGACTCTCGCAGACATCCTGCAGGGCACGGATACAAACAAGCACATTCTGTGTGCTCCCCATACACAGAACAGTCACAATCAGGCTAACCTGCTCTGTGCTGTAAGGAGTCAGGACAGACAGTATGCTGGGCTGGCAACAGCACCTGGGAGGGGACAGGAGAGAAGCTTCTGGAGGCGGAGAATGTTCTGTCTCTCAGTCTGGGTGCCACACACAAGCGTGTGTTCGCCGTGCACAAATTCCGGCTTCACCCTGAGGGCGTGCACGCTTTCCGGTACACACGTCAGTTTGGAAGTTTACTTAGATTTAAATCAGTGGGCATCAGGTTGTTGTCTTCAAGCCGCCACTGCAGGGGACATCGTTGTACACGCTCCCTGTGCAGAAATCGCCATGTTTCTGTACAGACAGATCTGAGCCAGAGAGCTGCTGATCACAGGAGTGACAGCTTTCAAATTGTATTAGGTGCCGGCTGGGTTCCTCTTCAGAGTGGCTGTGCCAAGTCCCAGTCCCATCAGTGCTGAGTGAGGGTGCACCTGTCCCTACCCTCTCACCACCTCCTGACAACAGTCAGTTTTTAAGTTTGGCCAAGAGGGAGGTGCTACAAACATCCCGCAGGGACCACCTCTGCGGCTGCACCTGGGGCTTGGGAAGGGGGAGGCACCATGGGGTAGTGGGCCTCCGCTGCCAAGTTGTCACCTTTGACAGGAAGAGTGCATTCGGGCCTTCCTCCTGTGGTTTGCAAGACTGGCTGTAGTTCTTCCCACGCTTCCAACCACACCATTGCTGTGTGACTCTGTGGTTCCTTACATCAAACGACGGGGCCTAGTCCCCCGCCTCTCGAATCTGAGCTGGTCACCTGACTTGCTTTGAGCATCAGGGTGCTATGCCAGTGTTTCGTGAGCCCTCAGGAGGCTTTCCGCACCTCCTTGCCCAGAGGTCACATGCACAAGCCTGATCCAGCCTGCTGAACTAGCCATGAAGCTCAGCTACCCCATCATGCCAGCTGACAGCCAACCCCCAGGCCCAGGAATGAGGCCATGCTAGGTTAGTCAGGTGACCCCAGGTGACTCTAGAAGCATCAGTGAGACCGGCAAGATCAGCCAGGTCGGACCCAGGACAACAAAACCACCCAACCAACCTATCAACATGTGATGAAAACAAATGGTTGTTTTAAGCTTCTATTGTTTTAAATGTGGGGGTGATTTGTTATGCAGCACTAGCTAACAGATACACCTTGTGAAATAAAAACCTAGAGGAAATTAACATGTTAAAAATAAGATGAGCTCTCAGAATGGCCCTACAGTGACCACAGTGTGTCCAGAGCCAAGGCCCGCATCTCCTAGCAGCCCCCACCCCGCCCAGCATGCCCATCCCCACGTTCACACACAGATACATCACATCCACCCACCTTGGGGGCCTTCCTGGAACTGGAACCAGTACTTCTTGATGATGCGCAGCATGTTCTGGTAGGAGCTCCAGGTATTGTGGGCGACCAGGAGGTCACTGTGGCCAGGCAGCAGCTTGATGAGGGCAGAGCAGGAGCCAGAGCCCAAAGTGTGCCTGGTCTTGGTCTTATTCAGGGCTGGCTCCAAGTCTTCCAGGTCCCCAGAGAGCTGCAGCAGGCTGCGGAGGCCAGGGTGCCACAGGGTTACCACGCCTGCCCCCAGGGCTCTTACAGACCCACAGCACAGAGGAGGGCACTCGGCCTCTGGAGGGCTAGGTGGCCGGTCTGAGACCACGCAGCCAGGAAGTGGCAGGGCCAGTACCGGAACCCAGATCTGTCTGACTACCAGGTGTGCGGCCCTCTCCCCTGCCCTGTCCACTCTGGGGGTGGCACTTACAGGAACCCCAAGGGCTTGATGGTGAACTTCCCAGTTGGAAAGGTCACACTGCCTTCATAGCTGTCCTCTAGGCCTTTCAGCTGCAGGAGGGTCAGCCGCACCTGGGGAGGGGCAGAGGGCAGGGGGGACAGGGAGGGTGAGGCCTCGCCCCAGGCTCACACCTTCTCCTGCAGCGGGAAGGGCTCTGGCCTGGGGGTCCAGACAGAGCAGGGGAGGCCTAGACGCACCTCCAGGCTCCAGCCAGCCCTGACACCCCCTTAACCACCACCTACGCCTCCATGCCAAGCACCTTCCTGCCTTCAGTCAATTAACTGTATGCCTCTGCCCTGTGCCACCTCCCAAAGCACGCCCACGTCAGAGTCCAGCTCAAAGCCGCCTCCTCCAGGAAGCCTCCCAGGCCGTTCTGAGTTTAGCTACTGGCTGCACTGCTGTGTCAGGGCACCTGTCACATGTGGCCAGCTTCCCCCCATCGTGACTGCCATTGTTCTGCAACCCTGGAGTATCATCACTGTGTCCCCACAGGGCCTTGACCTGTGCTGGGCATCTGCTGGGCCCTTAATAAGCATCTGCAAGATGGTTGGTGTGCGGATGAGGACAGATGGGTGTGTGGGTGGATAGGCGGGTAGGTGGGTAAACAGATGGGTGAATGGGGAAGTGGGTGAGGGTTTGAGTAGGTGGGTGGGTGGACAATGAGAAACTCTACTTAGTGACAGCTGCACACCTGGCCTAGGTGAGGTGGAGGTGCTCACGGACACTGACAGCCACTCTCTAGAGACTGCCTGTGGTGTGCACCTCACAGTTAAACTCGAGGTGGTCCACGGAACCCATAAATAAATGACCCCACTGAGGACCTGGCCAGTGGCCCCAGGGCAGAGCACCCGCCCTGGTCTCTTGGCTAACTGGCAGCTCACTTACGCAGAGGAAACATCACTTCCTGGGTTTTCCAGTTTTCCCCTCTCCCTTTCTTTTTCATAAAGATTGTTTTCTTATGTAATCAATTGATCAAGCCACCTCCCCTGTGTGCCAGGAAAACAGCGTGCTGACCATGAACTACAGTGATTCTTTGACAGAAGAGGCAGAGGCGCTGGGGAGACAGGCAGGCCAGGGTGGGCAGCTGGACCTCCCTCAGGAGGGCGGATGGATGGGTGGAAGGAAGGGCAGGTGCAGGCTAAACAGATGGGTGATTGGCAGGTCAGCTAGGAGGGATGGAGACAATGATGGACACATCAAAGGGCTTGGCCAAGAGGGACGGGACACAGATGAGTCACCAGCTGGAAGAGCCACAGTGGCGCAGTGGCGGCAGGTCCCCGAAGTGGACCCAACCCTCCTCCCCATCCCACTGAGCACTGCGGCCACACCCACCTGGTGCCAGTAGGCGGAGTCCTTGTTCAGCTCCATCTCCTCCTGCATCCACTCCAGGTTGGTCTCCAGGAAGCTCTTGAGCTTCTCGCAGTAACCAACTTCATACTCGAAGGGGCCGCAGTAATTCACCACCGTGTTCATCCAGTGCATATAGATGAGCTGTGGGGTGGGTGGGTGGGCAAGGCAGGGCAGCTGGGCTGCTCTCTTCCCTGAGGACCCCACCAGCTCCCAACTCGGGCGGAGAGTCCTCACCCGCTTCCAGGTCTCCAAAGACCCGGGAGCCCTGCTGAGGCCACCTCTCGCCTTCGTTCGCGCTGGTCCCTCCCCCGAAGGCCCTTCTCACCCAGCCAGCGCGTACCCCACAGGGCCCGACGCTGGTGGACATGCCCCGCCTCTGAGAGCCGCTAGCATTTGAAGTCTGTCCTAGGTCACACCTCCTCTGTTACTGGGGACCCCAATCTATCTATGTATTCACTGTAGTCAACATGGCATAGGCCTGGCCCAGAGCCTGGCCGCCTCCCCAGCCATCGAGGCACTGTAACTGCCACCCCCAGGGGGTGGCAGAGTGAGGAGTGTGGGTTTTATAAAAGGCTGTCACACTGTGTGCTGTCCTCTGTGACGTGCTCTTTCCCTCTCGCCCTCACGCGTCTCAGATTCACCCATGGTGCTCGTTCCTGTTCACTCTTCTGTCGTGCTGTACCGTGTGACCGTACGGTGCCTGGTTACCCATTCACCAGCTGGCGGCATCTGGGGGCTCCCGCCTGAGGGCTGCTTGGAACACTCCATGCACATCCTCGGGTCACCACTGGGGACTAGGGCATGTACGTGTCTGACTCTACAAGTCGATGCCAAATCATTTCCCAAAGTGGGCGTCGCCCAGTGTGGGCACGTGACTGTCCTACCACAGCCCCACCCACTTCTGCTGCCAACTTCTGAAATGCGTGATCATCACTTTCATATAGTTCCAAGTCAAGTATAGCAAAAAAATATGCCATTTAAGGATTCATCGCATGTTGTGAAACTAGCTTAACAAAAGCTCGGTAGTGGAAATAGCGCAAACGTCCACCCACAGGTGAATGGAGAAATTAAATAGCACACCCCCACCAGGGACTATTATTTGCCCATAAAAAGGAATGAAGAACTGACACCTACAACATGGATGAGACTTGTAAACACAATGCTCAGTGAAAGAAGCCAGTCACTAAAGACCAGATATTGTAGGATTCCATTCATTTAAGGTGACGAGAATGTTCTGGAATTAAATAGTGGTAATGGCTGTACAACCTTATAAAGATATTTTTAAAACTATTGAATTGGACAGTTTAAAATAGTTTTATGGCATATGAATTGTATCTCAATATAAATGACTGAATGAATGGGAACAGGCAACCACCACATTTAGGGTGGGGAGGCCTCTGGGGGAAAGGGAAACGGGGGGCGGGGGTTTGGAAGGGGCACTCCAATAATATTAGTAATGTTCTATGTTTTACTTTGGGTACTCACTGTATTATTATGCTTTGTAACTGGGAATGTGTTATGGGCTTGTTCTCCCCACCTAGATGGAGCGCTGGGAGGGGCGGCAGCCCCCTCTGCGCAGAGCTCAGCCCTGCGGAGCCCCCTGCAGAGCCCGGTTCCCCGCCTGGCCCTTACCTCCTCGGACACTGCCGCCTCCACCACCCCTGCCGCGTAGGCCTGCAGGCTGTCATTGTAGCGGCCACTCGTGTGCAGCTCCAGAAAGGCCCACCTGGAGAGGGAGGAGGGGGCTGCTCAGTCAGCACAGGGACAGGTACGAAGCCGGCCCCTAGCTCAGCACATGGCCATTCCCAGTGTGAAACCATCATAAACAAGAGTGATGGACAGCCTTTTACGGGAATGTCTGTCTGTCTGTCTGCCTTTGTGTCCTTATCAGGCTAAATCCCTAAAAGAGGAAATGCTGGGTCGGAGGAACAGGTATCTTTAATTTTAATGGCTACCGACAAGTATCCTCTCCCCAAAGCTGCACTAACCTTCACCCACTCCCACCACGGCACCAGCTAATAATGTCTCTCGAGGCCTCCCTCTGTGCCAGGCGCTGTGCTGGTCACTCACACGCCCATCGACTCTTGAATCCTCATGACAACTCTACAGAGTTGGCACTGTTACGTGCCCATCATACAGAACAGGAGGAAATTAAAGCACAGAGCTTCCTAACTGCTGTGGTGGAAGGCACTGCTGTCCCCTCTGCCCACATCCGTGCTCCTTGCTGGGCCACTTTGCAGTCAGTCCTTACTGTGGGTGACCAGGTGTCCTTCCCCGCCCCTTCACTTTGGGCTCGGTCATGCCGTGTGACTTTAGCCATATGGAGTCATGAACGTGGGTGGAAGTGACTGTGCCGGTTATAACATTAGCCTTCAAGAGGAGGCCTGTGCTTCCACCTGACCTCTTGTGCCTCTGCGATCGCCATACAAAGTACACGCTCTGGCCAGCCCCTGGTCCCAGGAAGATGAGAGACACATGGAGCCGACCAGGTCTGCGGACCTACAGCACAAAGCAGAGGTGCCCGCACTGCCCCATGGACCCATAAGAGTGAACAGTTGCTGCTTTAAGCCACCAGGCTCGGGTGGTGGTTTGTTACCCAGCACGGTTGCCCAATACTAGCTGATACGCTTGCCCAACATCAGGGAGCTAGCAAAGCACAGAGCCAGGATGCAATTCTAGATGAGCTGGTCCCCACTCCTCCTGTGAAGTGGCACTTCCCATACTCTAATGTGCATGCAGGCCACTGGAAGACCTTGTGAGGAAGCCGATGCTGCTCAGGACGCTGGGGTAAAGCCCGAAATGCTGTCTTTCTACCTGCCGGTCCCGGAACCACACTCGGGTACACACGGCCTTTCTGCAACGTACAAATCCCTGTCTGCCCGCTCCCTTGCTTAAAATGACTCTTGTCAATCACGTTCATCTTTGCTAAGGTAACAGTTAAAAAATTCAATCATGTTTTAATTGGAGTCCCTTAATTAGTTGTTAATATATATTTTCTTGTTTTTATTGGTCATTTATAATCCCTTGGTTCGGTCTTCTGTCCCATTCTAGGTGAAGAGAAGAGTCAAATGCCCGACCTCCCCTCTTCACACACTGAGACGGTCACCCACAGGCCAGGGGCTCTGCTGAGCGGGGGTCAGCAAGCCCAGATGTCTTTCTTTCGCCTCCCCCCTGAGTTCTCCAGGGGGCGTCTTTGAGGGCCTCAGTGGCCCAGACTATAAAATGGAGCTTCCAATGCCATTTTCCCTACATCATAGCCCCAGCTGCTGTCAGACTCAGAGGGAAAGGGGCCTGCGAGTCTAAGAGGAGGGAAGGGGAGACCGGACAGAAAAGATGGGGGAATGGCGAAGTGAGAGCGAGATGGGTGGAAGAAACCTGGGCTCACACCTCAGCCTCAGCTCCCCCATCTGTAAAATGGGGGCAGAGGAGACCAGCTCCTTTCTCTTTTGCTCACTCCTTCCTGCAGTAAATAAACGGAGGTGCTTTCTGTGATCTCACTCACTTTCCCTTGAAGCCAGGCCTTCAGGTGAAGAGACAGGCTCCCAGCGGTGCAGTGATCTGCCCAAGGGCACAGAGCGCAGGTGCTGGGCCTGCGAGAGCCTTCCATCCGGCACCATCAGGGAGGCCCTCCTCGCACTTCTGTTTTCCATAACTGAGAGCAAGGCAGCCCAGGGGGCCCTCCTGGGACCAAAGCCCCCTCCCCAGCCGGGCTCCCCTCTGTGCGTGCCCCTCTAGCGCGTGTCCAGCCAGAGATGTGTCGTGCCCTCCTGGCTTGGCTAAGCAGGGCCAACGACGGGTGTGAGTCAGCAGAGAACAGGTCACCAGATACCAGAGTCACGGAGCCAGAGCTCCACTTCCCTCCACAGATGCCAGCCAACCCTGTGGCCTCCTCTCCCTGGGAGCCTTCCCAAATTAGCTCCACCCGGCTCCTGTGTCTGCGGCAAATCCATCCCCCCAAATTTCCCTTCTATCTGATATCCACCCAAGTGCCACAAAGCCCCAGAATGAGGATGACCCAGATCTCCCCAACACCTGCAGGGAGCAGTGCCTGCCAGCGAACTGGAGGTGGGCGGCAGTGGCCCTGCCTGCCGGAGGGGCAGGTAGTTTAAGCTCTGGGATTAGGCCAGGATGCGATGGGACGCGGCTTAGGGGCCGAGCTCCCTCACACCCCCAGCAAAGCCTGGATCCAGGGCCTGGGCCCTCCTGACAAGGCTTGAGGCAGACTTCCACACTCCCACGGGCTCGGGATGCCCCTCTGGAACTGTCTCCCCCATTGAATGGGGAACCCCCACCCCGGTTGCTCAGTTCTGTGTCCCCCAAGGCCAAGGCTACCAGGTGAGTGAGTGAATGAACGAATGAATGATTGGGCCCAAGCCCTGGTACAAGGCCCAAGAGGGGTACCACCCAACCTCCCAGCCAGAGCACATCCTCAAAATCTAGGCCACAGGAGGGGAAATGGCAGCCCAGACAGGCAAAGGAGTTAGAAGAGAGTAACACAACCGAATGACAGTTCCAACAAGAAGGACAGTGACCATGACTGCCAAGGACAGAGCACGGGTCTCCATACTACACATCTGGCCAAGCGACTTTCCCGGGGACCAGGAGGGAAGGAAGGGAAGGAAGGGAGGAGCCAGCCCAGGCAGTGACACTCTCGGGGTCTCAGTGAATTTAGGGACCCTCTGTGTTCTGCCTGGACTGTAACCCGGGCTCAGGGCTGCTGCCCTGGCTCTGAGACAGAAGCCAGCCGCTGGTGCCCACCAGGTAAAGTACAACCAAGAAAGTGTAAATCAGTTTCCTGGAAAGCTCACCGCCTTGCAGGCCGAGGGGGTGAGGAAGTGAGACCTGGGCAAGGGGGGCTGGCCTCCGTGGGAACAGAAGTTACTGAATCACCCACCAGCCCTGGACCCGGCCCCGAGCGGGGTACCCCGGCCCTGACGACAAGGAACTGGTCTCCAGGGGGACAGAGGCACTGGCGCACCAGGCTAGAGGCAAGGAAGCGGTCCCCATGAGTCGAGAGATGCTGCATCAGCTCCCACCCAACCAGGGACCCGGCCCAGAGGGCGGTGCTGCGCCCTCCGAGGCGGGAAACTGACCGCTAGGGAGACAAGGGCACTGTCGCCGGCAAGAGGCTGGGCCCGGGGGCAGGCGAGGCCCGGCGCCCCCGCCGCCCCGGCTGGCGCCGCTCGGAGTCGGGTGGGCCCTTACCCGGTCTCGTGAATGGCGTTGGTGAGGTTGGCCCAGGCCACGGCGTCCGGGTGGCGGCCATCCACCAGACGCAGCTGGCCCGTCCCGGCGTCCAAGAGCACCGAGCGGCTGCGGGAGGCGGGAGGGACCGGCCCGCCAGGCCCCCAGGGGGCCTTCGGGGTCGGGATTGCGCCCGTCAGGCCGCTCAGGAACAGCACGACCAGCAGGGCCAGCGCCCGCGTCCGCGCCAGGGCCAGGCGGCCGCCGGGCGTGACGCACCTCGGGGCCGCCATCGCCGCGCGAAGCCGGGCACCGCAGCCCGGCCGACGTGACTGCACTCCGCCGCGCGGGGCGGAGAGAGGGCGGCCGCGGACGGAGGCGGGCCTTGGGCCGAGCTCTTCCGGGTGGGCGGGGCCGGAGTGGGACGCAAGGGGCGGGGCCCATCTTAAAGAGCCCGGCACCCGTCCTCCTTCGAAAACCCTGCCTGACGCACTTCCCCCCAACTTATTTTTCAAAATTTCGAACATCGAGCAAAGTTGCAAGGAGGAGAGTAAATATCCATACGTTTGCCATCAATTGCTAATATCTTGTGGCATTTAATCAATTTCTCTTTATATATATTTTTTGCTCAACCATTTGAGAGTTCATTGAAGGCATCATGACTTGTCAACCCAAAATGCAGCAGATAGATGCAGAGTATCTCATGAGAAAAGACATCACCCTACTTAACCCCAATATACCACTGTAACAGTCAGGAAATTTACCTTTCATCTAATACCATTATCTAATACAGGGCTTTCTGCAAACTTTTCCAATGGTCTCAAAAATGTTCTCTATTTCATTTCTTTTGGTCCAGGATCCACTCCTCATACAATACACAAGAATAAACGTCTAAGTGATGAGAATCTAAATGTAAAAGTGAAACTGTAGTGCTAGAAGAAAATATGGGTGGTAACTTATGACTCAAAATCCAGATGCAATAAAAAAATGAACACATTTGACTACATAAAATTTTCTTTAACTTCCTCATGTCCAAAACACCACAAGCAAAGGCAAAAGACAACTGACAAATGGGGAGAAAATATTTACAACATATCCAGAAATTGCTAATATTACTTATCTATGAAGAACACTTTAAATCTGAGGCAGGGGATCAAAAAGAACATAGAAAAATGGGCAAAAAATATAAACAGACAACTTGTAAAAAAAGATGTAAAAATGACTCTTAAACTTATGGAAAATAATCTCTTTGTTCAGTATAAGAGAAATGCAAATTATATCTACACTGAAGATGAAAGTTTGTAGAAAAATACACTGAAAACAAATGAGTGCATGTAAAAAACTGGTGAGATCTGAGTACGGTCTGTAATTTAGTTAAAAGTTATAACTGTATGGTGCCAGGTGGTTATTAGAAATACTGCAGGGAATATTCTGATCACCTAACCACTAAGCTGTATACCCAAAACCAAGACAAATAATGTTTAAACTGTAATTTAAAACAAAAATAAAAATTATATTATATTTGATTCTTTAATCCACTAAAATTTATTTTGGTATACAATAATAATAGAAATAAAAATAATAATGTAAAGCCCTGGCTGGTGTGGCTCAGTGGGTCGAGCACCGGCTTGTGAACCAAAATGTCATTCGTTTGATTCTTGGCCCACAACAGGCCTGGGCTGTGGGCCAGGTCTCCAGTTGGGATGTATGAGAGGGAGCCGATCAATGTTTCTCTTATACATCAATGTTTCTCTCTCTCTTCCCCCTCTCTAAAAAATAAATAAAGTCTTTAAAAATAATAATTTTTGAGTATTGTATGGATGTCAATTTCCTGATTTTGATCATTGTACGCTGGTTATATAGGATGTTGTCATTGGGTGCAACTGGGAAAAGGCTACACAGAAATTGTACTACTTTCAAAGAAAGTTTTCAAGAAAACCACACTGAAATATCACTTCTCACATATCACATCAGGAAAAAGTTAAAAGCTTGCCAATACACTCTCTTGATGAGCGTGGGGAAGTGGGCGCCCATGCCCCACGGGTCAGTGTGCAGACTGGAGGGGAGATGGGTAACCTCTAAGAAAACAGCATAAGATTTTGCTGTTTTCTTAGCAAAATAAGAAAAGGCCCTATTCTAAAGGCCACAAAGAGATAATTCACTAAATAACTGGGGAACCTCCACATTGTGCCGCTGTAAAAACTGAATTGAAGTGATTTTAAAAACCTGGTGTTAATTGGAAAAAAGAAATCCCCCCAAATTATGTATGGATGCTATCTTTTGTGTCAGAAAGAAGGGAAAATGAAACTCACTAAAATCTTCTAACTTCTGCAAAAGAAACACAAGAAGACAAGCCAGAAACTACTAAAATTGGTTCCCCAGGAAGACAGGTAAGAATGGAGTGGCAGAAGGCGGTGAAATGACGTGTCTCTGCACAATACATCTTTCTGCATTGTTTTGACTTTTGGAAATATGTTGATATTTTGCATAGTTTAAAAAACTCAAGTCAACAAGGATGGGGGAGACCCATAAAAATGAAGACACACAGAAGTAAAGAAACCTGACTTATTTTAAATAAATAATATAACCACACTGAATGGGTCTTCCACTCTATGTCACAAGTTAGTTCTTTCAAAGTGCTATGGGTGTAGCAATTCCGAAATGGTTCTGTGTGCATGGATTGTAGGGTTGAGCAAATACATAAACAGGATGTTGATTTCTTCTAGTACTGCAGTTTCATTCGGGTTTATCTCTATAGGGTATAAGCCTCAAAAGATCGTTGTGGTATTGGGCTGGAAATGAAGGTATCCATATGAACTCATGGTTTCTCATATTTATAGGTAGAAATCTGGAAACATACCAACATACATATGTATTTTCTAGCTCTGTCCACTGAAGAGGTCCCAGGAGCAGTGACGCCTCAGTGACAATGAGCACAGCAAACACTCAGATCCTGATTTCCACGAAAGGGAGCCGGAGCTCCCTGAAGGAAAGGCGGAGTCCAGAGCCAGAGCTGGGCCGTGCAAGACAAGCCTGGCACCTGCCGGTGCACCCCAGAGCACGGAGATACTCAGAGAAGAATGGACACGTGTCAAAAGGGCCAGGGGCTGGCTTGAAGGGGCTGCCACTAGGACACTGTGAGCCCCCAAGTAATAACAGTAATGCACTTAGTAATGCACGCTGAGTGAAATAAAAACCCATGAGCCACACTGAGAGCGCTGGCACCTTGATCTTGGCCTTCCCGCCTCCAGAACGGGGAGAAACAAATACCCGTTGTTTAAGGCCCCCAGTCTGTTGTGTCTTGATACGACAGCCAGAGAGGACTACTAAGTACCCCATGACCATGTTACAGGGTAATTCTTTATTTAGCATTTTGAGGAACTGCCAAACTGTCTTTCAAAACAGCTGCACCACTTTACATTCTCGCCATCGAATAAGGGTCCCGTTTTCTCCACATCCTCACCAACGCTTGTTACTATCTTTTTAAGTCACAGCCGCCCTCATGGGTGTGAAGTAGTATCTCCTGGGAGAAATGTCAGTTGAGATCCTTTGCCTGTTTTTTAATGGATTATTTTCCTATTTGTTATTGAGTTGCAGGAGTGACGGGGGAACCCAAGAGTTAAAGACTTGAGCTTCATTCGCTGTTGAGAGGCCTGAGCTGTGTGCAGCAGAAAGCTGTTCCTCCAGGGCCTGCCTGGAATGCTGACCTACCGGACCAGGAGGCAAACAAGCAATTCAACCATCCTGCCCCAGGGGGTTTGCAAGCCCTGGTGGAGAAGGCGGTTCAGCCTTTGTGTTCCAGGGAGGGAGTGTCCCTAAAGTGGTCAAGAATTTTTGATCAGCAGATAAAGAAACACTAGGAAAATCACCGGCTGGACTGCAACTCTTATCTGATTAGCCTTTTCCGAACCCCTTATCTGCCCTTTCCTTCTCCCTATAAAAAGATCAGCTTGTGATGGGATATTAATATGGTTTTTGAGGGTACGTAACCCGCCGTCTTCTCAGATCACGGGAGTCTGAATAAAGCGCCCATAACAATTTAATCCTTGTCTCTACTTATTATTGGTTCTGGTACTGACCGGCAGCACGAACAACTTTTCCAATTTCAGGAGGTTTTGGAGTTTTGTTTTTGTTTTTGTTGTTGTTGTTGTTTTTTACATAAGCTAGATACGAGCCTCTTATGAGATCAACGATTGGCAAAACATTTCCCCATGGGGGAGTCTTGAGCAGAGCAGGACACTATCTGACTTAGCACTGTGACAGGGTCCTGCTGGCCGCTGCGGCAATGACGAGGGCAGAAGCAAGCACAGGGCAAGGGTGTCCAGCGGCCACCTCGGCATCAGACCGGGGTGGCCGTAGGGGAGGAGGAACGCAGTCAGCCTGCAGACATGTCGCGTTTGTCATTCTCGGGGAGGGGTTCGCTGAGGGAAGGGCCAGAGGGGCGGACAGGGGACTCCAGGAGGACCCCAGGTCTCCTTGGCCTGAGCGCCTGGAGGGTGAGGTGGCCGTGGAGATGGGGAAAGCTGTGGGGGGGAGATGTTGGGGGGCAAGGGAGGTCACTGTGAGAGTCCAGAGTTCTAGTAAATGTGTCTGCGTGTCCTTGGGATGCTTCTAAGCCTATGAAAGCTGCCTACACTGGTTTCATCTCTTCCCCACCCAGCCCCGCACAGCCTCACATCCCAGAGCTGGTGAATCGCAGGGAACAGGAGGGCCGCAGGGGCAGGGGGCTGCCCCTTTCTCCTCTGAGGCCTGAAGAGATAACCGACTCCCTGGAAGGGACAAGGTCAGGGCCAAGTGCCAGCCAAGGTCAGGGCAAGGTCTGCACCCCAGAAAGGGATGGAGGGGCTTGGCCTTAGGGGAGGGGTCAGGTGGAGGCTGCTGGAAATGGTTAGGGATGCTGGGGAGTCACAGAGGACAGACTGCAACCTAAGGGCCCTTGAGGCAAGTCCAAGCACGCCCAGCTGGTGGCAGTGGCCGGCCAGGCAGCCCCAGCACCGAGGATATCCCTCAGGAAACACCCTTTCCAGGGTGAAAGAAAGGGTGTTTCCAGGGTGAAAGAAAGGGTGTTTCCAGGGTGGCTATTTAAAAAAAAATTAAAAAAATATATATATATAAACAAACAAACAAACAAACAAACCCCTATAAGTGCTGGCCAGGATGTGGAGAGAAGGGACCCCTTGCTCCCTGTTGGAGGGGGTGCACACTGGCGCAACCACTGTGGAAACAGTATGGAGGGCTCTCAGAAAATTAAGAGTAGAACTACCACGTGATCCAGCCATCCCCCTACTAGGTCTACATCCGAAGGAAAAGAAAACAGGGTCTTGAAGCGATTTCTGCCCTCCCCAGATTGTTATGGCCAAGGTATAGAAAACCCGAGGTCCCCCCTGAGGGAGGAGTGGAGGAAGAAGAGGTGGTGCACATGCGCAACAGAGTATCCTTTGGCCTTTGGGAAGAAGGAAACGCTGACGTTGGCGACACATGGAGGAACCTGGAGGACACTGTGCTAAGTGAAATCAGGCAGACACAGAAGGACAGATACTGCATAGGCTCAGTGACTGTGGGCTCTAAAGGAGTCGCCCGCAGAAGCAGAGAGCAGAATGTTTTCCAGGAGTTGAGGTGGGGGGCAAATGGGGAAGCGTGATCAACGGGTACAAAGTTGCAGTTATGCAAAATGAGTAACTCCTGGAGACCTCATGCCAGCATGGCGATTCTAGGTAACACTATTGCATACTTGATAGTTGCTAAGAGAGTTGATCTTAGGAGTTCTCACCCGGCGGGAGCAAGTGGCTGTGTAAGTTAGCTTGGTTGTGGTCAGCATTTCTCCTGGCTTCTGTAGATTGAAGCAGGCGCTACCCTATCGCAGCCAGTTTTTAAGGTCCCCACCACCCAAAGAAGCTGGCCAGCTTATGAGAACAGGGATCTTGGGCAGAGGGCTCCCAGGCCCGGCTCAGAGTGGCCTGGTCTGCACTAGGCAGGACCCCTTGGCTGTGGCAGCATTGCCCCCGTGCTCAGCCTTTGACCCCGCTACGTAGGTCATGTGACCGGTGGCCATCGCTATGGCTCAGATGAGACCAGTCTCCCCGCCCCCCACCCAGGCGTGCTTTCTGTGACCCTTGAGCAATTCTGTGTTGTAGACAAGACACCTGCTGTGCATTTCCTCACTTAACCTTTACATCTACCCTGAGGGGTCTGAGAAACTTCAACCCGATTGTACAGATGGGAAATCACAGTCCGTGAAGAGAGGCGACTTCCCCCAGGGACAGACTTAAGTTGGGGGCCTGGGTCCAGCTGATCCCAAACGGATTTAGCAATTCTGTTCATGGCAACCATGACAGGGGCCACCATCATCTGACACTGAGGGGGTTTTCAACTGTCGCACAATCATGAAGGCTGTTGTAGTATAATGTTCCATTTGCTTCGAGCATGGTCCAAATCTTTCCCTTCTGGAAAGCTCCAGGAGCAGCGCCGCTGGCGCAGAAGGCGCATGTGCTTTGGAGGCTCTTAAGATTTACATGTATCAATCGCCCAGTCACCTTCTAAGAGGATTAGTCCCATGGAGACACCCCCTGGCGATGCCAGTGGAAACTCCTTCTGGCAACCAGTACCATCCACTGGTAATCGGGCTGCGTGGGAGGTAATGAGCACGCCGTCCCCGCAGGGGGTTAGGTAAGGGCCCTGTGACCCTGAGCTCAGGCTGCTGGAGTCAAGAGGGAACTTGCATTAGCTGCAGGTGAGACTCAGGCATCTTAAGGAACCACCTAAGTCTCTGAACCTGTTGGGCTAAGACTGAAAGTTCTGATTCTCTCCCCTTCCTCTTCTAAGTTCCCCCCTTGCTTCTTACTTCTGCCCGCACTTTCCCAGGTACCTGAATTGCTCCCAGAGCTGCCTCCCACGCCGGGGATCTCCTGAACAAGGGTGCTCAGGGCCAGGCTGCGCTGGCCTTATCTTTGAGTGATACAGGATCACGGTGGTGAAGGGGACTTGCTCAAGGTCACACACAACTGGGTGCCAATCCCATCTCTGCTTTTTCCCAGTGGGTGCTTCAGGGGCAGGTTGTGTCACCTCCCTGAACCTCAATTTCCCTATATAAAATGGGGATGCCCCCACAGGGCTGTTAAATGGAACAGGCATGGGGACACTCATTATACATGTAAGGCTTCAAATAGCGTCATTGCTTCTTTTTATTGGTTTGAGGTTTGTTCATAAAAGGCTGAGGACAGAACCTGCCTGCCTGTGGTGCTGTAGGCAGCTTCCCACCTGGTAGGAGCTGAGGATCCTTTCTCCTCCTACCTCCAACATGCAGCTCCCCTCTGCTCCCTAATATACTGCCTGGATATCCACCACTAGTCACCTAGGTGGATTAAGGCTGGTGGCAGATTGCGTTTTTCAAACACAGACACATCAAGAGCTCGCGTATTATTATGTGACACAGTGTCACTTGTACAGCTAAGTCATAAAAGGCAAGACGGCTTCTGCCTTGTGCCCTGGAACTGTCCCCCGGGTCCCTGAGCTGCCTCAGGTCCTGGCTCTACCATGTGAACGGTCCAGCTGCCCGAGGCCGCCATGCTCTGAAGAAGCCCGGAGATCAGCTCACGCAGAGGGATCCCCACGGAGACACCCAGAGACCCTGAGAAGAAAGAGAAATGGCTAGGATGTCCCCGCCACTCCGGCCTAGCCGCCCTTTGACGGCACCCACGTGACAGCCCTGGGTCAGGGCTGCCCATCTGAGCTTGTCCCGAATTCTTGGCCCACAGAAACTGTCACAGATAATAAAACAGCATAGCAGGCCTCTAGATTTGGGGGTGCTTTTTTACGCAGCAATAGATAACTGATACAAGCATGAAATTCTTCTTTCAAGGAAAGTAAATCAACATTTTCAGCTAGTGAGTGCCAGACACTGGGTCGGGTTCTTTCGCCCTCGGCACTACGAATGATGATAATAATAGCGCTTCCATTCCTTCCGCCTTTGTAGTACCAAGCAATGGGCTATGGGTTTTACACATATAATCTCAGGGCATCTGGAGCGCAGCCCTAGGAGTGGCCCACAGGTGCCATCATTAGCCCCATTTTCCAGACGAGGCTCCAGAAGATGCGATGACTGTCCAGAGTCAAGCAGCCAGTAAATGGCAGAGCTAGGATCTGGACCTGAGCCCGAGTCGCTGCTGGGGCTGCTCCTGTGATGTCAAAATGGCCTTTTTCAGATGAAAATAGGCCCTAACACTGGTCACTGTCCACCAAGGCAGGGGCAAACCAGGCTGTGTCCCAGGCCACACGTGTCTCCCCTCTCTGTGTCCACTGGTTCTTTTCCTTGGATCTCCCCAGGTTTCTCCGCACAGGCACTCAGTCTGCTCCCCTCTCCCGGCCCCTCCCTGGCCCCAGGGAGACAGGGAAGTGGTGATCTGCCTGCCCAGCTGACCTAGGATGACATCGAGTCCTCACCCTGCCTGGGCCCCTGAGTACCAGCACCAGGGCTCCTCAGGGAAGGAGGACTTAGGCTCCAAACCCAGCAGTCCTGGCGCTACTTCCCCAGGCAGCAGGCGACCTGGGGAGCAGCTGCCCTGGCGCAGGATCTTCTTCCCACACACCAGGCAGAGCGTCCGTGTTCCGGCTGGCTGGCCACAGGACCAGCCGGGCCTGCCCTTCACTGTGTGGGGCTCCCAGCTTGGTAGGGGGCAAGGGCAGGTAAGTCCCCCCATGGTAGGAATAATAGCAACACCAATGCCTTCCGTTGAAGGGTTACTTACTCTGCACCGGGCCTGGGGCTTGGGTTTATCCAGGGTTGTGTTTCATCCTGCAAGGACCCCATGACATGGGCACTATTGTCATCCCCGTTTGACAGGGAAGAAGACAGGCTCAGAGAGTCTAAATGTTTGCCGAAGTTCACACAGAACCCCCGTGCTCAGAGTTTCTCACCACGTCCTGTGGGGAACTAGAGGTGTGCTCTCCCTACAGGTGAGAAACCTTGGAGGTAGAGGGGCAGGGAGGAGGGTGGGAGACCACCTGGAGGCGGTGGCATTGGAGCTGGGCCTGCAACACTAGTAAGAGCTCGAGTAAGAGCTTGTCTGGAGGAGGGGAGGGCTGCTCTCCGGGCAGAGGACCCAGAAGGAGCAGAGGTGTGGCCGCGTGTAAGGAGCAGGGTGTTCAGACAGTGGGGGAGCCCTTCCCAGGCCAGAGCCAGAGCCGGAGCCGGAGAGGATGCAGGGGGCGGGGAGGGTAAAAGAGGAATCAGGAAGGGGCGCCAGGTGAAGGGCCCCAGACGCCAGGCTCAGAGCCGGCCTCGGTCCCGCAGGTGGTGCAGGAGGAAGCAGGGGACGTAGAGGTGCTGGGATTAGACGTGCCAGTTGTGGAGGCAGGTGCGCGGCTGGAGGGGCCGCCGGGAGGAGGCGCTGGCTCGCAGCTTCCTCACCCTGTTCCAGCCCCCGCGCTCCCCCCAGGCCAGTGGCAGGGAAGGCAGAGACGACCAGAACTTTCCTCAGGAGCCTGGGAAACGGGAGAGCGGGACCGTCATCGCTCAGGACGAGCAGATCACTAACTCCCCTGTCTTGACCGGTGTGCCTTACTCCTCTCTGAAAAGTGATGCTCCAGTTTGGGGGGCTTCTCCAATAGAGGCATTTCTGGCGGGACGGCGGGGACACTTGTGGGTAGGGAGGGGCCCTTCTCACCTGGGACCGCCTCCAACACTCCTCGTCACCATCCCTGCCTAGAGGCAGCCCGGCGCCTTCTCACCTACCCCTTTTTCGGAAATAGAACCCCTTAGTTTCACCCTCTAACTTCCCCTCTCTGGCCTCCTGCTGTCTTTACCCGTTTGGTTTCAGCTCCGCTTCTGCTTTACCGGCGAAAGCAGAACCGATGGGCAGCGGGCTCCGACGCGAGCGGCGGATTTAGACCCTCGGGGCCTCCGCACGAGCCTGTGCCTTTAAGGAAGGGGCGGGGCGAGCCCCAAGGGGCGTGTCCTCGGGCCTGGGCGGGGCGGGCCCCGGACCAGCTCGCCGACCAGTCCCGGAGGCTGCAGCGGGCGGGGCGCCCGGGCGGGCGGTGTCGGGGGCTGGAGGTCAGGCGGCGCTGACGAGCGGGCCGTGACGGGGAAGGCCGCGAGGCCCGGAGAGGTCGAGGTTCGGAGGTTACGGGTCCGAGGCCCTGCACGAGGTAAAAAGAGCCTGCCTGCGCGCCGGGGCGCTGCGGGAAGACCCGGCACCGGAGTTCAACTTCTCCACATCTGTTGGGACTAAGAAACTGAGCCCATCGATGGTCTGGGGATCGCGCACCGAGAAAGTGCAGCCGCGGCGGCCACGGAGGTCCCGATTTTCTGCGTCTGCAGAACTTGCGAGCGTCTGAGCGCTCGGCACCGCTTGGGCGCACCGAAGGCGCGCGATAAAAGCCCCCTTGCGAAGCATTCCCAGACCTACGCGGCCAACAGGGAGGAGACTCGGGCTGATCCTCAGGCTGGGGGCGCTAGAGGCGCGAGCACTTATTGAACCCTTACTGGATGCTCTCATGGGCCAGCATTTGTCTCCATTTTACGGAAGAATCGGGGGCTCAGAGAGGCGACGGGATCTCCCCGAGGCCGCACAGCTCGCTCAGTGGCTGGCACTGTATGGGGAACCGGGAGTTTCTGGTTGCAGGTCAGCGCTTCCAAGTCGGTGACAAGCGAAATTCCGGAGACCAACGAAAGAGGTGAGAGTCAACAGGTGAGGGTAAGGTGCTGGCACGGCCTCTGCCCACTTCTCTCCTTTTCTCCTCCTCGGGGCCTCCTGCCGCTGCCAGGACGTTGGGAAACAGCCGCCTGTGCAAAGGATTGCAACAACAACAACAACATCAAACGTTTTCTGGGCTGTGTTTTCCTATGGCAAAAATAAAACATGCTCCTTTACAACGTGTGGAAGAGCCAAAAGAAGGAAATGCATGTGCCAAATTTTTTTTTTTAAAGTTTAATTTCTTTGGAAAGAAATGAAGTCGTTTTTGTCCTGGTGTTGCAGGGGGCCGTTGGCGGCGGCAGAGTCCAGCCGAAGTCTGCTAACCGGCTGTTTGACTTTGAGCAATTCACTTCCCTCTGAGCCTCGGTTTCCCTGTCGACAGCGCCCTGTCGACAGCGCGGTTGGCTTTTGTGAACCTCCCTGCTGTATGACCTGGGGCAGATTATGGGTCCCTCCTCAGAAAAGGGGTGGGGACAACAACCTGTTCGGAGTTGTTCTCAGAGCTCCTCCAGGGAGGCGAGGCAAGAGTGAGGAACCAACCTGGCTCTTTGCCCCAGTTTGCTCGTCTGTAAAGGAGGAGGAGTAGCCTTGCCCCTCTAGGCACCTTGGAGAGATTGAATGAGGTCATTAGTGTTAAGAGCTTGACTCACAGAACAGCAAGATTGCTTAGTAGCCTCACACTGGTGGCCCGGAAGCCAAGTCCCCTCCCAGAAGTGCATTCTCCTTGTTCTGAGGACTTGCAGAGTCCCCCTCAGCGCCTTCTTCCTGTATTTCTCTCACCCAGCTGGGCCTGGAGGCAGCAATCTGGGTTCTGAATCTCAGGACCATCCCTTCCAGCCTCCTATTCTGACTTCAGTCTAGGGGGGAGGGTCCTAGGTTTCCATGGAGACATCTCCATGGCACAGGAAGAAGGGCATATCTAATCTGTTTACTGAACAAGCTGGGTGGGGGGGGCGGCCTGGGTTCCTCAGGCAACTTCCATCCAGAATGTGGGTTTCCCCGTTGGTTTCCTCTGGTGGGGCGAGCGGCGTGGGGGGAGGGCAGTGTCTTAGCTGAAAAAGTTTTCAGGCCCCTCCTCCCGGGTCTTGGGGTCTTCAGTGACACTGCCTCTCCTTCTCACCCCAACCTGCAGGTGGCTGGAGCTGCTAGCCGTTTGGGCCTGGAACACTGAAGAAGGGGAAGCAGAGGGTGAAGAGCAGGCCCCCAGGGGCTGATGGCCAGCAGACGACTGAATCTGCACTGGGTGCTGTGTTCACTCTGTGCGCTGCTGATGGTGGAGACAGTGCCCAGGACCAGTGGCCTGGCTACAGGGGCCCACACCAGCGCCCCATTTCCAGCCTCGGGTGTGAACCAGACCCGCGTTGTAGACGTGAGTATCCAGGCAGGAGGCTGGAATCATCAGGTGGGGGTGTATTCATCCAATCCACAAATATTTATTGAGTACCTACTATGTGCCAGGCACTAAGCTGACCCCTGGGATAAACCAGGGAAGAAGAGAGACAAAGATCTCTGCCCCCACAGAGCGAACAGTCTTCTGGGAGGTCAGATAAAGAAGTAAACACGTAAAGTTCAGGGGGTAAGATGCTGTGTATAATAGGATCGAGTGGTACTGGGGAGGTGGAGCTCTAAGGGGGAGGGTGTATTAACAACTGTTTCAGATTGGGTGGTCACAAGTGGCTTCTATGAGGAGGTGACCTTTGAGCCGAGAATGAAGAAAAGAAGCCACTTGTACGGACCTCTGGGGGTAGAACATTCCAGGCAGAAGAACACAGCTAGTGCAAAGTCCTTGATGCAAGAACAAGCGTAGTGTGTCCCTGTACCTGTGAGGAGGCCAGAATGGCTGGGACAGAGTGAGTGAGGGGAGGAGAGTTAAGAGGTAAGGGTGGAGAGGTAGTGGTGGCCAGATTATAAAAGGCCTCATATGCTGAGGCTAGGAGGTGAGGTTTATTTTACGATAGTGGGGAGCCAACGGAGAGTTTTAAGCAGAGAGCTGCCAAAATCAGATGTATTTCTTCAGGGGAGCTCTCTGGCTTTTCTGGGGAGACTGGATTGAGAGGAGCAGCAGGGGCAGCAGTGCGGAGCCCCCCCCCCGCAGCGATCAGATGAGCGCTGGTGGGGGTGTGGGAGACCGGAAAGGAGGGGTGAGATTTGGGATGAATGCCGGAGGCACAGCGAGTGAGATTTACGGGTGGATTAGACAGAGGGGCGTGGTGGTGGAGAAGGGGAGTCAAGGATGACTTCAGATTCCCGGCCTCAGCCCCGGGGGGACGGTGGAGGTGTGCGCTCGGCTGCACAGAGGGGGAAGCAAGGGGATCCCTTGGGTGGAAGCAGACAGGTTTCCTCCCAAGGCAGGGAGGGTGTGGGCTGTTGAGAACTTGCCTCCTTCCGTCCCGAGGTCTGTAAGGGGAGGAGCGGTCAAGGTGGGTCTGGAGGGAACGGCTGAAGGCGGGGGACTGCTCAAGACGAGCCCTGGAGTCCCCTGCAGCTGCGGGGGGCTGGAGTTCTGCCTTGTGTCTTCTTTGGCGGGAGAATGAAATAACACTCCTCCCCGCTTGTCCCCATGGGCTGACAGTGTTTAGCACCCACGCCAACTATATGGGGCTGCAGGGTGCTCTCATGCCCGCCCTCTGAGGCGTGTCATTCATGATCAGATCACCCTGTGGGGTTCCTTTCCGCAGAACCCCTTTTATCAGCCCCCAAGACCAAAGGCGTTGCCTAAGCAAATGCATGGCATGCCATGCAAAGGGCTAACATCCATTAGAGGGCTACTCCAAGCCAGTAAGAAAAAGGAACCATTCCAGCTGAAAACAAACAAACAAACAAAACCCTGGTTGTTCGAAGAAGGAATACCGACGGCCATGAACACAGGCAAAGAGCGCTTCACTTCACAAGTAATCAGACTTGCCACTGACCCTGGAGGTCTCTACTCCGCTGGCCTGAACCGGCGGGTGGCAGCTGGTGTAGACGCGCTCGTTTCCCATTGCCAGTGGGAGGGGGTGTGGGCCCAGGGCTGGGGAAGGCACTCAAGATACCCCTCTACAGCCAGCACTGCCAGAGCCCAGCCTGTGTCCTTGGACCCTACCATTTTGACAGGCTTCTGTTGACTTCTAGTTGCCAGTATCTTTTTCCAGAAGCACCCCTAAACAAGGGAGGCAGAAATGCCGGGAAACCCACCCCTCGCCCCCAGCATTCCTCCCTCATGACCCACAGCGGTGGGTGGATAAATTAATTCCCAGCTCCCTCTCCTGCAGGACGACTAGCCCAGGGCGGGAACAGCCTCCCTGCAGCCCTCGCTGGCTGTGTTCCCTCCCTGGTCCCACCTCCCTGTTCCGGGGTTTGTATCCCATACACCTCCCAAATACACCGTTTACCTATACAGACATACCTCAGAGGTATTGCGGGTTCAGTCCCTGACCACTGCAATAAAGCAGGCAAGGCAATAAAGTGAGTCATGTGAATCTTTTGGCGTCTCAGTGCACATAAAAGGTAAATTTATATTGTATTGGATAACGGTGGTGAAAAAGTTTGAAATATTGCAAGAGTTACTAAAACGTGACGCAGGGACACAAGGTGAGCAAATGCGGGTGGGAAAATGGCACTAATAGGCTTGCCCTACACAGGGTTGACCCCCAGACCTTCCATCTGTGAAAAAGGCACTTATGCAAAGTGCCCTAGTGTGAGGCATGCTTGTAAATTTTTGTCTCTGGGCTGCTTCTGGAGGAACCCAGATTAGGATCTGCTTTGACTCAGTACTTTCACTTCTAGAATTCTCTCTGACGAAATATTTTCACATGTGTTCAGAGAGTCATGTGCAAGGAGATTCATTGTTGGTATTATTGGAAAATTAAACACACCCAAATGCCCACTGGTGGGGAAATGTAATTGCCACTATGTATCTTTCATAGTATCAAATATACTTTGCTGCTGTGGAAATGACTACGGTGCCCTGGCCGGGGAGCTCAGTTGGTCAGAGCATCATCCCAATACATCAAGGTTGTGGGTTTGATCCCTGGTTAGGGCACATACAAGGAGCATCCAGTTAGTGCATAAATAAGTAGAACAACAAATCAATGTGTTTTTCCTTCTCTCTGCTCCTCTCTCTAAAAATCAATAAGTAAAAAAATTAAAAACGTAAGACTACAGAGAGGCAAGGGGGTGTGGTAGGAAGAGTACGGGTTCTAGAGTCTCCGGCAGCCTGGGTTCCAGCCCTGATTCTACCGCTGCGTGGAGCCAGGACACTGCCTCAGTCTCCTTACGTGTATGATGCGCTTGTTAATAGCGCCTTCCTCACAGGGTTGTTGTGCAGGATTAACTGAGGTACATTTAAGCTCCTTGCACTGTGCCTGCCAGGTAGAAATCACTCGGAATGTTTTTGACTTTTATCACCCTTTTCATCATTGTGGATCAATATCTTAATAGAAAGCAAATTGCAGAAATAAGAGATTTAGGAGGGATCCGTTTCTGTAAAGCAAACCAAACAGTAAAATAGTATACACATGCAAATGTTATCACACTGAGAAATGTCTGTAAGGGTACGCTTCCAACCGACCATGGCAGGACCTCTGGAGACAGGTGAGATTCTGGAGGGCAGGGATAAGAGGGAGGAACTGAGAAATCTTGATAGAGTTTTTGTTTTTGTTTGAAACAAACATATTCATGAATTGTTTGTGTTCATTTCTTTTCAAAAAATTACTTTTAATCCTCACCTGAGGATATGATTATTGATTTTAGAGAAGAAAGGAGGAGAGAGAGAGAGAGATGTGAGAGAGAAATATCGATTGGTTGCCTCCCGTACATGCCCAGACCCGGGATCGAACCCACAACCTAAGTACGTGTCCTGACTGGCGGAAAGGCGCCCTGGCGGCCTTTTGGTGCATGGGACGATGCTCCAACCAACTGAGCCCATTGGCCAGGGTGCCTGTGTTAATTTCAAACACAAGTTTATATTTAAACAATTAGAACGTGCAGCTGGTCCTTGGAGGGTAGGAGAGGCTTAGGGGCCAGGCCGAAGGAGGCTTTCCTCAGCTGCTTAGATGGGCCTGGGGTAGCCACCCTCAGAGTGTCAGCCCTTGCTGTCCCCCCCAACTCCCGCCTTTCCTCTCTGCAGTGTCGTGATGTGTGCAGCCTCAATGTTTCCGACCGCTGTGACTTCATCCGGACCAACCCCGACTGCCACAGCGAGGGGGGCTACCTGGACTACCTGGAAGGCATCTTCTGCCGCTTCTCCCCCAACCTCCTCCCTCTGGCTGTCACCCTCTATGTGAGGCCCTGCCTCCGGGAGCTGGTGGGTGGGCTGGTGGTCCAGCCTGGACTTAACGTTCCCTTCCCCCTCGGCCCCTCACCCAGGGTTTCTGGCTGCTTTACCTGTTTCTGATTCTGGGCGTCACTGCGGAGAAGTTGTGAGTTTGGCCGTGGGCTCACGTCCAGCTTATAGATGGGCACACAACGTCTTGGGAGGTTGACGTTTGGGCAACCCTAGATTTGGGGGAATGGTGGGAACAAAGGTCACTCACTGTGGGAGCCTTACCATTTGCTTTTTCTCTGTAGCTTCTGCCCTAACCTGTCAGCCATTTCCACCACGCTCAAGCTGTCCCACAATGTGGCAGTATCCTTTTGTCTGGAGCCTGCGCCCTGGGGGGAGCGGGGGAGGGAAGGGCGTGGCTGGGGTGCCTGGTGGCAGCACAGGGCCCCGGAAAGGGCTGGGCAGGCTGGGGCCTCTGCCCTGAATGCCCCCTTGACATGCTCTCCCATGGCGTCACCTTCCTGGCATTTGGGAACGGCGCGCCCGACATCTTCAGCGCCGTGGTGGCTTTCTCGGACCCGCACACAGCCGGCCTGGCCTTGGGGGCACTGTTTGGTATGAGCAGCCCCGGCTGTGGGTGGGGGGACAGCGGAGGAAGCGCAGGGTGGGCTGAGCTTGGCCCCCTCTCCTGCAGGCGCGGGCGTGCTGGTGACGACCGTGGTGGCGGGCGGCATCGCCATCCTGCGTCCCTTCACGGCTGCCTCCAGACCCTTCCTCAGAGACATAGTTTTCTACATGGTGGCTGTGTTCCTGATCTTCTTCGCACTGTACCTCGGCAGGGTCACGCTGCCCTGGGCTCTGGGTGAGCAGCCACAGGGCCAGGACTGGGTCATCCAGAGCTGGCGGAGGGTGGGGGGCAAGGGGACAGGAGGCGGTGGCCAGCGGGGCACAGGGCTCTGTTGGTTCCAAGCAACAGAAACCCTCCTCAGGCCAGCTAGAATCGAAAAGGGAATTTTCAGTTCAGATGACCGGAGGGGGCGGGGCTGAGCCCGGGGTGGCGGGGCGGGGGGCGGGGAGGGGGTGTTCAGGATGGTGACAATGTCAAATGTCACCAAGCAGTGGAGCCGGATGCTCACTGCTGCCGCATCAGGGCGCCAGCCGCATACACATTCCTTTCAGGCGGTTCAGGGGACACGGATGGAGGGACAGTTGGCAGAGGGCTGAGGAAGTCAGCAAGGCACTCTGAGATGCTCAGACACCCAGGAACCGCCACAGCGGAGCCGCCTCCCCACATCTGAAGGGACAGGGAATGTGGCGGCTGGAGCCTACTGCGGGCTGGAGGCCCAGAGCTGGTGCCGTCCAGCATGAGCGACAGTCACAGAGGGTCACAGGCCCTGCTAGAGATGGGGCATCATGGCAGGAGGGAGCGGGAAAGAAACATTCCGGACTCTTGCCGCCTGCTCCTTGGCTGCCAGGCCTCCCAGGACACTGACCCTTAGCGCCTGGATGGGGTTCCTGGGGGCCACCGTCTGTGCCGGGCATTGCGTCCGTGACTGCTGGACGATTGTGGCCTGGGAGGGGACGGGAGGGTGCATCAGGGCAGGGCGAGGGGGCCGCAGGAAATGGCCGCTGACCACCGACGCCGGCTGGGTGAGCACAAGGGGCCACCGCTCGGGCACCAGCGACGGAACTGGTAGCCCCTGCCCTCTGGGCCCTGCAGCCAGGCCGCCGCTTGGTGACAGCCAGCACCCTTGTCTGCAGGGTACCTGTGTTTGTATGTATTCTACGTGGTCACTGTGGTTCTTTGCACCTGGATCTACCAGTGGCAGCGGAGGAGGTCCCTGGTCTACTCCATGCCTGCCACCCCAGGTGAGGGTCTGTGTGGGACCCCAGAGGGCCAGGGAGCCGTCACCCTTTGCGCCCTTCGCTGCTGCCTTACGTCTCTGGAGGTCTTTGCCGTTGCCTGTCTCCCCCTCGTACTTTTTCTGCTCGGGTTACCAAGGTCCCCGCTCGGTGCTTCGCTTGTGCTGCTGAGGCCCCCTGCCACTTGCTTTGCCCAAGTTTACTAGCTACATCGTTGCGTGTGAGTTAGACTTTCTCACTCTGTAGGAATTCCTGAGCATGCCTGGTGATCACTAAGAAATCCAAAATAGGGAGGGGCTGGCCCCTTGCACCCTGCCGGCTGCCCAGAAGGGCCCCACTCTGCAGGCGGGGGAGGGGGCGGGGGGGGGGTCTGGGCGCCCTGGCTGGCTTGTGTGGCACGTCCCTCTCTCCTACAGAGATGCTGTCAGATTCCGAGGAGGAGCGGGTGTCTTCTCCTACCAACAGCTACGACTATGGTGAGTCCAGGGCCCTGTGCCCCGCCAAGGGTGAGGGGTAGCCGGCCTGGGTCGGGGGTGCAGAGGTTTGGCTGCCCACCAGCCTCCCCCCTGCCTGCACCTCGGCTGAGCCGAGGGCCGGCTTCAGCTGCCCCCTGCCCAGCGGTGGGTTTTTCCTCCTCCCAAGGGTCGGGAGGACTGTAGGGGGGGAGAGGCTTTCCTGAGGCTGAGCCAGGCCGGACACCTGCCCCTCCCCACCTTGCACACCCAGGGGAAGAGTACCAGCTGCTGCTGCTGTACCAGGAGACCACGGCTCAGATCCTGGTCCGGGCCCTCAACCCCCTGGACTACAGGAAGTGGAGGAACAAGCCGGCGCACTGGAGGGTCCTCAAGGTGTTCAAGGTAGGACGGGGACCCTGGCACTGGGCTCCTGGCTCCGTGGCAGCGGCCACTCAACCTTCTCTAACTCAACAAGGGGGAGGGAGGTCCGCTGAGACCCTCTTGGAATTACATCACCTGGGACTTGATGGGGAAACTGAGTCATGGAGCTCACCTGGGGCTCTCGGAAGGAGAGCATCTGCCCAGGGACAGAGACGGGGGAGGAGGGGCCCCGCCCGACTGGGTGAGGGCAGGGAGCTGGGGCTGGGCTGAGGGGCTGGGTCAAGGTGAGTTCCAGCGGGAACAAGGCTGAGTGTTCCTGACCACCTGTCGCTTCCCCGGGCTGAATGTCCCCTGAGGTCTGCATGTGAGCAGGACGGCCCAGGCCGGTGCACACAAGACCCAGCTACGGCTGCCTTCCACCCACCAGGCCAAAACGTCAGCAGCCTCACCTCACGGCCCTTCTCTCCTGCTGGAGAGAACTTGGAGGCCTCCGTCGTGTGTCCATTTTCGGCTTCCTCAGTCCCGGGGCAAATAATGGACTATGTTTGCACCCTGCGGTGGCTGTGGCTGCATCATGACCTTGGGCAAGTCCCTTCGCCTCCCTGAGCCTCAGCTTCCTCCACTGTAAAATGGGGATAATGATAGTGCCTTCCCTCTGCATGGTCGTATCAGTAAATTACTGCTGCAACAAGACTGCGTAACAAATGACCGCAGAATCTCATGGACTTACAATGACAATAGTTTGGATCATCTGGGGTGACTATTTTCAGGCTGTGGTCAATGTTCAGGTCTGGGGCCAGGGGGTTCTTGGGACTGTGCCGTTTTCCTGACAGAAGAGACCAAGGCAAACTTCACACGCACATTTTAAGCCCCTGTTCACATCACATTCACCAACAGCCCTAGGGTCAAAGCAAGTGACAGGACCAAGATCAACAAAAACAGGGCAGGGAAGTATATCCTGCAACTTTCTAGTCCCTTGACAAAATATGTGGGTGTTTAATTCTGTTACAGGAAGGGATTGAGGAATTGCAAATGGCATCCACACTACCACAGTGGATGTGACAATTTAATAAACTTGTACATGTAAAGAGCTGAGTCTGGTGCCTAAACACTCCATCAACGTTATTACTACTTTAGTAATTGGCTAAAAACAAGGTGCGGAGCCTGTTGGCGCTGGCCCTGTGTCCCAGCGACACACACCCTCCGTGTGGCTTTAGAGAGGTTCCTCATCGCTCTGAGCCTCAGTCTCTTCGTCCGTAAGGTGGGCAAGTAGTCCCCGTGCATGGGGTTGGTGTCAGCATTCGCGGATGAGGTGCTGTGGCCAGCTGAGTAACGCCCTCCCCGAGGACGCCCCTGTCCTGAACCCAGAGACCTGTGGACACGTTACCTTATGTGGCAAAAGAGACTTTGCAGACGTGAGGAAGGCCCTCGGGACGGAAGGATATCCTGGGTTACCCAGATGGGCCCAGCGTTAGCACAAGGGTCTTTGTAAGGAAAGAGGGAGGCAGAGGGCAGACCCCGAGGAGATGTGACTGCAGAAGCACAGGTTAGGGTGACGGGGAGCCAGCAGGCGCAGGCAGCCCCTCAGAGCTGGGAAAGCCGGGGAAACAGACCCCCCTCCTCCAGCCGCCAGGAGGAGCCAGCCCTGCTGTCGCTGTGGTTTGAGACCTCTGTCCTGCGGCGCCAGAAGGGAGGGCGCCGGTGTGGTCTGAGGGCGCCTGTGTGCGGCGACACCTTAGGGCAGCCGTGGGAGCCCGGCCTCTTGGCCCAGTTCCCGCAGCAACAGCCATGTCCTTGAGAGGCTGAGCTCAGCCGGGTGCGGCCAGCCCAGACCTGGGTCTCCCTGGTGACACCGTCCTGCCTTCTCAAACCTGACAGCTGCCCGTGGAGTTCCTGCTGCTCCTCACCGTCCCCCTCGTGGACCCTGACAAGGAGGACAGGAACTGGAAACGGCCCCTCAACTGCCTGCACCTGGTGATCAGCCCCCTGGTCTTGGTCCTGACCCTGCAGTCGGGGGCCTGTGAGTATCCCCTCCCCCTAACGTGCCGTGGACAGGATTTCGTGTATTTAGCCCCCCACATAAAGCTCGCGCCCACGGATGTTTGCACGCCAGTGAGCCCTGCTAAAACGACGGAAGGAAAGCCTTGTGGCCCGTATCCGGGTCGTCCCACCACCATCCGTTGCCCGTAAGACCAGTACCGACTCCAGAGTGGCGAAAAGAGTGGTGTGTGGAGACTTCTAGAGTGTCCTGCCTCCCTGCAGGCTTTCCTCCTGCTGGTGTTTTAACAGGACGCCTCTGGAACCTTCATAACTCTGTAATGGATTGGTCTGCGGAGTGGGCTTATCAAGAGAGCAGGTGCCGGCCGGGCTCCAGAATCCACGGGTGCAGTGTGACTGCGCGGTTCAGCCCGTGCAGCGACGCCCATCCATTGGCCGTGCCTGGCCGGAGGGTGCTGCCTTAAGCTCCGTTGGACAGGAGCATCATGGTCGATTAATGATGTCTGCCGTGGGTGTGGGGCAGGGTCAGAGCGGTGAGCAGTCCTAGCTCTCCCCATGCTAGTTCTGTATAAGAGAGAGCTGGAGAGGGTCTGTTTTTCACACACTTGTCTTTTATCTCCTGTGTGCTCCTAGCTTGGGGGCAGGAGCTGTCTTTAATTCCTCTCTCCCCGTGAAGTGCCTGGTCCAGGGCTGGGCACATGGGAGGTAACTCTTATATCCGAACAACTGAGTGTATGTGGGTTTTATCCATGGGTCTCACCCTCGGACCTCCTCAGTCATTCTGGGGGGGCCTCCAGGCGGAGGTGTCCAGCTGTAGCTGTGGGGAGCACCAGTTCCCTTTCTTTTCCTTCCACAGATGGCGTCTATGAGATAGGTGGCCTCTTTCCTGTCTGGGGCATCGTTGTGATCGTGGGCACAGCCTTGGCTGCCGTGACCTTTTTTGCCACATCCAACAGCAAGCCCCCCAGGTTCCACTGGGTAAGAATTCTGGGGTCTCCATGCTGGGACGGGGACACTGAGGTCTTCCAGATCGATGTCCTGTCTGAGTCTCTGGACTAGTTAGGCCAGTAATCACTTTCTGCAATGACAGGTCTTTAATGCCACTTTTGAGGGTTATTGTACCTCTTCAAGGTCCTCTTCTTCTTCTTTTTTTGTAACAGCTTTATTTTATTTAGATGTAATTCACATACCATACAAGACATCCATTTGAAATGTACAGTTCGGTGGGTCCAAAATAAATGGACCCATGTAGTTCAAATCCGTGTTGTTAAAGGAAAAACTACATTCTTGATCCGTAGTTGGATCGCCGTGGGTACGCTGTAGTTACACGTGGATTTTCCACTGCCCAAGGTCAGCGCCCCTAACCCCTGCGTTGTTCAAGGGTCAACTGTATATTCACAGAGTTGTACAGTCATCACCCCCCAAAAAATCGCATATCCGGCAGCCACACCCCATCGTCCTCTTCCTCTGTCCCCTAGCCACGGCCAGTCTGCTTTCTGGCTCCATAGATTTGCCTGTCCTGGGCATTTTATATAAATGAAATCCTACCATATGTGGCCTTTGGCGGCTGGCTGCTTTCACTTACTAGGAAAATGTTTTCAAAGTGTGTCCACACTGTAGCATGTATTAGCAAGTAGTGCTTTTTCATGGCTGAGTAATATTCCGCCATATGGCTGTAGTGCATTCCATGTATCTTTTCATCTGCTAATAGACATTTAGGGATGTTATGAATAGTGCTGCCTTGAACAGTTGTTTAAACATTGTTGTGTGAACATACCCTTTCATTTCCCTCGGGCGTATGTTTAGGGGCAGCACTGCGGAGTCCCATGGTAATGGCGTGCTGACCTTGAAGACCTTCCAGACTCTTTTCCGCTACAGCAGCCGGGGTGCACCTGGGTTCCTAACGATCTCAGGCCGGTGATGGAACTGTTTGATCTTGGTGGGGGCCTTTTCCCATTCTCTTCACTCTGTAGCACTCAAGGGAATTTTTTAGCAGTTTGTCCAGAGACATTTTCTTAAAAAACATACTTAAATTTTTTTTTTTTACATTTCCATTTTTACATTATAGTTTTTTTAATAAGAAATTGGGGGTTTTATTTTTAGAAACTCAGAATGGATGTACCACTCCAAAGGGGGTTGAATTTTCAGCAAATTGATCATTTAAAAATATGTTATTTATTTTTAGAAAGAGGGCAAGGGAGGGGCAAAACATCAACGTGCAAGAGAAACATTGATCAGAGGTCTCCCGCACCCTGTGCCCTGACCAGAATTGAACCAACGCCCTTTCGCTTTGTGGGATCACACCCAACTCACTGAGCCACACTGGTTTAGAGAAATGGTTTTCAGTCAGTGTTTCTAGCCAGTCTCTGAAGTCCTGACACGCTGCAACAGCGAGGTACCTTGAAAACACTGTGCTAAGTGAACACGTGGTCACAGAGGACCGCATATTGTACAAATAAATGAGGCCATTTGTATGCCATGCCCTAGACCAGGCAGATCCAGAGACAGGAAGTAGAGTGCAGGGGCTGGGGTGAAGGCTGGGGGGATGGGCGTGCCTGCTAACAGGGAGTTTTGTTTTGTGGTGATCGGTGGCGTTTGGTCCATAGACTGGAAATCCGCTGGAAGCTACGCGAATCTCTTCTTCACAAAGTAACGTTGAGCTAACGTTTTACTGAGTACTCACTAGGTGCTCGACTCTAATTTCTTTGCATCTATTGGCTCGTTCTGTGCTCACGACCACCCCATGAGGTAGGTACTGTTGTTGCTGTGTCTCTGCTGGGGGCCGGTCCGGTCCCATCCGCAGCCTGTTCCCTCCCCAGGTCTTTGCTTTCCTGGGCTTCCTGACCAGCGCCCTGTGGATCAACGCAGCCGCCACAGAGGTGGTGAACATCTTGCGGTCCCTGGGTGTGGTCTTCCGGCTGAGCAACACAGTCCTGGGCCTCACGCTGCTGGCCTGGGGGAACAGCATCGGAGGTGACTCGGGGCTGTGGGTGCGCACGTGAGCACAGCCACATCCCTGCCCTTCGCTCCCCGAGCCAGAATGGCCTTTGGGTAGGGGCGGCCAGGGCACTTGCCCTCAGCGTGTGCTGAGCGCCCACTGTCCTCTTGGAGTGACCATCACTGGGCATCGGGGCTGCCCCTGAGCCGGGAATTAAAGGAATTAAGGAGGGAATTGCGTCTCGCGGGACGCTGTGGCCGCTCACAGCAGCCAGCCAGCTAGCGCCACACCCAGGGGGTGTCTCCCCACGTTGGGTGACCCCCGAATGACGGTGGGTAAGAAGGAAGGAGGGAACAGTCCCGGGGGCCGGGAGAAGCCCCTTCCCCTCACGGCCCCTCTCGTTTCCACGCAGATGCCTTCTCCGATTTCACGCTGGCCCGCCAGGGCTACCCACGGATGGCGTTCTCGGCCTGCTTTGGTGGCATCATTTTCAGTATCCTTCTCGGGGCTGCCTGAGTCTTAGCACCAGGGCCGCGGGCTCTGAGAGCCATGGCCGCTCCCCCCGGGATTGGCTCTCACTGTAATGCTGGGCCCGGTGATGTGGCCGCTGGAGCCTCCGCTTCCTCATCTGTAAAATGGGACTGTTGAGAGGACCGACCTCAGAAGGGTTATTGGACGGGTTGAATGAGGTGGCAGAAGTGCTTGGCACCTGGTCAGCGCTGAGCGGCGGGCAGGTTTCCTTCAGGGCTCCTGTGAGAAGCAGATGCCCCCACGCTGGGCTGCCCTGAGCCTGTGGAACACCCTCGCCCTCTTGCTTATAGACCGCGGTCTACAGATGTCAGGAGTGAGTAAGCTTCTTCTCAAAGGGCCAGAAATGAAATAATCGTAGGCCGTAGGGCCTCTTTGGCAACCACTTACCTCTGCCACTGTCGTGGGAAAACGGCCGCAGGCAGTACCTAAACAAATAGGTGTGTCTCTGTTCCAATAAAATTTTATGTATAAAAGTGAGCCGGGGGCCTGCTGGGCCTGCACGCAGGGTCAGGGAGCGGGAGCTGCGAAAAAGGAAGACCTTCCAGACGAGACGGCCTTGGGTTCCGGTGCCCACGCAGGTCCCGCAGACCTCAGGGCTTTGCGCACATCTGTAGATGAAAAACAGGTTGCGCTGAAGGCTGATGAGGAAGTAAAGCGCCCACGACAGGCCTAGCACATGGCACATACTCAGCAAGTGGTTGAGATTTTTGGTTGTGAAATAAGGTGATGCTATTTAACGGCACTAAAGGGCCGCTCTCCCTAAGCTCCATGACAAAGGGACAGAGGGGCCCGTGGGGGGCAGGGGTGGGGGGCTGCGGGGCAGGCGGCCGGCACAGCGCGGCCAGAGTGGGCGGGGACCCTGCAGGCGGACCTGCGGGACCTGCCGTTGGAGCTCCCCGCAGCCCTTTTCTTCCCGCTGAGAACTGCTCCTGGCTCTGGGCTGACCGCCCAGGTTGGGGTGGCAAGGGGGTGCCCTACCTGGAGCAGGCCCTCAACAACCCCTAGAGGTGGCCTTGACCTGTGCTCTATCCCCAATCCCCCGATGGGCCCAGGGCAGTCACTTTATCTCACCCAGCCTCAGTTTCTCCACCACCTGAGTGCTTACCAGGTACTGAGCATTTCAGTCACCTCATTCGATTCTCAGATTGAATGCAAATGCGTACTGGACACTCAGCTTCTCAGAGGTGCTGAAACTGGCTAGTGTCCCTCAGGTAGGGCTTTGGGGGCGTGGTGGGGGGATAGGTCATAAAGAAAGCTGTGGGCTGTGTGGTCAGGGCCATGTGGTGGTTGGTGGTGCCTGCACGTTTCCTGAGCCAACTGCAGATATCCTGGTGGGAGTGGGGCTGGGCTGCCTGCTCCACATTTCCAGGGGCCACCCGGAGGTCAAGGTGAGTGGCCAGCCCTTCTGCCAGGGGCCTCCTTACGATGCTCTCTCCTGTTCCTTCCGGTCCCCCGTCTTCTGGACCGGAGGACCATTCACACCTGAGCACTGGACACTTCCTGGGAGACTTGTCTAAATTTGTGAGAAGTCTGATTTGTGGGTTACCTATAACATATGTTGCACGTAGGACTGAAGAATGTATTCCTTACAGATTCGTAGAGCAATGAGACGTAGCTTTGGGGAAGGGGCAAGAAGCCCCTGGATTCCGGTGTAGATCGCATCTGTTAAGTCTCTCGCTGTAGGACTTGGAATGAGTTAGGACATCTCTGAGCCTCAGTTTCCTCACCTGTGAAATGGGGTTGATGACTGCCCCTGACCCCACCAGTTTTCTGGATAAGCACGTTGAGGTCAGGGCCGGGCTGAACGCCGTATCCTGCCACGGCCCCGGCAGGGCGGGCCGGCAGGGCAGCTGAAGTCGCCCTCTGTCGAAGGCAGAAGGCAGCCCAGGAACGGGGAGGGCCCAGCAGGTTCAGAGAAGGTTCTGAAACACATGGAGGGAAAGAGGTCCTCACGCTTCAAGGGTATCTGAGAATTTCCTGGGGCCCAAGAGACTTCCGGACCCAGGATTCCAGGGGGTGGGGGCTGGAAATTTGCATTTGAAAACAGGAGACTGAGGAAGGTAAGACAGCCTTCTGAGGTGGAAAAGTTCAGATAATACCCGGGACTGGCAGGTCATCTAAATGCACAGGCGATACAGGTGAGTCCAGACTTTCTAAAGAAGCGATCAAGGTGGCTAGGTGAACTTTTTCTATTTTAGAACGTTGCACAGGGCAACTGCACCCCGCGCAGGGCCGCGAGTGTGCGCCCCCTGCCCCAGCATCTCCGCTCCTTGAATTCAGAGGCCGAAGGAGGGGGAGATTAAGATGGGGAGGGAGGGGGTCTAGTGGGGGTTTCTGGGCTCGGCATGGGAAAGCGTGTCAGCCTTGGAATGTCCCGAGGCTGACAGATGGCCTTGTGGGTGGGAACAAAGCCCCCCGCCCCCCAGCCTCTAGGTCAGGGCTGTGCAACCTTCTGGTGTGTCTGGGCCACAATGGAAGAAGAGGAGTTGTCTTGGGCCACCCATTAAATACACAAACACTAACGAAAACTGATGAGCAAAAAAAAAGGTCCGTGCGTAATTTTTGTGGTATCTACCACTAGAGATAAGCAAAGAAGTTCTCACATCATAACCCTAATTATGCAGCGGCCCTTTCCATAACTTTTTAAAATCATTGAGCAGGTCCCAAGTTTGTGATCACTAATATAGAAAACATTTAAGTAATAAAACTTAGTATGAAACTTAGCAATAAAACGAAGTAACATTTTAAGTAAATTTACAGTTTTGCATTGGGCCGCATTCGGCCACCCGGGGCCACAGGTTGGACACCCTGCTTCGGGCCTTGGACAGACCCTTGTGGCTGACTTGTAATTAGCTGGCAGGAGGGCCAGCCTTCCACAGTAGCTGCACCCAGAAGCAAATAGAGACTTACCCAAGCTTGACAAGTATGCTTTTCTCAGAGGTGAACACCCTCTGCAAAATTTATGTATCATCTTCATGGGTTTAATGGTTCCATGGTTCCTTTTGTTATCAGTTCTCAGGCGGTTCCAGATCATGGGGCTTTAGGGTGGGCCCCCTGAGGGGCCTATTTTTTCTTTTCTGGTGTTCCTCGTGGACAGCGTGTGTGTGTGCGCATGCACGTATGCATTCCAGCACTCCACCACCTTGGTGTTGAGTTCAGAACATACTCCTGCTGTTAATGAAGACACCGGCATCATAGAAGGTTGATGGCTACGGAGAACTGTTGGCTGCAAAACACAGGTTGCTCTTAACCACTCACTGTATGAGCCCAGTTCTCAGATTTGAGGCACAGGTCTGCACACATGTGTATCCACACAATGTGTCACTGTATGGGGAGCTAGGACAGGGTATTGCTTACAAGCTGGGACTTCCATTTGGGCCCTGTCACTTAACACAGGTTCCTCACCTATGGACTGGGGGTTGGGAAGATGAAAGGCTGTAAGTGTTAGATATATCCTCCGTCTAGAAGGCGGAGAGGTGGGTGGGACAGTCTCAGTTCATTTTACTTCTCTGTATCACTTGAGAATTTTTCAACAACTTCATGTTATATACGTGTGTATATATATATATAACATTGTGTTAGTTTTCTAGAGCTGCCCTAACAAACTACCAGCACGCAGGTGGCTTAAAACATTGAAGGTCAAGGCAGGGCATGTCATCCACGGGGCAGGCCTTCACTGGGCCCTAGCCAGGGGCTCTCGAGCATCAGTTGGCTGTTGGCCGCAGTGACTCACCTCTCTCCTTTGTCCCCTTGCCCCTCAGCTGGAGCCAGATGGCCTGTTGGTGTGGATCTTGGCTGGCGCCCTGGGCCTCAGCCTCGTCTGTTCCCTGGTCTCGGTCCCACTGCAGTCCTTTCAGCTGAACAGGGTCTACGGCTTCTGCCTGCTCCTCTTCTACGTGAGCTTCCTGGTGGTGGCCCTGCTCACGGAATTTGGGGTGATTCACTTGAAAAGTGTATGAGTGAAGCTGTTTCTGGGACCACCTGGTGGTCAGGAGGTATCACTGCAGGCGATGAGGTAGAAGATGGATCAAGATGAAGATGGAGGACTAGAGGCTGGAGGCGCCTTCTGCAGAGCTCGAGGCGCGTGCACGGCGGGAGAGAGCATAGCTCTCTCTGCTAAAGGCTCCCAGGCGCTGCTGCGGGCAGGGATGAAAGGTGGACCTTGTGCCTGGGACTTTGGAGACTGGGCTTCGTTGTGGGTGGACAGTTCCAGACGGTAGACTGAATTCTCTTCCAGAGCCTCTTGAAGGTTGAGGGTCAGGGTGAGGGGGTGGCTGGACTGGTGTTAGACGACTTGCGAAAAGTGTCCGGGGCTGGGGGCAACTACAGAGGCCCAGGCCCCTCCCCGTGTATGTCCCCTGCTGCTTTCCTGCATCTTCTCAGGGCTCAAATAGCTGCCAAACCCAGGTTTAGGGAGCTCGGGGGGCAGAGGCCTCATGTGCCACGGGCCAAGTTCTAGAGCTGCGCTGTCCAACAGATACGGACTGTGAGACACATGCCTAATTTTGAATGTTCTGGTTGCCATGTTAATAAAGCCAAAAGAAACAGGTGAGCTTTTCATGGTAATCTATTCGATGGAATCTAGTGGCTCCAAAATACCGGCCCTGGGTGCTGGCCCTGTTCACAGCTGCCCCACTGGACAGCACAGCCCTAGGCTCTGCCCCTGGCTCTGCGTGCTGGCTCTCAGCAAGCTCTGCACACCTCACCTCATTTTCCTCTTCTGCAGAACAGGAGGGAACTTGTGCCTGGGGCCTACCTCGGGGAGGGGGGTGCTGGGCTGGGGTCCCAATGCCTGCAAATTCTTGGGAGGACAAGGAGTCCCCACCCCACCCCCAGCACCTTCTGCCACCAGTGACCTGCTTCGATAAGCACCTGAAGGTTTGCCCCATTGCCTTATGTTGGCAGTAACGGGATTCAATTCTTTTTTTCCAATGAAGCATTATTAAATATTTCAAGTATACGGAAAATCACACACTGCTGTCTCTTACCAGTTCTCCCTTACCTGGGCCAGGTGACAAAGGGTTGGTTCCAGGGCTAAAAGCCCTTGGGTCTGATAGTTCAGCTTTGTGGCACGTCTGGAGGTGGGGCTGAGCTGGGGTCAGAAAGGCCACAGATGGGACGTCCCCACATCCCCCATGATACCAGAAGCCACAGAATGGCACCTGGCAGATGTCACGAGGCAGCAGCCGCACTTACAAAGCAGAGGCGCTTTATTAATATGCCAGAAGTTCAGGACACAGTGGGTTTTCTAGGAAACAAATCACCAATGTACAAAACTTCAGGGTTGTTCCCGCTATCCGTACAAAATGATTGTCGCATGGTGTGGAATAAGGCTGGGTGCGGGGAGGGAAGCAGGGAGGAGGGGCTGGATGGCGTCCCACACAAAGTGGGGCAGGGGCACAGGGCCGTCAGGGCCCCTGATGGGTTGCTTGACCCTGGGCACGTTGGCATCTCAGCTTGGCTTCACTCAGCTGACATGGGAATGAGGGCATCTGAGCCAGATGATGCCCTGGGTGACACCCAGTCCCTGCTCCATGAACCTATGTGCAAGTTTGGGGATCAACTTGACGAGGCCAGAGGTGGCCCTGTGGGGACAGCTGTTCTTGGCCTCAGTGACGAAGGAGCCAACCAGGGGCTGGAGTCTGGCCTGTCAGCACGATGGGCCCTTCGCATTCATCCCGTCTGAGCTAAAGCCAGGGCCTTTTCCAGGACAGGGTTAGGGGGACTGACCCCGAAGCCCCGCTTCCTGGCACCAGCCCTCACCCTGGGGGGGCCTTGACAACCCTGGTGCCCTCCCAGGTCTGCAGCCCCTGGGGGGGCGGGGGCTGGAGCGAGGCCTCAGGGGCTCAGGTCGGTGGACTCCCACTTCCAAAAGGCCCACCGCAGGGCACAAGGTGCCCAGTGTGCAGGCAAAGCTCCTTCTCCGGGCAGGGGCAGGGGTTCTGGCTGGGGCTTGGCGCCAAGCCGCCGTCATGGCTGCGGCCCTCCAGAGACGGACGGCAGCCTCCTGATCCCTGTGGGAATCTGGGCGATCCCTTGTTTCCCCAGAGGGCTGTGCTGTAACAATGAAAATGGCCGCATGTCCCCCCTGGGGAGGGGCAGGGCCTTGTAGTGCTGGCTGTGGGGATTGGGCTGGCCTTGGACACGGCCAGGAGGGTGGGGCCAGGTGCGTGCTGTACCCCCAGGCCAGGCCCCGTCCTGCCAGGAAGAGGACTTGGCGTGCGGAACCTCTGTCCCCTGACATCCTGCGTCACAGGAGGCAGTGCCAGCAGCTGGAGAGCTAGGGCTGGGCTGGGGCTGCCCCCGCCTCCCCGCTCCCCTGCCCCCTGACACCATGAGAGACGGGCAGCCCGGGGGAGCTGAACTGAGCTCCCTCTTCTGACCCTGCCTGTGGTGCCACCATGAACACACTCACCGGGGTGGCCACCCCCAATGGCCTGCCCTGGATTCGGCTGTCGGTCCTCACCAGCCACACTGATCTCAGGGACCACCACCCCCCACCCCGGGTGCCGGAGGCACTCAGGGAGCTGCACCAGCCCCTCCTCCCAGAGAGGCCTTGGCCAAGGAGCCAGGGGCCCAAAGGGTCCCACGGCAGGGCCGCCACAGGCGGCTGTGCTCTCCGCTGTTCCCAGCGGCGGACTCCAATGTCCACCTGCGATGCGCCCGCGTTGCCTTCAGCGGAGCCCTGAGTTAAGCAGCGTGCCTCGTTGCGGGGGCCGGACAGCCGCAAGCAGAAAACGGGAAAGCCTGTTTCAGGAGTCGGGCTGGGGCACAGCTATGGGCCGGCCCCTTGCCTGCCTTCCTCCTCCTGCTGGGCCTGGACTCCAAACGAGGCCACGTTAGGATTGTCAGCAACAAGAACCAAATCCAATCCAAAAGGGGTGTAGACAGAGGCGCACAGAGCCGGGGCACGAACTGCGTCCGTGCGATCTGTCGCTGCCCAGCCCTGGCTGGGGTCTGACCACACGCGGTAATCACGCCCCTCAATTCCTCTTTCCATTAGGGCCGAGGCACGGGTCTCCCAAAGGAACGTTCTGTTACATGATCATATATAGAAACACGAACCCCGATGGTGTGGGTTCTTTCCTTCGTAAGTGGTTTTGTCCTTAAAGCAAGACACAGACCCATGACGTGACCACAGGGGAAGTTAGTGGGGGAGCTGTCAGCGGAGGCGAGTCCTGAAGCGGCGTCAGGAAGGCGGCATGGGTGTGGCCGTGGCCTAGGAGGGCCGGCCCACTTTGAAGACGGGCCCTGCAGAGATGGACAGACTGTTCCAGCGGTCCTCTTGTCAAAGGGCCTTCCGGAGCTTTCTGTGCTGGGAAGGGCTCCTAGGGGCCTACCGCCCCTTCCAAGCAAACTGACTCCTGGGGTTAAGGACAACGGGGTAAGGTGGCTACAAACCAAACCCGACCTGGTCTGTCTTCCTTTTTCTCTATATAAATAGGTGCATATATATGAATATGTGCATATGTATATATACACATATTTCGATACATCATAGTAAAATAATACTATTGTGTTATTGCATAGAAGAGATGGCTTGCGTGCGCTGCGGTTAGGTGATGGTCTGGGAGCGCTGGCGGCCGCCTGGGGGCTGCGGGGTGGCGGGGGTGCCGCTGCCGCCGTCCCGCTGTCGCTGTTGTTCCTCCTGCTTCCGGGCGTGCTCCTCGTACCACTCCTACAGCACAGGGCGGACGGGGCGCTGAGCGGCCGCACCCCCCGGCCGCCCTGCAGTCCCTCCAGCCTCCGCCTGCCGGGGCCGGGGGGCCATCCAGGAAGCAGGAGCCAAGGCTGCCAGCCCCACCCAATGGGGACTGAAAGGTCTCCTCACCCCCAGAGCTGCTGGGAATTCTGAACGTGGCCCCAAATAGAAAAATTACAGTCATCAGCCCCGAATTGGTGAGAGGTTTGCACACCGCCTTGCACAGTGGGCTTGGCACATGGCAGATGATGACAACACCCTCTCCTTGTGACTGGGATCCTCTGCTGTTCACCATGGGCGTCCCTACCTCCCCTCGGGTCAGCCCTTTGAGCTGAGCGGCAGTTGTCCTCGTTTGAGGCTGAGGCTGCGTAAAGCCGGATGGGCGGCGGCTGTGCAAGCAGAGAGCAGGGGAAGGACACAGCCGCCAGATCAGGCCGCCATCTGACACTTTCAGGGACTCAGGTATTTGGGTATTTAAGAAATTACAAACTATACCGTAGGTTTTGAAAGGCACCCGAACCACAGAACTTTAGAGCTTAAAAAACACTGCGGGGGCCTAGTTCTGTGTCCCTTCGTCTCACGGAGAGGAAACTGAGGCTGGGAATGGACGGACGGGCGGAAGCCAGGGCACAGACAGGACAGCTCCTAAGTGCAGGTTCACACGCAGTTGTCTCCTCTGCTTCCCGAGGCAGACAGTCCCCCTTTCGCAGGTGCGAAGTCACTGAGTGACTTGCCCAAGGTCACGGAGCCAGGAATCAAACCCAGTGTTCATGACACCGAAGCTCATGTTAGTTACACGTCCCTGTGACACCCCGTTCAGCGAGCCACCGCATATCTGTGGCCCTCATGTTTTTACAGAGAATGCGGGGTTCACGTCAGGGTACCGCAGCCTCCCAGCCTTGCGGGCGTGAACATCGGTCACGACTGCCCCAGTGACCCAGGGTTTCCCCTGGGAGGGTGCCAGGAAACAAGGCATAATGGCTGGCAAGGGAGACCCTCCTCGAGCCTTGGGACCCCGAGGTGGGAGGAAAGGCCCAAAGCTCATCCACGGGCGGCCGCTGGCCCATGGGCTCTGTCCGGGATGCAGAGAGCCAGCCCTCATGGCCCTGCAAGATAGTTTACTTAGCTGCCAATGCAGAAAGATGGGGAGATTTGGCACCAAAAAAAAGGAAAAAAAGAGACTTCTCCTTTCTCTTAAATTAGAAAAAACCGAGTCAAAAAAAAGACCTGCCGGGCACAGCAGGCCTTATTCCCGTTGGCGACGTTTGCTGGGCCCAGGAGGAGGCCGCGTCCTGGCCCGCTCCCCAGGGCCCCGTGGCCCTCTGCCAAGTACGTCTCCTGTGCGTGCACCTCAGGGCAAGAGACCGAGATGGGGCCCTGGAGACCGCACAAGTGGCCGGGACATAAACGGAAGACCAGACAGGAGAGGTGACTATGCAGGGAAGGGCAGCCCCCAAACCCGACTCCCGACACCACTGGTAGTGGTCCCAACCTGCAACCCCGCGTCCCCCCACCGAGCCTTCCCTGCTACTTAAGGTGCGGCCGGAGCGCCGCCCCTGCCCGGGAGCGGGAGGGCCCCTTCCAGGCAAGGACCTGGGTGGTGTGGTCGGGGCGCGCCTACCTGAATCTCCTCTTGGTACATCTTCAGGCTCAGATCGCTTTTGGTCCTTGATCTCCGTCCCAGAAACACCACGGCGTTTTGCTGTGGACGAGCAGAGGCTGCATGCTCCACGTGTGGAGGCCTGGTCCCCACCCACTGCACTGGCCTCGCCCAATCTGGAGGGGATGGCTACACCCCGTGGGGGAGGGACCGCACTCAGCTACCACCCACCCCCTGACCAGACGGGGCCCTGTTGCTCCTCACCTCGTTTCTCTCCATCTGCGAGAGGATCTTGAGCAGTCGGGTGACGTCCGAGGTGGCTCCCCGCGCCTCCCGGTACAGCTTGAGGACAGCCAGCAGCTCGTCCTTGGACATTTCCTTCTCAATGGTGATGCCATCATCAACTGCAGGGGGCAGGGAGCCTGGGCTCAGAGCCTCCAGTTTGGCCTGTCCTGGGTTAGCCATCCTCCCTGCTGTCCCCACAGGGGTCCTAAGTTAAGGTTCCCTCTCTGAGGGACACGTCCTCAGCACGATATGCCCTCTGCCTCCTGCCGTGAGGAATTCTTGCCCCCCACACCCACACACCTCTGCCTTGGACTGTGAGGACCCACGGTCAGGCCAGCAGCTTCCAGGGGACAGGGGGTTTCGGGAGGGAATCTGAGCAGTAAGAAAATGGTCAGCCAGCCTGATACGACAGACTTGGAAACAGGGAGTAGCAGGTATGTGGCTGCTTTGACAGAGGGAAGAACAGAGGATCAGTGCGCAGAAAGCTATGCAACCTGGGAAAAGCGAGGCAGTCAGAAAGCGGGGATCGTTGAGTTGCAGAAGGAAGTTTATGGGCTCTGTAGTCTTCAAGATTTATACCCTTTAAGCCCAGAACCGTGGTTTGAAAATGTTATTTAGAAATGTGGAAATGATAACTAAAAGGAGAAAGAGCTAAGAGTGAGAAGCCTCTGGGAGATGGGACAGGAGGGACAGACGGCTGCTATGTCCACAATAAGGCCGTGTCTGCTGTGTGATTCTTCTTAAATGATGGCATGCATTGTTTTTCTTTAAAAACTGAGACCAAGAGCATGTTTCTGTCATTAAATATTTGAAAATCAATGGAAATGAGGTATCTAGAAAGATAAGCCAGATACATAAGCTGAGCCGTTGGAAGACTGGACAACCAGACAGCTGAAATGCCGGACAGCCCCCAGCTGACCCCTGGACGGACAGCCAGCCAGCTAGGCAGCAGGCCACGGATGCCCCTGTTCCTGGCACCGACCTTCTGAGTCCTGGTTCTTGCGGCTGAAGTTCATTCGGAAGACAAAGGCCTCGAGGATGAAGGCGACAATGATAGTCATCACCACCTGCCAGCCAGAGAGAGGGGGTCAGAGAGAGGGAGGAGTGAGGGGTGTGAGCTGCTTTGGGGCCTCGCCCCTCAACAGAGCCACTCAGATGTGTCCCCAGTCCTGTCCTCCCTGAGCTGCCATGACCAATGGGCAGAGGGGACTGGAGGAAGAGCACCTGTGGCCCCAGACCTACCATGGTCACGATGTAAAAAGTCATGAAGTAGAGGCGGCTCCAGTGGGAGGTCTGCGAGGTGACGCCTTCCTGCAGAGAGGGAAGCGGCCAGTGAGCGGGCGCCTGGGCGGGGGGGGCGGGGAGGAGGTCCCTGTCTCGCCAGGCTGATCCGTGGCCCCTGGCACTGCCAGGCTTTTTGCAGACCCTCCCTGATCTGCCTTTGGTTGTGAGAGACACAGGACAGGGACCTCGGTTTCCTGGGACTAAAAATTCCTCTGTGTTGTGTTTGGCCTGGGTGGCCCCCAGGACAGTCTTTGTGCTAAGTAGGGGTAGCCCTTGGAAGAGTTCAATGAATTGAGAACCAAAACCAACAACCCTTGCCACGCTGTTTCTTGATTGAAAAGCCTCTCCCAGTGGAGGCCAAAGGACAGAGACCCAGAGGCTAACTGGCAACTCCTGGCCGCTGGGGATGTGTGGGGAGCAGGGACGGAAGCCAAGTCCAGCCAAGGGGGGGCTCCTGCAGCCACGCTGCGGCCTCCCACCACCACACCAACCCTGTGTGCCCCGGGACCCCGCCCCTGCAGGCAACGGGGAGAGCAGCGTACGCCACACTGGGCGAGAGGCGACCCAGGGCTGGCCTCAGACGATGGTGGGAAGATGCCCCCCACCCCCCAGAACTGTCCGAGCCCTTACCATGATGATGTACCAGTTGTTGACAACTGTGAGCTCAAACAAGGTCACTGCCAAAGTGAGAGGAACAAGAAAAGCACCTTGATCAGACTCACTTTTTCAAAGTGAGTTTCAAGTGGCCTCTCCCCAGAGATCCTTCTGGGTGCCATGCACCTAAAGGATGGGGTCCCCATCTGCCAGCTTGGACTGTGAACACCAGAAAGATCTGCCAAGGCCCTCCCTGAGTGCCCGCCCCATGGGGAGCGCCACCATCCTGCCCGTCCCCTGAAGGGCGAGCCCTTTGCCTGAGCAGCCTGTGATGGGCCAGGGCTGGAGGCGAGCGCAGGATACTGCGGAAAGAACACACAGACCTCCGCCAGCGCAGATCTGGGGTGCCGTGAGGCTCTCCCCTCCTCCAGAAGCTGTGCCTGGCAGGGCCGCTTCCCTCACAGAACCCGGGGCAGAGCCGTGTGGCCTGATTCGAGCAATGCAAGGGCACTGTGGCAGGTCCATGTGGCTGGTTCCCACCCTGGGACTGCGGCGTTGAGACAAGGAGGTGGTTCCTTAGCATAGACCAAACTCCTCCCAGCATAGCATGAAGCTCTTCTGCTCCCTGACACTGACAAAGTACCAGAAAAGGGATAACCCTGGCGGCTGAGTGAGCGCGGGACCTGGCCTGGCCCGCACGCCTGAGGCTGCGCACACCACGCGCTCCCTCCGGGCCAGGGAGGACTCGTGGACGCGTGGCAAACAGCTGGGAGGGAGAGGCCGCGGACAGCTCTGCTCTACTACCTGGGACCTGCAGCGACGAAGGCTCGGGGGCATCCTGCCTGAGACTTCTGCACTCACCAAAGCTGTTCAGGATGTTGTCAAAATTATTCAGATAATAGTAGCCTTCCTCTACAACAGTCCTGTTGCCCACGGTGTGATTGAGCCAGCGGTAGGAGTCTGCCACTGTACTTGTACTGGCCAGGGACACAAAGGGGCAGAAGGGATGGTCACAACACAATCAGTCCCCTTGACAGAGGCCACAATGTTCAAGCAAACCAAGGTCTGACCACAGAGCGCTGTCCTGGCCCAGCCCGGCTTCCCGCTCAGCGCACCTCCCCGCCCCGCTGGCTCTCTTGGCGGTGTTTATGGCTTGAGGGGCTCCTCAGCCCGGCCCCCTTCTCTACCTCCACTTGGCATTTTCTCTGCCCTGGCTAGGTCTCCGCTCTCCGAGCTACTCTTGCAGGACACTGCGGGGTGGGAGCGGCTGCCCCGCCTCCGGGCCTCCCCAACCTGGGGCTTGCCCTGGAGGCCGGGCGAGGGGCAGGCAGTGACCTGGGGAGGGGAAGCTCCTTGTCGGGCTTCTTCCTGCACCTGGCCCTGGGTTCTAATATTGTTGCTTCTGTTCCAAGAGCAGATTTGCTACTTTTATTTAAATCTTTTATAGTTTATGAGTTAAAATCCAGGCTGATGCTTCTAGAAGTCTGGTAGTTGGGCCCCAGGGGTGTGTTCGGAAGGCAGGGTGCTGAGCCTCTGGCCAGGCACACACTGTCAGGCTTGCGGGGTCTGGACTTTGCACTTCTAAGCAGCTGCCCTGGTGATTCTGAAAATTTGTGACCCACTCTCCTAGGCTTCTGCTTCTGAGTTCAGCCTGACACTTAAAACAGCTACCAGTGTCTCTGGAAGGTGTTTCTTTATCAGCGTGTGAGGCCACGAGGACCAGAGAGTAATGAGAACCCCGGATGAAGAATTAGTGGCAGAGTACACTGATTTCATCCTGGCGGCTTGGAGGAAGGGAGGAGGGGACGGAGAGGTCATGGGGGGCTGGCTCCCCACTCTCCATCCCTGGCCCCACAGGTCTTCCCGTGGGTGTCCGTCTGTCTTATGCTAACTCGCTGCCCCGGTTGATGTTTCCGCCCAGGTCACCAGCTGCCCCAGGAGAGACATGGCAGGAAGCCCTGGGACTCTGGCCTCGGGCCGCAGGCCACGCTGGGTTCTCAAGAGGCCTGTGGCTCTCGGCCCAAAGGGTAAGCGGACAGAGGCCTGGTGGGAGTGCAGCTCTGCACCCTGCGTGGGGACAAGGAAACCTGCCCAGACACCCTCACCACAGGGAGCCTCTCTACTCGCAGGTCCCCGATTCAGCTACCGCCCTGAGCTGAGCCTGAGAGTAAGGCAGGGCGATTGCGGGGGTTCCACAGGTGCTGTGACTCAGACAGGCCTGCGCCTGGGGTCCCTGAGGCAGAGAGGGCCCCATCGGCTGGGCTGCGGTGGGCAGCCCGTCCAGGTGCTGATCCCCTGCACACGCAGGCAGCCCGGGACTGGGCCGGCCAGGGGGCCTGCGGCGTACTCACTTGCAGCAGTTGGGGTAGAGGATTCCACAGAAGAATTCCATGCCCACGATGGCAAAGGAGTAGTAGAAGATGAGCAGGGTGAGGGCCAGGCTGCGGAGGAGGGTCGAAGGGACGGGGTGAGCCAGGGCCGGGCCGGAGAGCCCGCCTCGTCCGGCAGCCCGGCCTCCTCAGACCCCCGGGGCTGACTGTGGAGAGGCATGCCCCTAGCCAGGTTTACCGACTGGGAGGTGCCTGCGGGGAAGGGGCCTCGTGGTTCAGGTCTGGGGTAAAAAATGTCTCGAAGGAGGACTCTCTGAACAGATGCCCCTTGACCAGAGATTCGCCCCTTACCTGTGAAGGTAGACTCACAGGTGACCCCTTACCTGTGAACGTAGACACAGGTGGTAAGTGAGTTGACAGCTCCCTGCCCTCCCTACTAAATATTTCGGACAGGTCAGTGGAGGAAAGTGCCAGGGAGACCTGTGGTGGTCAAGAGTTCAGTCTCCTCGAAGGCCCGTCAGACCCTCGACTTCAGTCCTTTCCGGGCCTCCTCCTCGCCCCCGCCGCTACCGCCCAGCTGCCCGCCCCTGGGGGCGCAAGCCTCAGGGTGCCTGGCCCTGGGGCCCAGAGGCAGGGCAGTACCTGGCCATCCGGGGCAGCAGCTCAAACATGGTGTCCAGCACGTTGCGGTAACGCTTTTTCAGCTTGAACAGCCTGAGCAAGGGAAGGAGGCCGGGTCACCTACAGATGCCGGGTGTGGCTGCGGCCGCATCCACCACAGCCCCAGGTGGAAGACGGCACAGGGCCCGCTCATCTGCAGGCTGCCCTCACTCAGGTGACTTGCGCCCCTGGCGAGGACATCAGGGCTGGGCAGGCCTGCCCCTGAAGGGACACCGAGCCATGCTGTGTCTCAGTGTCTTTCTCAGGTGAGGGGGAAGCAGTGTGGCTGTTCACTACGGTTCACAAATGCAGCCAGGAGGCTCAGAGCGGGCGAGGCCTTGCTCAGGACAGCGCAGCACAACTGAGGAAGAAGGGAACAACGGCCCACACGGCAGAGGGGCTGGAGCGTGGCGGCTCATTGGCAAAGGAAGGACGGCGGTGTGTGGGGAGCTGACATCTGCCTGGCTGCCCACCACCACCAGGGCACGGCAGCAGGCTCTGCTACAGAGGAACGCCACGACCCGCCCCCACCCCCGCCTCTCTTCCCAGGAAGCACGGGATGGCACAATGGGCATATGTGGGATTGCAGGTGACAGCTGAGAAGAAAGCCAGGCTCGTAAAGACACAAAGAGCTCAAGATCCCTAAGAAATGAAGGACACCGCCCCGGAGCCCTGATTTACTGAGTCCCTACAATGGTCCCTGGGAAAACGGTAAGACCAAGTCAGGGTTTTTCTTGACAAGAGGCTGTTCCAGAAATGCAAGGGAGGCCCTCAAAAGTCCCTTTGAACCCTCAGAGGCTGTGCCTTCTGGTTTGTGACTGTGAGCACATGTGTTTCTGTGACAGCACCAAAGGCCACATTCACGTGAGCCACGTTTCTCTTCCAAAGTGAGAGGTGGCCGGTCCCAGTGACACAAGACAGGGGCGCCCAGGTGCTTCTGCAGGGGGTATGGCAGTCTCTGACCCCAGGCTTGTGAGTCTTCCGGCTCTTCCTGGTCACTTCCCAGACCAGTCCCCAGGTGTTCCCCACCCTCCCCCTGCCCGCCTGTCCCCAACCCCTGCCCTGCGCGTCACCTCAGCAGCTGGAGAGGACGCAGAACCACTATGAAATAGAAGGGCTCCATGTTGAAGGCCAGAGCCAGCAGTCCCAGGAAGGCGAACGCTGTGACGGAGAAGTCAAACCTAGGAGGGAGAGGGAGAGTGGTCCAGTGGTCCGGCCGCGGCCTCTCTCACCGCGGCTGGCGTCTCTACCTGTTCTCTGCTTGCCCTGCAAGGCGCCCATGCCAACCACAGCAAAGCCGGAGCACGACCAGCAGGGTTCCGTGGCCAGCCAGGCGGGACACGGCTTCCTGCCACCCTGGGGTTTCTGAGGGCAGTGTGGCCAGGTGCCATCACAGCTGCATCTCGGGGGTCATAAGCGCCTGGCCCCGCCCCCCTCACCAAGCTCCCACACTGGTCTAACAGCTGGCACTGGTCGCACTGGTGACAGTCTGCCCTGATGAGGTCACCAAGGTAGGGCGCAGGGTTGGCAGATGCCACTTGGGGACCAGGGGCCCCTCCAGAGACCCGGGGCGCCCTGCCCTGCTCTCCTCTGTTTATTAGCTTGTTTCCCTCTCGCAGCCCAGACCTCGTGAGTGCAGCCCGATTTCACGGGCGAGTTAACTTTAACAGGCAGTCAGTGGCCTCCTGAGGTCTCAGGGGAACAGGGAGAAAGAGCCAAGTGAGAGGGCGGAACTTCCTTCTCTATGGGCACCATGGTTTTGGGGGAAAGAAGCTTGGCTGTCTTGGGGGTGGGGCACAGGGAAAAGGACTCAGGAAGAGCCCGCAGGCCTCGGGACCCTTAGGGGTCACGCGCAGAAGGAACTGGCATGGGTGGCCCAAGAGAGTGAGACCGGAGCCTGACCCCTGGGGAGTCCCAGAGCCACAGGCAGAGCAGCAGGAGACAGAGGCCGTGACCCACCCTCTGTATCTGCAGACCTGGCGTGTGTGCTGTGGGTAGGTAGGGGAGGGCTAGTGGCTTTCATTAGCATCTGAGGCGAGTGGAGAACCATGAACTTACAGATTCCATCCGGAGGACAGGTATTCAACAGGGCCCAGGCCGGCGACCTTCAGGAACAGCTCCACCCCGTAGACTGTGGACAGGAGCAGGCCATCAGCAGGTGCCCGCCACGGCCTCCCACACTTGGCCCGGCCCAGCTCCCTCTTTGAGACCCTTCCCCCTCAGGCTGTGTGACCTCCAGACAGCCGCATCGCACACACGGCCACTGTCAGAGTGCACGTTCTAGGAGAGGGCCTGGCCCACAGGCTGGCCAACTAAGGTGACTTGCTGAGAAGAGGCACTCCCTCCCCGTCCCTGGGAATGGCCCAGCCATTCTTCTGTCCACCTACAGGTCCTTCCTGCACCTCCCCTGTGCCAGGCAATGTGCTGGGTGCTGGGCGTGCAAAAGTGAGCAATGCAGAGCTGTGCCCACTCAACAGGGCTCCGAGTGTAGATGGGAGGAAGGAGTGTAAATGGGTCCTGAAGACACATTTTGCTCAGGGGCATAACCGGAAGAGGAGGAATGTCGGTCAGTGCAAAGGCCCTGAGGTGAGCAAGGGTGTGGGGCACTCGGGAGCAGGACCCTGCTCCGGGGGTGCAGGGTGGGGCACAGGGGGCAGTACTGGCAAAAGATGAGGACAAAGAGAAGGCTGAAGGGACCCCATGCGGCCAGGCGATGTGAGCACACCCAGGAGGGAGGCTGGATCTGGGGGACAGAGGAGAACGATGAGAGACTTGGAAATAGGGGCAGGATGGAGCCAGACACAATTTCTGCTGCTTCTTGGTAAACGTCCCTGTTCTAGAGCCATGAGGGCCTAAACCAAACGAGAGCTCTCCCAGCCTGAAGCTATGTCACAGACTTACTAGTCAGAAAGACGAGGTAACTCCACGGCACGTGCTTGGAGAAGAAGTTCCCGCCTGCAGGACAGAGAGGCAGCAGCTCAAGAGGCAGGCCAGGTGTGCCCACCGGATGGGCCAACCCCCCAGCCAGGCTCACCTTTCAGCATGAAGGTCTCCACGAGGACCCAGACCCCATTGACCGCCACCACCAAGTCTGCAAGAGACAGGCCCACAATAGATAGAGAACACACAGGCAGGCATGAGAGTCAACAGGCCGCACCGACAGCCCATGGCTAATTTCTGGGCAGCTCCGGGAGCTTGGGAGAGTGGCTGTTCCATGCACCCCAGTGACAGGTGACTTCTTTCCCCTTAGCGCTTTCACCATAGGAGCTAAATCCATGGGTGGTTTTGCCTAGAAAAAGCTACGGATTTCTACAAACACCCTCTATGTCACTGTGCGGATACCAGTTAAAATGTTTTGGTAAGACCTGCAGATCATTCTAAGTCAGTACAAAAGATGGACAATATACAAAGGGTTTGCGTGTTAGAAGCATTTGTTTTTCCTTAGAGATGTCTGATTTTAAAATGACTGCAGAGTTAGCAAAACGCACGTGCGTCTGGCCTTTCACCCCAGTGAGACGCCAGCAAAAACACAACACGACGTACATGGGAAGCTGTTCACATGAGGACTACCTGGGACAGCACAACACCAGCAACAACCTAAATGATCAGTAGGGCACCGGTTAGATAACCTAGGATACGGTCATGGAAAGGTGTACTGTCCACTAAAAAAGAAGTGAGGGACACCTCCATATATTATTATGGCGTGGTCTCCGGGATATACTGCTAACTGAAAAAAAAGGTGGGAAAAAGCGCGTAAAGCATGCTATCGTTTAGGTAAGACAGGGAGACATGCATATGTATGCATCTATTTAGTTTTTTAAAAAAGTGGAAGTATAAACCACATAAAAAGTGACCTCTTGGAGGAGGCAACAAGATGTAAACGAGGCTTCTTTGAAAGATCTGACTTGGAACCGTACAAATATTGTACAGAATTATAAAACAAAATTAAATGTAAAAAGCAATCTCTAAAAGTTAAAAATAAAATGAAATAAAGAAACCTAAATGTGCATTCAGTTGGTGACATCCCGACACAGAGGGGAACCATTCCAGGGGACCTGAAAGCACAGCGCTCTGCCTGTGATCCCTGGAGAGGTGTTTCTGGTCGCTACAGTGTCGGGGTTGTGTGGCATTGCTTCTCAGAAGCTGTTACGTGTGTGCTGTGGGATAAAGCAAGTGAGCAATTGCGTCAGTGTTGCTGGGAACCAGGATTTTAAGACTGTGAAGCTAGGCCCTGGCTGGTGTTCAGTCAGTGCTCAATCAGTGGGCTGAGCGCTGGCCTGCGAACCAAACGGTCACTCACTGGTTTGATTCCCAGTCAGGGCACATGCCTGAGTTTCGGGCCAGGTCCCCAGTTAGGGGTGTGGGAGAGGCAACCAATGGATGTTTCTCTCCCTCTCTGTCTCTCCCTCTTCCCATCTCTCTAAAAATAAATAAATAAAATCTTAAAAAAAAAGACTGGGAATCTAGACAGAGAAGGAAGCTGAAGTTAGGGGGAAAATCCATAGTCCTGAGTTTGAATTATGACTATCAGGATAAACTCATAATACAGTTTATCTTTAAGAATACCAAAACCCCACCTCTTTCCAGGAAAAGGCCTAGAAGCAATAATGAACTCCAAGCAACGAGCATCTCCAGCACCTCAGACAGTGGCCGCTAAACACCATCTCCTACTACGAGGACCAGAGCTCCTCAGAGAGACTGACTGTGGTCAAGCCTCTAGTACTGTCCACGAGAGCTTTCCATGACAACGGAAATTTCCTTATCCGTGCTGTTCCATTGGTAGGCATTAGCCATCTGTGGCTGCTAAGCACCTCAAATGTGGATACTTCAATTGAGAAACTGAGTTTTTAATTTTTTTAGCCTAAATGTAAATAGCCACCTGTGGCTAACAGCTGCCACACTGGACAACACAGCTCTAGAGACAACTACCGAATTACAGGAAATAACAGAGGAAATGCAAACGCGAGACTGAAGGACAAACAATCCTTTTTCTTCAACTATGGATTTCAAGAGGAATGAGGGAGGAACCTACAGATTAAAACGGACATGAGTGACATAACCACGCATCACACTCTGTGGTTCTAGAACGTTTCCAAAATATGCAGGTCTAGAGAGCATGTCATGAGCTGGAGGAAGGGGGCAGGCGCACCAGAAAGGCCGGCCACTGCATGGGGATTCAGTTGGCTGATGGGCCACAGGTGCCCGTTACGCTCCCTCCACTTTTCCGCGTGCTTGGGGTTTTCTACAGTGCCAGGTCAAAACCACGACTGCAGGACCAATCTCCTGCCTCCCCACCTTCTGGAAGAGTGAGACTCAGGAGGACAGGGAAGCAGAGCTGTGACATTCTGCACTTACACATGAAATACTGAAAGGCTTTGGACTTCACGAGGATGTTGATTCCTATTGGAAGAGAGGAAACATTAGCATCCACGTTTCCATATGCAAGTACACCTTCCCTACTACCCCGTGCATGCATGACAGGAACCAGGGTATTTATGCCCAGGGATGAAAGGGAAGGGCCTGTTCTGGGAGCGACACTCAGGCACCTGACCACAGGTGCTCTGGGACAGCCCGGGCACCGGGAGCCGGGACGAGACAGAACGAAGCGTTGCGCCCACTGCCGAAACCTGCGTTATTGCCGGCCTCGGCCGGGGACAGTTTACTCATCCAGTTGAGGAACTATCATCCCAGGAAAACTGAAAACCCTCTAGAGAATATGGACTAACAGCTGTGCCCAAAGCCCTGGCTGTGGGAGAAACCACAAAAAAGGATGCGCCACCTTTACTCATGGTCACAGGGCCCAGACCCCGGCTTCAGGCTTCTTGCCTGAGAAACTCCCTGCGAACTAACCACAGCCCCATGGGGAACCTCAAAACAGGCATTAAATAAGGGGGAGACTATTATAAACAATACGGGCACTCTGATTTAAAATGTTCGAATTTTATACTGTGCAAGGGATCATATACATGAGGTATATATAACCTGCCACAGGAAAACGGGCAAACTACACTGTTCGATAGAGAGGCAGGTTTCAGAACGTAACACATAACTCAATCCCACGACTGCTTTTAAAATGTGCAGGAAAAAATAACCCACATCACAAGGGAACACATTAGAAAAGGAAGCGTGGTTATCTCTGGGCGGGAAATTTTCATTTTCTTCTAATTACCAGATGTAGTCCATTTTCTTTAATAAATAAATAGTCCACAAATGTCCTTTGGTTCAGTTTTTAAGTTACCAGTTTCCTTCCTAGTCCAGCACTTGATTCCCTGCTGGGGTAACCGCATGTTCCCTGTCTCTTTTACACACACAGACATTCACTGCCCCCTCCCCGACAAGCATGCTCTTCCAGTGCTCGTCTGTGGTCTCTGGAAACTTCCATCTGTCCCCAGCTGCCAAGACATCATATTCAGGTGAACCTTACCTTTGAAGATGAGGAATGCTGTCCTGGGAAGCTCATCAAACCAGTGTTCTCTATTTCTCTTTGCCTGGCCAGGAAACAGGGCCGTAGGAGAGGATGTTAGGACCAGTGCTAGGGCAGTGCTGGTCCAGCCAGGAAAGAGATGGACCTTGGGCGCCTCTCAGCCTCACGGCCCCATGAAGCCATCTGCCCGCTCCCTCCCTGGTCTCACTCATGTACTCACCTTCCACTTCAAGGCGGCGACTTCATAGATATCGTAAAAGTCCTTCAGGCTGTCATAGCAACATGAAAAGGCAAAAAAAAAAAAATCAGAATGCCCCCACTGAGCTTCACTTCTCTCACCCACCTGCCTGCTGTGACCTGTGGTGACCTTTAAGGGGAGAAGGTGGGAAGGAGGACAGGACATCTGGGGGTCCCGGCACATTAGCGGCCAGGGCATCGGGTCTCCTCCTTTCTCTAATGGCTTGGTCTACTCTCAGTGACAGCTCCATTCCCCCGGGGTGACTAACTCGTACATGGACCAGGAGTGAGCCCTGTTAGCACAGGACTTAACGGAACAAATGGGCTGAGAATGTTCCTTTCCGTGGCCAAGAGGTGGCCAACTTCTGTTCGAATTGAGAAGGGTTTGGTCACCAGCAGTCAGGAGGAGAAGACTGCCCCTGGAGGTCTCGGGCCAGCCCTCTGAGGCTGCACAGATTGTGTGCGCACGCGCGCCCCGACTCTGCAGGGCTGCCCACGGTCAGCCACCCTGCCTCTCTCCTGACAACGGAGGCGAGCAGCGGGGTCAGTCCATTTCATCATCCGATAGATTCCGTTTTTGTCACCTTGGCTTGAATTAAATTTGAGTGGACTTTTGTGACTTGCAGAGACTCCTGATGAATATGGTCTACATGTATAAGAATCTCAAAGAAAACTAAAGTCTCTAAGGGGCTCTTTGCCCACCCACCTCCCAATGCCCTGGCACTCCCTGGCCCCCTCTCCTGAATGCGTCATTTGGCCACAGTGCCCCCACCTGGCCTGCGCTCTTACCTTAGCAGAGGTGTGTTGCTCTGATTCAGGGCCTTGAAAGTAAGATAGCGCTCACCCGCACTCATCCGGGGCTTGTAGAAGCGCATCAGACCTTCAAACTGCCTGTAGGAGATGCCGGCAGGCCTCTGGGGGACAGGAAGGATGGCAATATCAACACAGGAAAATACAGAGCCCAGACTGTCCCCTCCCTTGGGGACAGCTACTCTGGGTGCCCAGCACAGCTAGGAATCCAGGGTAGCTGGCTCCTTCTTGCCCTCCCAAGGGCAGGACTCCTGCCAGGCTTAGGGGCTGCCCCTGGCAAGGGAGCGGGAGCAGGGACCAAGCCCCTCCCGGCCCAGCCCCGACTCCTCCTTACCCGCTGGCTGATGAGCAGGCGGTAGGCGTGCTGGATGGCGGTTCGCTTATGCAACAGCAAAGACTTGAACTTCCGTTTTTCGATGTCATTGAAGGTGTCGAACACCACGGCCAGAAGCTGTGAGGGAAAAGCAGAGAGACCTGGCTCCCCTGCGTGGCTGGAGCTCAAGGAGTCGGGAGTGTACCCTCTGCCTCCAGAGGGCGCTCTTCAACACACCCCTGAGCTGGGCTTGGGGTAACCCTCCTCCCTGCCCCTCCAGGTGCAGGAGTTTGTCTCTAAGTCTCAGCAGGGGAAGGCCATCCATTGCCACTTGTAAATTTCCTCCCTTCAGATACATGAAGACATTGTTCTTACATTTTCCTGGAAACTTCTCTCCACCTACAACCTGTCCCTGGCTGGGCTGGGCAGCCTTGTAAGGTGAGAAGGAAGCAGGGGGGAGCACGCTGGGCTCTAAGCCCAGGTCAGCTCTGTATAGTGGCTGGGGGAGGCCGTGTGACCCTCCTGTGGCCTCCTGACCTAGGAGCAGGGAGGAGCATCACATGCCAGATGCTGCTGCCTCTGCTCCGTCCCCGCTCCCTCTCCTGGTGGGTCACAGCTTCATGCACTGGCCCTGGGAATCAGGGGGGTAAGGCGCCCTGCCCTTGAGGGGGCAACATCCTGAACTGCTGAATTCCAAGGTCACCATGTTAACAACACAGCCTGCATTCCCAAGGGGCACTGGCAGGGAGGGAGCAGAATCTGAAAGAAGTTGTTTTAGAAGCACTTTCTTTTTCTTTCAAAAATATTTTGGGGGAAACTCTTTTGTCCTTTCAACCCCTTCAGATTGCACCTGCCCCTCCATTTTCCCCCCCTTTAGATTAAGAAAAGGTCAGCAAACATTTTCTGTAAAGAGCCAGATAGCAACTATTTTAGGCTCTGAAGGCCAGATGGTCCGTGTTGAAACTATTCAACCCTGCAGTTGTAGCATAAAGTCAGCCACAGAGGATAGGGAAACAAATGGGCGTGGCTGTGTGCCAATAAAACTTTATTTACAAATGCAGGCTTTGGCCCACAGGCTGTGGTTTGCAGACCCCTACCCTGAATTTTGACAACAAATTAAATCAATTATACATAACACATCGTTATGTTTCAAAACTACAGGATATAAGAGCTGTAATAAAGAGATATCCAACATATTTCTTTTTGGTTTTGAGGAATTAAAAAAATATTTTTCCTTTTTAACTTGTGAATTTTTAGATTTCACACGTCTGCTCCAGAGACAGTGTTTTCTATTTCTATACCAGGCCTGACTATGACGACTGGTGCGAGGACGCTCTTCAGAAGAATAAAAATAAACACAGGACTCGATAAAGGCCTCGCCCTGATGATTCTGGCTCTGGCGTACGGTCTTGGCCCCGGCCGGATGGCGACGGGCTGACAGGAGGGGCACGCCGGGTGGCGGGCTGCGTCTCCTTGACCGCCGCCAGAGTTCCCAGGGTGCACAGGGCTTCACGTTCTCCGTAACCGAGTGCGTCCTGCATTGAATTTTCTGATGGTTCGTGATAAATGGGGTGTAGGCACACAAAACCTTCCAGGGCGTGGGTGTGGTGGGACTGAGCAGTTGAGAGCAGGGCTGAGACTCAGACCAGCTCACCTGGCCACCCAGAGCAGTGCAGCCATGAGCAAGTCGCTCTGTCCATCTGGCCCTCAGTTTCCTCATCTACGAATTGAGAATCACAACAAGACCTCCAGGGTTGTTGTGTTACATCACGAATCCACTTTGCATGGTGCCTGGGTTCGGCTCTGTAAGAGCCAGCTTTTATAGTTATTATGTTATACGCGTGCTGTGAGAATGAAGAGGTCCCAGCAGAGCCCTGGCTTAGACTCTAGCACTACCAGCAGCGAGGACAGTAATAACCCAGGGAGGTGGCTCGGCACCCCCAGCCCCTGCCACGGCAGCCCCTCCTTTCCCATTCCCGCAGCGCCCGGCACCGTGCAGGCTGCTCCGGCGGAGCCGGGGACATGGCCACTCACCAGGTTCATGATGAAGTACAGCTCGATGGAGAGGTACACGATGAAGAAGACGCAGGACCAGGGGTTCCGGGAGTAGGAAGGCATCATCACGTCTGGGAAACTGCGTTTGTGGGGAATTACTCGCAGGGCCCCGTGTCTGCCCGCATCCGTCTTCTCTAAGGGCACCTCTCTGTTTCCCACCCCTTCTTCCCCGGCTCTCAGGCGCCAGGCCGCTCTTGTTCCTCACAGTGCCCCAAGCAGCGGGCTGGGCACTAGCAGAGGGCAGGAGCCAAGCAGGGCCCAAACTTACTTGGCTGTGGTCAGAAGGACGAACAGACTGACGATGCTGCTCTCCAGGGTGCTGAAGTACTGTCCGGGAAAGAAGGCAGAAGGACACGCTGGCGCCAGCCAGAAAGGCTGCGATGGGCCACCTGGAGCGCCCTGCGCCTCTCCCTCCCCACCCCGCCAACCCTTCCTCCTGCCACGGAATCCCTGGGGGATGGCAGAGGGATGAGCAAACGTGGAGGAAGGACTCCACCTTCCTGAACTCTGCTTCTGGCAGAAGCAAACACATGACTTTGGGGCTTTTCTCCCAGAGAATCACATGTGTGCACAATTAGCTTGACTCCTTCACTGTAATCTCAAAACGTTCCCACGTTCCAAATCTGACCCTGGAAACATGACTCTCAGGATAGAATAACATGCCCCTTAATGCTCAAGGAAGGAAATGGCTCAAGTCTGAGTGACGGGGACCTTCAAGGTCCATAGCAGTGATGAGAAGCCAGGCAGGGCCTCCCTTCCTCATGTAGGTAGGGAGTCAGTCCAGCCACCTTGCCAGAGGGGAAAGGCCTCACATAAAGGAAGAAACAGACAAAACACGGTGATTACTTACAGGGTCTGAAGGATTAGGGGAGAACAAGTAGAAACCTACAAGGTAGTGGAAAACAGATTGGAAAGAGCGTTAGAGCAGTGGTCCCAAATCCAGGTGTTGAAAAGACTGGACCAATAAACATACACGAGAGCAGTGGGCCGGGGGAGACGAGAGGGAGTGGTGGGCCTGCGGGGCTCCGAGGAGCGCGCGCTCTAACGAGAACAGGTGCTGCTGCGCACGGGCTACGCGCAGCTCTCTGCAGATACGGCCTGAGTACCATCACGTCCAGCATTAAAAGGGCTAGAAATCTGTATTTTTGTGTAAAAATCCAATTGTAAAATGTCAGCTCAACATTTCCAGACCAAACCAAATCATCCATCAGCTGGATTTGGAATCCAGATTGCCAGTTTGGAACCTCTGGTTGTGAAAATAGGATGTGATGGCCAAGTAATAATTCCAAAGGGACTCCCTTGTTCCCCTACAGCCAAGGGTCCTGGGGTGGGAATGCCACTAATTTCCTCCCTCTCAGAATGGGCTATTCCCCCGAGTCCTTGAAATCCTGTAGGAAAAATGAGACAGTCTGGCCTCAGGGGAAGTCAGCCCTACCTTGGAGCACAAAGAAAGTTCCTCCGAGAGTGGGTGGAAGGGAGGTGGAAGAGGTGCCAAAGGCTTAGGACAGAGCAGTCACAAAGGCCGGGGGCAGGGGAGCCAGCCTTAGAGTCAGAGCACTGTGGTTCCACTGTCCTCACCACACCAGGACTGGAGAAGGGACCTCAGGCCTCCTCGTCGTGTTCTGCGGCCCTCGCCGTCTAAGCCCTACATCTGCACAGGACTGCTGCACAAATATGCGGCCTCATCTGAAGAGGCGAGGCCTCCTCAGGGTTAGAAAGGCCATGACCTTGTTTTCATAGCTCGTGATGCTGATGTGTGCAGACCCTAATGTACTCTGTACGCCGGAGAAACTCTGACACGTGTCTGCCAGGAAACACACAAAGGTGTTCACTGTGGGGTGACTTGTGACAGTGAAACATGCCGCCCACAGGACAGGTGAATAAATCTGGGTATATTTACTACACTCCAGTGAAGAGGAAGGAGTGCCATCCACATATGTCAGCATGAATGCAAGTTATATACCTAGTGTTGAGCAAAGGGCGCCTTGCAGAAGGGCACATGCACATTATGTAATCATTTATATAAATTTTTTGCAAATATGTAAAGCAATAACAGAATGTACGTGTTGCTTAAGGAAACATAAGTATAAAGTGAAACTATATGGACCTGCATGGCAGCGCTGAGCTTATGATGCAGGTAGTTTTGGGGGTAAAACTGAGCTCATGAAAGGCTACAAAGGGGGCTTCCACTTAACTTCTAGCTCTTCATTTCCTAAGTTGGAGTCCCTGGGTATTTATATCATTTGTAGAACCTTTCCAAATTTCCAAAACTGTCCAAGTACATTTTCCTCCCCGTGACTTTGCTTCCAGAGACCGCCTGGTCCCGGGGCGCAGAACTCACCAAGGATGGCGAAAATGATCATGAAGAAGAGCAGCAGCAGGAGGATGTCCATGAAGGGCGGCAGGGACTGGAAGATCTGCCGAAGGTTGCTGGGGAGACACAGGGGCCAGGGAGGGTGAATGAGGCGCAGCCGGGGGCGGGGCAGGGTGTGGGTACGAACTTACAGAGCCTGGGATCTGATGCTCCTGACTCACAGAACACTAAATCCCATTGCGCCCTGGCTCGTGGCATTACACATAGTGCTGTCCTGGACAATTTCCACTCAGTGGGTGACAGGGAGAACATAGGCAGGTATCGCTCAAACAGCCACCCTTCCTGCCTAGAGAACTCAGGCAGGCAAGCGCCCTGCAAGAGAGGGAAGGAGCAGCGGAAGGCCCAATGCTTGGCCGCAGATGCAAAGGCAGCTTCCACGAGAAGTGGGTGTGTGAAGACAGTTCAGGGCTGCCTAGTCTTCAGACACTTGTGCCTGGTTTTGAGGATGGGCACAAAGAATGAGCTGCTAGCCCATTCTTATCAACAGTGCCCCAGTCACAAGATTTTCCAGATGGAGCCTTCAAAGCTAAGTTGAACTCCAGGCTGGTGGCCTGGTTTGAGGGCAGTCCCCCGGTCTGCGGGGAGGACCAGGACAGGCTGCTGAGTCATGTGGACTTTTTGCCAAGTTGTCTGCTTTAGGTGCAGCTGCTGCTGTGTTCGGGCATATAATGTGCTCAGGGAGAGCGGCCAGCCCCAGAAGACTGTGAGTGAGATGGGACAGGGCCTTGGACCTGGAGTCAGGATACCTAACCTTCGGGTGGAAAGCCACCTCCCTCTCTGTGTGGATATGAGGGTGCTTAGATTCTCCCAAGTGTGGGATGGATCACAGCGCTACCTGACTCGCGGGGCCCAGGGGCCCAAGCCAGGCCCAGACAACAACTGTCGGAGCAGCTCCCGCCGCAGGCCTTACCGCCGGACGCCACCGCAGTACCGACAGTCCACCAGGAAAATGCAGCGCAGCGCCCTGGTCACCCGCATATGGGACGTCTGCCGCACCAACACCACGATGGCCTCGATGAACTGCACCACCAGCACAGAGGTCTGGGGGCGGAGAAACACAGAGCGCCGTCAGCTCCTCCACCCAGACACCCTCCAGAATACCCCGAACGCAGGGCTGGCCAAGGGCCGCCCCTTCTCCCCGGGCCCGCCCCCAACACCAAGCAGCCCGTGCGGCACAGATGTGCCGTCCCTGGAGACTGAGCCCAAGGCGAGTGCGCTCAGGAGCTCCTCAGGTGGTGTTCACAGAGCAAAACTGCCACTCTGCCCGGCCACGTCTACCCACCCCCTCTTTTCGGCTCTCCTGACTCCCACCATGAAGACCCCTGAGGTAGGTCTGCAGCATAGCTTGATCTCCGATTCCTCGGGCACTTTCTCTAGACAACTGTGTGTGCTTTTTACACTGCTGAGTGCCACTCTGACACATTCCTACCTGTGCTTCTCTCTGCTGCACAGAGAGAATGTGTACAATACTGACTGCAGATCAGCCAGCACAGACCTGGGTTTGAACCCCATTCTCCCTGGGATTTAGACCCCATTCTCTGCTGTCTGGCTAGATGTGAACTAGGAATAGTAATGCATCTCCCGCAAAGGTTACTGGTCCAGTGGTCGGTGCACCCCAAATACCAAACCACATTAGCTACGGTCAGCCTCACCATGAGTCCCAGAGCATGCAAGGGCCAGGGACCCAAGGTGACACTTCTGAGCACAGGGGGATTTGGAATTGAACTAAAGAGACAGGCTTGAAGGTGACCCAGGAGAAAAAGGCTGTAAGGAGATGGACATATCACCTTGACCATAGTCCGTCTGTGCCGGACGAAGGTGTGGAGGCCCAGCCACCGCAGCTTCATGCAGAGTTCAAAGACGACCACCGTCAGGGCGAGCAGCTCCAGGGTCGCGTGGACCTGCAAGCAAAGGGCGTGGAGACGTGGCATCAGTGGTCCCCTGTCCTCCCCACCGTCGATCACACCCGCCTGCCTTTTCCTCTGTGGTTGGAAAGGTGGGTGGGACCGCGATCAGGGGTGCTGCCCCCCTGGAGCCAAGGTGTGGCCACTGGTCCTAAGTAAGGGAGGCAATCAGACGGCACCCTCCCTGGGATTTCCAAGGGAGCAGAACCACAGAGAGACTGAGGCCCTCCTCGCTGCTCCCGAGGCCTCTGTGGCCTCCCAGGGCCTGTCTGTTTTAAATCCATTCCTGCTGCCTGCCCTTCCAGAATGCTCACCTTCAGGCCTGCATTATCTCAAGGACAGTTTCTGGTGCTTGCCCCCCAGAGAGGAGTGGCTCCCAGCCATCCGGACACTCACATAAATGCCAAGCCGGAGCGCAGGGACGGCGGGGGCCTCGCACAGGGACAGCAGCAGCAGCAGGAGGGCCGTGGACAGCTCCATCAGGTAGAAGAGGTGGTTGTGTGCAAAGAGGTAGGCCGCCAGCGCTTTGGCGTTCTTGGGGTGGGTGAAGAACTTGTCGTTATTCTCACCTTCCTGAGGAAACAAGAGCCAAGTGGGCTGGCGAGCCTCTGAGACACAGCCCCACAGATGTGCCGGGGGCCAGGAAGACAGGGGGAGCCTTGGCGGATGAGAGAAGATTCAGACCAGAGACGGACGATGATGGAAATTCAGAAGTACTATAGGCACAAAACCGTGCAGCAGCCAAGCCTCGCCCCGGCCTGCTGACGGGGGCTACAAAGACGTGCTGCTTCCTAAAACCACTCGGAGGAATCAAAGAATAAAAAGTGCACAGAAAGTAGAGAAGCGGGTGCACATGGGCCCTTGAGAGGCCAAATCCTCACTCTCAGAAATGCCTGCAGAATGTAAAGCCCTGGGACCTGGGGCGAAATGTTCCGGGGTAAACAAGCACGGGCCCCTCATTCCTCCTTGGGCAGCGCTGAGAAAGTCCCTTCGCCTTCTCCAGCTAGCGACAAGGTAACACTAGCCCTTCCTGACGGGGCTCCCGTAAGACATTTAGGATGGTGTCTGGTGCACACAATAGGCGTTTAGTAGATGTTTGGAAGATGAACCATTTTTTGCAAGAGATTGCTTGTCCAGGCCCCAGCCCAGCCCGGTGACTGTTCAGTAGCCAGGAAGTGGGGAGCTCTGACCTTGACTGTGGTTTGGAGAGGAACTGTGAGCAGATCACTTCCCTGAAGCCGGATACGTCACTACCCTCATTACCAACAAACAAAGACAAACCACAGACTCAACAGGGCCAGGCCCCACAGAGGGAACAAACAGCCTGGCAGTCAGACAGAGGGCAGGCTGGCAGGCCTCGCTCGCGGTCCTGTGATCTGTGCAGGGCTGTGGTTTCTCACCACTGCCGCTGTGGCCGGGGGACACCCACGGTGGCCTGGAAGCTTCTGGTTTGGATTACTCAAAAAATGCAATTCTTGGAAAATCTCCCCGCACAAATAGCCAGGAATAAAGGCCCGACTAGAGGAAACTACTGATGCAGCGGGGCAGGGGGCGTGGGATGGGGTGGCCCTGATTTTAACTGTGGGACTTGGAACTGCTACAGAGGAGGTGGAGGGTGAGAGCTCCACCAATAAGGCCAGAGTGAAATATGACCCACGTCACTGGATTCGGATCCAGACCCTAAGGAGAACACTGGCCTTGTTTCCTGGCTGCTGATCACGAACGAGATTAAGAAAAATAAGAAGGCAGGCCAGTTGTACGTGACTTCCAGGCCTTCGCTCTCTGCTCCCTGGGACAGAAGTCCACACAGAAAACAAGGCCGTCTTGGAGGCACTGTAACTGCTGAGCTCGTGGCTCCCAAGAGCGAGGGGAGTTAACAGATACACTGTGTGAAAAGAAGCTGCAGGGACTAGGCATCCTTAAAGCAGTGAGGGGCCAGTTACGCAGGTATGCCAGCGACTGGGCTCAGGGTCCGTGTCTTTCGGCTCAGCTGCAGCGCAAGAAAAGGAAGACCATCTGACCGCAGCTAAACCTGAGTTTCTGCTTTGATTTTTTAAAAAATAATGCATTTTTGGTAAAAATCATTCAAATAATTCACAGGATTATGAGGTTGTAAAAATTCCTGCTAAAGAAAATCCATCAGCTAAAAATTCCATCAGCTAAAGATAATCACCTTTAATACTGAGATAAACAACATTCCAGATATGGGTGGGTATCTGTGTAAATACACATACATACACAAGTATGTGCTGCTATATACATATATATATACCTACACATGTGTTTGCGTGTGTGCGCATAAGTGTTATACAAAAGCAGTCACGTTACACCTGCTGTTCTGTAACCTCTCTTCCTACAACTGCATGGTTTATTTGCAAGCAGATACATGTGGCAGGGTATAGAAACAAGGCAACAATGTATAAAAGAAAGAACACTATTGGGAGGCTAGGTAGACCGGGTTTAAATCCACACTCTGCAACTTCCTAGCTGGGTGGCTTTGGACTCATGTAGCCCCTGAGTCTCAGTTGCTAATCTATAAAGTGGGAGATGATCACACCACCTCCGGGGACTGTTACAAAGATGAGCCAGTGTCCACTTAAAGTTAAATATTGTTATCACTAATATTCCCACCTGCTTACGGAAAGAAGAAATTATCAGGTTTCTGAAATCTCCCAGCCCATTCTAGTTCTGGGTTTTGACCCATGCCACACTCTTATCCTGTGCCTATTCAACCTGGGAGAAGGTGACAGAGCCTGTGGCGGCCCTGGGCGACCCTGCCAAACCAACAGGCACTCCTGAGCTTAGGACGACGTCCCTAAAACACTCCTACTGCCTAACCCTGAATCAAAACTCATTGTTGAGGAGCAAAGCTGCGACACTGTGTAAAACCTAGAAACACACAGTTGGCCAAACAACCGTCAGATGAATGCCTGGTTTTAAGTAAACTTTAAAAAAAATAACAAAACAAATAGTTGCAATGGAAAGCTACTTCGAAGAAAAAAAGATTAGGAATAATTATCATTCAAATAATTTAAGAAAAATTCCAGTTCCTCCGCCAAACCTTATTCAGTGCACACCGGAAACTGAAATCGTACAGTGGCTGATGAAGGCGGCAACGTCACACGCAATGAGACTGGCAGGGAAGAGGCAATATCCCCTTTGGAGAGTGCTCAATACTCTACATCAACGGCCCTAAAAAATGTGGATTCCTTTCACCCAGCAATTCCACGTCTTGAGTCTTTCCTAATAAAATAATGCTAGGTATTAAAGACAGAAAGAGAAATCGCTTGATGCATAGATTGTCCTTGGACTGTAATTTATAATAGGGAAATACAAAATAAGGGAAAATATCCAACCTTGCCAGGATAATTAAGTAAATTAGTATATACTTGTCTAATATAATTATAAAATTCATTAAAACTTTTTTACAAGAGTTACAATAATGTGAAAAAAGCTTATGCTACATGTTATGAAAAAAGCAGGCTATACAACTATAGATACCACACAACTAAAATTGTCTTAAAAAAACACATAAAATCTATGTGTTCTCCTTAAAATAAATGTTGACAGCGCTTACCTTAGGTGAAAGGTTTTTTACATTCCCTTTTTACCTAAACTTACTGTAACAAGCATGTATTATTTGTATAAAAAAGGCGTATTTTTATTTTAAAAAAAACAACACCCAAACACAAAACAGGAAACACAAGAGCAGCAGCAAGTTAAACAGGAAAGAAGGAAAGACCCCTAAGCTCCCCGTGCCAAGGCAGCAAACCCTTGCCACAGGAGGAAGTTCGTGAAGGAGACCTCCCTCCTGAGAAGTGGCCTCTCAGTGTGCCTCTGGGAAGGAGGGTGAGGCAGAGAAGGCCAAGTGCACAGACTCAGGGAGCCTCAGGGGAAGGTGAAGCCACAAACTGGGGTCACATAAGAAGCCCTTCCAGTATGGGCATCATCAGGGGGCTCTCCCCACCGTACAGGTGAGAAGCTCACACGCACAGAACCAAAGCTGGAGCTGAACTTCTGGGCATGTGTCAGAGCCCCAGCTCCCCTCCTCCGCCCACAGGCGCCGAGAAGGGCCAGGCCCTGACCCAGCGGTACTCACCTGGAGGTAGATCGCTGCCTCTTGATAGTTCATCTCCCAGTTGTGTCCAGTGGGGCTCGAGGGGAAGCCCTCACCCTCTGAGCTCAGGCTGGGGGCCCGGAAGTCGTGGATGGCATAGCTGCCTCCGTCTGCATTGGAAGAAGAGAGAGGTTCGTGTACAGCCCAGGCTTCAGAGAATACAAGCACCGTTCACCAGAAGAGTGGCAGGTGCCTCGCGTGCTCAGACACATTTGCCATTACTGCTAGGTCAATGCTCCATTCCATGCGCTAAGATGGCAAAAATTAGTATGGCTGGTTAAAAATATTTTTCTTTCTCTTGTTAAGTGAAAAAAGCAAGTGCAAAAGAGCACATGCATCTTTTGTGTAAAAACGGGAAGAAACAAGAAAACATACAACTATCTACTTATCTTTACAAAAAAAAAGGGAGAGCTAAAATAGAACTCAAAGAAATTGGGTACCTACAAGAGAAGTGGGGAGGAGAGTAAAAGTGCCACTCAAAGGAAGTGATCTTTTTGTTTACTTTTGGAAGCATGTTAATATTCCACTCAGTGCAAAAAATAAAATAATTGGACTTGTCCCTTGGTGCAGGGTCCTCTGGTGCTGCTGCCTGCCACCACCAATGTCCGTTCCGCGCTGCCCCATCTGCCTACGGAGAACGTTCTTTGGCGCTGGCTGACTCCACCCCTAGCTCCCAGGCAGGTGACTCGGGTGCACCAGGAGCCCTTCACCTTGCCCTGGACAGGGCTGGGTTCAGGCATGGCGGCTGCCCCAAGTCCAGCCGGCAGCTGCCGGTGGCTGCCGCCGCCACCACATGGGGAAAGCCTGCGCCAGGAGGACGCCAATGGAGAACAAGATGGTAACAGAGCTTCCCAAGCTGCCCCCACCCCTGGGATCAGGCTCTGCCCGAAATCCACCTCTGAGCATGTCCAAAGCCTGATCCCATAAAGCTCCCTTTATACTTATGCCTGTTTGTCACAACACTCAAGTGTCTCCACTGATACGTGGTCAGCAGTGTCACCAAGAAATGAACATCTGTTAAAGCTTGTTAATTTATTAGGAAGAGGAATATCTACATTAAGAATCTGGTTCCCCATAATCCACACTCCTCATAACCCCTCGACAGGAGGATAAAGAATCCCATTTCAATCCTCTTCTGTGGTGGATCTTATTTTCCACAGACAGCCACGGTATTCCCTTTTGTCCCCACGCTCTTCTGGAACCTTGCGGCTTCTCTACCAAGAGGCGGAGCCTGTGTCTCCGCAGAGCCTTTGCGGCGCCTTGGCCGACGGAGGACATAATGCTTATGACTTCCGAGGCTGGGTCATAAAAATGCTTCCACCTCCTTCTCTGGGGGCTCTCGCTCTTGGAACCGTGCTGACGAGAGGCCCACAAGGAGAGTCGGGGTCCCTCGTCCACAGCGCAGCTGAGCGCCCAGCCGACAGCCAGCACCGACTTGTCCGTCAGCTGAATGAGCCATCCCCGCGCCAGTCAGGTGTCCAAACTGACACCGCAGGGAGCAGAGAAGCTGCCCCCCCAGCCCTGCCCACACAGCAGGTTCACGAGCGAAGTAAACGAGGGTGTTACCATAAGGCATAGGTTTCAGGGGGGGTTGTTACACAGCAGTAGATAACATACATATCTAAGGACTTTATAGCAATCGACCCGTTTAATTCTCACAGCAGTCCCATGAAGACGGTAACAGCATCAACCCCACCTCGGACTTGAGGAAACGAAGGTGCAGAAAGGCTGAGGGCCTCTCTGGCGCCGCGCGACAAGCGAGACACGGGGCTGGGAGACCAAGCCGGGCTGGTTAGCTCCTAAGAAGAAGGCTGCATGCCTCCCTCTTGAGAATCGGAAACTGAGAAAGATGACAGGGCAGTGCTAAAAGGACCCAAAATTAGCAGCAGGAATCACTGAAATGGAGTCACAGGGAGGACGAGGGACACCTGGCTGCTGCTTGCGCTCAGGATGCTGGCCCTTCTCTCCCCGGGGCCAGCGTTCCCCAGCTCCGGCCCCAGCGCCCATTTCTGAAAGAACTAAGCCGTAGCGCAGAGAGAAGGTCAAACTACCTTCCTCAATCTGCTTGTGGGGACCAGGGAAGCACGAGCCAAAAGGTGACTCGGAAGCAGCCCCCGGCAGGCAGCTGGGCAGTGCCGCCCTCTGGTGTGCCCGCGCCCCGTCCTCCGTGACCTTCACACACCGCTGCCGGGGGCCGGGCCACAGCAGGCCCAGGGAACACCGTAAGGGTGCCGGGGCGGGGCGGCTGCCACGCGCTGGCACAGATGGCAGCGGACATCAGGGTCACTTTCCCAGCACCTCCTGCTCCCTCCGCCCTTTCCCAGGTCGTTAACTGGCCGCCTTCCCCACCTCCCGGGGCCCACCGACCCGTCCTGTCAGAGGCTGCTTTGGCTTCCCCTGGGAGGTCACATCATCGTCACCCTCTCTCTCCCTCACGCTGCTCTCTCCCTCCTGGGGTTGGACGCCACCCCGCCCCCCTTCCCCACAGCACGTTTATTTACTTGTGGGCCTGCTGAGTGCCCGTGAGGGCAGGGACTTTAGTTTTGTCCACCGAGGTGTCCCGAGAGCCCAGAACAGTGTCAGGCACGATGCAGCAAGTGCTGACAAACATATCTGAAGGGAGGCTCTGGCACAGTTCCGCCAGCGGCTGGAGGGCACAGCAGGCAGGCGTGACACGCAGGGCCCGGCGGGTAGGCTCCAGCCCGAGTGCAGGCGCCCGGGGGTGTGAAGAAGGGGCTGACGTGGCCTCTGTATTTTCTAAAGATCATCCTTTTAAGGGCCTGCTAAAGAGTGACTATTTTGTATAAGGGTAATTCAGAGCAGAGCCTTCAATAGAAAAGAAAGGAAAACTATGACCGGAACTGCTGAGGGGAAAAATAGAGAATTCTCCCCTCCAAGGCGGACTTTGTTCAGGGCTTCTAACCATTCAACCTTGCACTTGCTCAGAACACAGACCTTGGCTTGCTGACTAGGTACCAAAAGGCAAAGCCCAATAGCTTGTTTGTGGCTCTTATGTGGGGAGAGGGCTGAAAGGCCCTGGTGACAAGGGAGACTAGGACCACGGGGAGATTTTCAAGAAAGCCGCACATGATTTCAAAGAGCCCCCTTCATGCCAGGCCTGAGCGCATTGAGGGGTTACAGAAAGGGCGCAGAGGGAAGGCAGGGAGCCCCGGTCCCTCCCATTCCTTTCATTCGTGGCCTCAAGCAGAGGCGGCAGCCCTGCGGCCAAGTTCAGAAGCACTCTGAATGCACCGCCGGAGGCGGGGCTGGGGGCCCCGCGTGGGGTCCCCTTCCCTGCCCACTTTCTCTGTTTCCCACTTCCTAGGTTGGCAAAGTGGCCAGAGAGGCAATGGACATGCTCCAAATCCCAAGTGCTTTATTGCTGCAGTTACAAGGAATGCTTAAAGGCTCAGCCGTCCCCTACAGGGAAAGGACAGTTATGGCCCATAAAAGAGAGGAAGGCAGGGGGCAGGTGGGGCGGGAGCTGGCCTCAGGGGCTTCCTCAGAACGAACTCCCTTCAAAGCTGGACGTGAAATCTATAGGGGACCCCCCCTGACCCCGACCCCCTGGTCACCACGGGGAACAAAGTTCCAGGGTCTGTCCCCACATCCCCATTGAAGCCCGCTGGGTCTGCGCCAGGTCGTCTGCCTGGGAGTCTCAGAGCCCTGTGACTGTTAGCACCTACCTGCCCCGGTGACCTGCAGCCCTGCCCTGATCTACTCTCGCCCACCTGGGCCGAATCTGCACTTCCTGGGAGAAAAAGTCCCTAGGCAGATGATGGTGCTGGATTCTCTCGGAGCTTTCCCTGCTCAGGAGGAGTCCTGGCCACCAAAGTGGTCAGGTGGGCTCTTGCCACAGCCCCCAGGTCCAGCCCCATCCTGAGTGCTGGACCGGCCCTCACTCTGGCGACTGTCAGAGACCAGAAAGAACCAGCATGGGCGACCTAGGACCCCGGCACCGTCCTTACCCGGGGCAGGGCGGCTTCTCCCAGGAGCGCTGGACGGGCAAGAGGGAGGCGCACCGCAAAGGCCCTGCTCCAGGAGACGGCATGGCCTTGCCACGGGGCTGTCGGGGAGCTGGCCCTCCGCTGCCTCCTCCAGGAGCATGGCAGCCGGCCCTCGCCTTGGCATTTCTGCCTCGGCAGCGGGGCTGGGAATGGAGGGAAGAAGCAAAAAGCCACGCAGCAGTCAGGAGGGCAGGAGAAGCTGCTGTCCTGGCCCGCACAGCAAGCAGGTTTCTCCACTTGCAGGAGGTTTCAAAGGGCCAGAGGAGGCTGACCAGGAACATTCTTGGCAACCAGGAAGTTCCCATTCTGCGCCTCTGGGGAAAGTTCCCCAAAAGGAAACATCTTGTTCTGCACTCCTGGTGCCCTGGGCAGAGAGCACTCCTGTGAAAACCAGCCACTTAAGATTTATGCAACACCCACCTTTTAACTACCCTCCCCAAACCCTGGCCATCAGCCCAGGGAGGTGAACTGAAATTACTGGCAGGAGAAGAAACTGGAAAAAAAAAAAACAAAACAAAAAAAACAACCAAACAAGCAAAAAACAAACACCAAAACCTGAACTGACAGGCATTAGAATACAAAACAATAACAGAAACTCTGCCTCAAAGTATGAGAGAAGTTCCCCATCCAGAGGACAGGCAGACAAACCAGAATGACCTGTTTGCACAGATGGCAGCGCTGATGTAACAGGGCCCAGACGCTCCCTGCAGAACAGCTGGCTGCTTTGCATGCAGCCTCTGAAACGGCCCTGCGGGGAATGCAAGGGTTCCATTCGCTGGAGCACAGCATGCAGCAGGGTCCTGGTGGTGCTGGGTAAATAGAAACAGTTTCCATATGCCAGCCATAAAGCCGCACGGGGAGGACGGGGAAGAGCCGGCAGGGGGAGGGCTTCTGCGACCCACCTCCCACCCAGCGAGTGTGGAGTCTGCTGGGCTGGGTAAGCCACCGGGGCCTCTCGGTGGGGCCGGGACAGGACGCTGCTTTGGATAAAAAGCCTTTGAGGTCCTTCCTCTCGGAAGGCAGCTTGGATCAGAAAGAACGCGAGGCAATGATCGCCCTGGACAGGTTTATACTGAATACGCAACTCACTCCCTTCCATTCTT